CCTACTCTAAGTAGTAAGAGTAAGACCTAAGTTCTTACTATTTACTATTTATTCTTACTACTCCCAACACTGCGCGCCTCTTCCCTAGGCGAGGTTTCCTTTGTTGGGAGAGTTCTGATAAAGTCGGGTCCGCCGATGCCAAGACCGGCTCAGCGATCCGATGTCTCCGGAAACAAGCGAGAAACGGGGGAACTTCTTGCCGTGCCGAGCCCCGACCCGAATGAGGCGACTAACGATAAGGTACTATACATACCGTACGTGCGAAAGAAGAGGTTGAGGAGTCTTCTTACTAGGCTGTCGGTTCGATGCTCACTCCTATGCTACCAGTACCGTTCAGTTCTCTCCCATGTCGAACAGCAACAACTCCGCTGGCTTCTCCCCTACGCTTTCGACTTCGATCGTGCCGGGACCAGAGGCACCTGTAACAAAGGCTCCGTCTCCTTCGCCCAGCTCCACATCGCCGACTCTGACTTTGGCACCGCCAGACTGAGGCTGTTTCCGATCGCCCATGACCACATGGACATATACGTTCCTTTCTCCAGCTTTCACCAGCTCATGGACGACCTTCCTGCCAGGAGCCAAGATCGATGCATCCATACTCAAATCCGCGTGTATCTCAATCGGCTCCGTGGGTCCGTCTTTGTCGCTGTGTCGCTCATTCGACTCTATGATTCTCACGAGGTTATCCGTCTTCATCTCGTCCGTATACTTGCGCGTACAATAGCTCGGCTGCAAGCCACGAACGTTCAACTTGCTCCATATCTGTAGAAAGTGTACATCCTCTTGCTTGTTTCGGCAGTATTCCGAGTGACTGATACCAGTTCCGGCGTTGGTGAACTGTACTTCGCCTCGGCGGAGGTTTTCGAGGTTGCCCATCGAATCTTTGTGCTCGAGCTCGCCGTTCACAATGTAGCTCCAAATGCCTGCAAGATTGTGTCAATAAGCGCTACATTTACACAGTGACCATGTGAAACTTGCCGAATTCTCGGTGAGAGTGCTTGCCAAAGCCGGTACCTCTTTGGACGCGGTCTTCGTTGATGACTCTGAGAGGACCGAAACCTTCGTATTTCGGGTCGAAGTAGTTTGCGAAACTGAATGTGTGGAAGGTGTAGAGCCAGCCATGGTCAGCGTTGCCTCTGGCATTCCATGGCCGTTTGGTGACCGTGAAGTTGGAGGTCCCGTTCGTTGTGGTGGTCGTCGCCATTGCTCGAGTGGAACTTGTCGTGATAGATTGCAATGCCCTAGGGAGAGAAGATCGTAGAGGATAATACAAAGCCAGAATGACTGCTACAAGTGCTACGAGAGTCGCTGCTGTTTGAAGTGGGAAGTGTGTTGAGGTCTGAGTGTTCGTAGATCTGGACTGGTTCTCTTTGGAAGACATTAAAGACACATACCGTTTGCCTGAGCGCGTTTTATAATAGCCATGTGCTCCCTGGATATGTTGGAAGTGCGGAGACCTTGCTTGTGAAGGCGATGACAATTGCTTCCGTAAGGCTTTCGGAGAGCGCCTCGGCATTGAGACGCGAAACCGAACCCGGCTCCGAGGATTTCCGACTTCACTCTTCTGGTCGATATGGACATAACCGTCTTTGCAATCAACCCAATGATCTAGCACCACAACCGAATGCTCAAGCGCTACGCAGTGATCGGAGATACTGGATCGAGATACGCGCCATGAGATGGAATTCCTTGTCATTTAGTCTCTGGACCCGTCGCCACAACGATTATCCTTTTCATCTCCTTGAGGCCTAATGCATATGGAGCAAGCAACCTGCGACTTCTTATTACCGGTGATAGGGTGAGAACTAATTATCATGGATCGCATGTCTAAACGGTCACCATGGGTCAAGTCTGTGACTTTACCCATCGCCCGGTCTACAAATTATAATTCGAAACGGATGCCCCGAAGGAGTCGCTTACTCGAGGCCACTGCGACTGTGGTTGTGCTGGCACTGGTTTGGTTCCTGTTGGTTGCTCCTCGGAAAGGGTCGATCAAGCTGGAGTCTGCGACTGCAGAACGGTCAAAACCAGTGACAAACGCCACGGAAGCGCTAGACCTACTTCCATGCTCACAACTCAGGGGCGCCAAAGACACCGTCGTGGTACTGCAGACAAGTGCCGCAGAGCTGGAGCAACGACTACCGATCCACTTTGAGACAACGTTACGCTGCTACCCAAACAGGCTTATCTTCTCCGACTGGAATGAGACCTATCAAGGTCATCCGATTCTCGATGCCATCGCGAACATCGACTTTAAACGCAAACAATTCCACCCGGATCTTGATCTCTGGCGCAGACTCCGAGATGGTGGTCCAGATGTTCTCGAAGATGAGGAAATGTGGAACGCTGAACAAACTACTGCCAAGCTGGATAAGTGGAAGTATCTTCTGATGATCAATCAGACGCTGTACGAATACCCCGAAAAGAAGTGGTTCGTCTTTCTGCAAACAGACACGTTTATCTTCTGGAACAATCTGCTCACGATGCTGCGGGCGTACGACTCTAAGAAAGCTTGGTTTTTGGGCGCGCAGGTGGAGGGCTCGGAGTTGGCTGACTTGAAAGCTGGATTTGTGCTATCTCATGCTGCCATGCAGGCTCTCATGAAGATGTTTCGCGCGGATTACGAATCTTGGCAGCAACGTGCCGATTATCATCCCTCAGGCGCTTCGATACTAGGCACGGCATTGGCAGAGGCCGGCGTCCAGCTCTCGAATGCTTGGCCACTATTGCAAAGTTCAAGTCTCGGGTCTTTAGATTGGTCGGAAAGTAGGCATGAAAGAAAACTCTGGTGTTATCCGGCCGTCTCCTATGGAAAGGTGGATACGGAAACCATCAGGGAGATGTGGAAGTTTCAGCATGGCTGGATCAAAGACGAGGCGTCCAGTCAAACTCTGCTCTATTCAGATCTCTTTGAGAACTACATGATGCCACGACTTAGCGTACGATCTGGAAGGGTTGATGACTGTGACAACTTCAGCGGAGATCTTGATACCGGCGTTGTGGCGAAGGCGATCGACGATTGCAGACAGCTCTGTCTGGATAGAACGAATTGCGTGCAGTTTTCTTTCGCGAATGGCAAGTGCGCACTTTCTGATGTTCCGAAGATGGGCGAGTACAAAGCTGGAGTGCATTCAAGATGGCTGTTGGCTCGCACGGAGAACTGGGCTCGGTCAGCTAGCTTGGGGAGTGATTGCCCGACACAAGATTTTGCGTCGTGGATGACCTGAGACTGCTCGCAACATCATTTTCAACCACTCAAGCTCAAGCTGTCTACTTCTATATACTGCTATCGAGCATACGCTCAGAACCATTGCAGCTGGAAATTGCAGCATACAATTGTGACCAGCTCCTGGTTCAGGCACACACATCACATGGCAACATCGAAAGGGCTTTGAATCCATTCTTTGGAGTCTTGATACTCTCTTGCTCGACCTCGAAACTGTTTTGATCGAATGTCGCCTTGTCCGCCGCTGTGGAGTTGCGCTAGCCCTCAAGACCTGGTCCAAGAGTGGACGGGACGCGGTAGGCTGTGTCCGTAGAGACTTCAATAGCTTCTGTTGTTGCCTTGCAGGTGTTATTGTTTGTGAGTCTCAAAAGATGGAGTGTGGTCAAGGACTTCCGGAACCTAAAGCGCATCAACGGATGATCTTCGGCCACTTGCATCTCATGTGAAAAACACGCACTAGCGCGATCTATCATGTGGACTTCATTCCGTGCACCCTGAAGCATTCCATTCACCTACCCCATTGTCATGCTGGGGTTTGCCAACAGACTCAGCCTAAATCTGGTCTTAACGAAAGACCTGGTGTTGACTGCTTTCTGCCAAGTCCAATCCGGCGCACCGAATGCCGAATTTGAAGCTTGCGGGAACTCGGATTTCGAGTTTCACTTGTCTTTTTCAGGTCTTATTAACAGCGCCATCGCAAGCTGATAGCCGGAGACTTGACGAGCCGACGCACATGCAAAGCCATCGAGTATACAGTACACTTCTCTGTCCACCCAAATCGCTTGAACGCACAGCATAACAGAACATAACAGCAACATTGATGACACAGGCAGGCTATCCCCTTGCAGCTCTTTCCGCAGCAGCTCTCTCGGCAGCAGCAGTGACAGTAGGGTTGACTATCAATCCACCCTCAAAGCTGGCATCTCGCTGATCGCGGGATGTATCAACTCTTCGTAGAAACTCTCTAACCCGGCCAACTTCCTGCTCGCCAATACTTCCACGCTCGCTCTCAACTGCAGCGACAAGGGCGGGCAGAGACTCTTCCACCTTGTTTTCGGGAACGCCGGTGCAGAGCGCCACCACTTTGCGGTACATGCTTTCCAGCTGAATGGATTTCGACCGTAGTTGGTCAGCTTGATTTTGCAGATCGTCGTTGCTTCTGCTGTAGGCATTAAGATGAGCTTTGATGGCCTGTGAGCTTGGCAGAGTCGATACAAGCTGCCGTTGATGTGCCGTCAGTTGTTCAGCGGGTACGTCTTCATCCATAGCTTGGGCAGAGGTGTTAAGCCATTCCGGAACGGGGTCCACGGGCTTGTTACTCGACCTTCGATTGTGCTGCTTCTTCGCCGCTGCTTTCTTCCTCTCAATCTCGCGTCTCAGATTTGCGACTCTAGCATGTCGCTCCGCGCGGGCCTTGACCCGATCGCGAATCTCCTGCATCTTGTCCAACTCAGACTTTTGCAATGAGCTCAATTGACGGATTTCCTCATTGAGCCTATCAATCTCTTCACTCTTTGAGACCAAAAGTTCTTTGTGCGAGGCAAGACTTTGCGTAAGCATGGATGTCGAAGCTAGTAGAATCGCGTCAGCCGACAAAACTTTACATAAGAACGGAAAGGGATACACACACGCAATAAGTTCTTGACCGATGTCTTCCGCTTGACTGCCAGGCGTCTTTGCGGAAGGCTCTCCATCCGGGGTTCCGGCATTTGGCATCGGGTGAGAGTCATGCGGCTGCATTGATTGCTGGCTTGCAACTCCTCCGTTAACATGGACACGCTCGCCAGGTTCGACACCAACACCGAAGTCCTTGGCGCTAACTCCCTTGTTATTGGGTAGGCTGGCATCGGCATGAATTTCGAGTAGTTGTTGTATGATGCTGCGGTTCCCAATTCTTGCCACGAGGTTTAGAGCTGTGTTGCCAGCTTTATCTCTGGCATTAACGATATGCGACAGGAACCGGGACAGATTTACTGGTCCTCTCAATGGTGCTGCAGAATCTTGACTCGAGCTTTCACCATTGCTTTGTTGGGACTCACGCGGCAAGTCTGCAGCAGCAGCCTGAAGACTAGCAGCGGATGTGTTTGGTTGGGTTCCTATCCTCACCAAGAACTCTAAAAGCGCCTCCAGATAGTATTTGCTGCTGGGAGATCGGCCTTTGATGCCCGAGGAGACTGCAATATGGTGAAGTATTGTACGTCCTTGTAGATCGCGAACTTCGATAAGTGGGCCAAGCAGTTCCAACACTTCCGGGAAGCACGAATGTTCCCAGCAATTGTTCACTAGCACCGCACTGATGAGTGCAGACTGGCCTGCCGCATTGCCTCTCCAAATGCTCGCGCCCTTACGGATGAGGAGCTTCAAGAGAGGGACCTTGCCAAGCGTCGCAGCCCAATGAAGCGCGTTGTTGGCCGTCGCATCGAGAGGCATATTGAGATCTTCGTGAGACAACTCTGTCAGCGCTCTATGTGAAGCATAGTCAGTCCGCCCTTGCTCCGCGAAAAGATCCAGGATCAAGTTCATCTTCTCTTGTTGTTCCTCTGTCGATGGCGACGGGAGAGGTGGCAGCGCTATTGGCTCGCCGGCTCCATTGACAGATTCTTGCATCAGCGCGTTTTCGTACAGAAAGCTTGCGTTCGGCTCCGTGGGAGTGGCCGAGCGCATCGAGACATCTAAAGGAAGTTCTGGTGGACCCATGCCGTCCTGACTGTCCGGCCGCATGCGTTTGCGAGGTGGCTCACCCGTGTGCTGCGTGTTGTAACCAGAATCGACACCCTTGGACTCGGACGCCATGCTTTGCTGACTACCACTAACATCTTGCTGAGACGAGTGACGAACGTTAGATGGCCTCGGAGTGCTTCCAGTGCGCGGCGCAGGAGAGTTCAAACGAGCAGCCTTATTCATGGCTGCGAGAGCGACCGAGGTGGTGGCCGAGATGTTGGAGAAGAAGGTACCATTCGAATTGGGCAAGCCATTCGGCCTCTGATCCATGCCTGGGTTGTTATAGAACTTCTTCCTCTGGGCGGCCATAGCTTGTTCCTTGGTAGGTGTCTCCTGCTGGCTGTGTCCACTGGTGCCGTCGGCATTGATATCATACTCCAGGAGCGGACGCAATATGTCCTCGACACCGTACTGACGGCAAAACTCACGGCCACGGCGGTAGCTAATCCAGGTACCCTGGTACTTGCCATATCCACCTTGTACCTTTTCGTGTTCGCCTGTGAGGATTTCCTTCTCCAGCACTTTTGTGCGTTTGCCCTTGTCAACGCCAGCGACCTTGAGGATCTGAGTAGCGTTCAGCCAACCGTCGCTTCGCCTGCGCATGCATGCGACACCACTAATTTCCATTTCGTAGACTGATACGCCCGAGTAAACGGCCTAGATGGGAGACGTGTTAGCGCGTGAAGGATGCATTGGCTCGTGGCAGTGTAGTCGCACGGTATATATCTGTGGCTTGTCCGAATATCCCCTCATGGGGCTCATGTTGGCCTGGTCGCCGAAGCTCCTAGCGAAGCCTGGATTGCTCACGGGGCCATTTGGGAAGCTCTGCAAGTAGCTCGCGGGGGTCGGCTGGGAGAGGGACTGCTGGCCGGCGTCGAAAGACAAGTTATAACCGTGGCCCCCATAGCCGGGGAGACCGTTTGGCTGGCTATTGGAGGTGCGCTGGGGAGAGGGTTGAGGCGCCATGCGATTGGTATGGGAGTGTGAGCGCTGCGGGGTCGGGGGCATTTCTGCGAGCGATGGGGTTGTTCCGAGCCCATGCAAGGGCGGCGGATGTCGGTATTCAGATGCTATGTCGCTACGGTGCTGTCAGAAGTAAGATGCGAGGAGCGGATAATGGGGAGGCGGCTGTCGCGGTGGACGGTGCGCCAATTTCACATGCTGGTGTCGCGCAACGAGCGTGTCAGAGATGAGGAAGTCGCGACGCGCGTGGACGGGACTGCCCGCGTCGCCGAGGCACTAGCGCCGAGCTTGGCCAGCTCGGGCACCCGGGAAAGCCTTTTGGGCCGTTGTCTTGGTGCTGGTGATGATGAGCGTCGTTTGGGGGGACATGAGGTGGACTGCTGCATGGAGACGACCGCTGCTTGAAGGCGAAGGAGCACGGAGATCGCGATTGAGGCCCCTGTCTGCAAAGTACAGCACGAAGCCTCAACGGTCCACAAATCCAAGCCAGCAGCAATCCCAAAGAAACGCGTCCGAATCGTCTCGAGAGATCACAGAAGTGCCGTCAGAGTGGGCTGCTCAGGCTCGACATTACTTGCGCGCCATCCTACGCGAATGCACATATCTCCCTGATCCCCAGGCTCGCCGTTACATCAGTCAATACGCCCTCTCGCGATTCCGGAAGTCCGACTTCAAATTCAAGAACCCCGACAACAATGAGGAACAAGACCTCGAGGCCGAGAAGAGACGGCTGCACAAAGACGCGCAAAAGCAGTTGAACAAGCTGGTTAGGGCCAACAATGGAGATCGAAGACCGCTCTTGAAGGTCCTGCTGGCAGCCTATGGCAGAGAGGGGAAGCGAAGACGTGAGCTCATGCAGCTCTGGATGCCTATTGCTGGAAAACAGAAGATCGATACAATCTTGTCAGAAGCAGCAAATAGAGCTGAAGTACCCGAGAAGGACGCATTGGGCCCTTTGGAAGCTTGCGGGACCGAAGCTTCGAACCGTAGGAGCGAAGACAGCCAGATTCTCCCGCGACTCTCGCCTGCGATGGACGCTCTTGTTAAATCTCAAGCGCAGGCAGCTCCACCATATCTCACGAGGCCTAATCCCAAGAAGCTGAGCCCAAACGTGCCCGTCTTGAACGCCAAACTGAAGCCAATGCCCAAATCGCGCGTGAGAAATTTGACTAAGAAATGGTACGCGGATATTCTCGACCGCGTGCTGCCACCGCTACCTACCGAGGAATGGCATCGGCTACGCTATCTTGCAAGTGGGAAAACTCTGCTTGGACCATTGCCTCAACTACGAAGTCGTGAATCATCTATCAGAGCAGGGTACGGTGCGCATTCCAGTGCACTTGAGACCGTGGTGGCGAAAGGTATACGCAAACTCGACAAGGAATCATGGGTCCAAGTATCGCACCGGGAGAAGATCACGCCGCGCTTCATGCAACGTCTCTATGCTCAAGTATTCGGGCAGTGCCCCTTGATGGACTGGGACGATTCGAAAAATCGATGGAACATTACTTGGGGACACTATGCTTTGCACAAAACGCAACAGCCCGAGCACTCTTTTGCCGCAAAGCACCTGCCGTTCAAGTCCAGTTCAGACTCCACGGCGGAGACTGAACAATCGACTCCGGGCTAGTACACAAGAGTCGTGTGCCGAATATTTCCATGACTGCCAACTCGCCATAATCACCACTAGCATATTACGCGCTCTCACAGGGCTGTATCGCCGCGGCAGCACTTGCCGTCTCCCCCAGACGGCAAATTCCAGCGTCAACCAGGACCCTTGCGCATGCCTCAGCTGTGTTCCACATTCTGCCGCTCCAAGCTCGACGCAGGCAGGTACGACGACGTCACGTCCCACCAGGCGTCCTACCCAGAGTACAAGATTCACATTTCATGAACCCGAAATTCTGGTATCGCAGACCTCCCTATTCTTCAGGCCCTAAAAGCATTTTCAAGCCGGACAATACCTACGCCGCAATCAAGATGAGCCAAGCCAACAAAGATGCTCCCACCATCACTCCTGCTACTGTCGAGGGTAGGGATCCATCATAGAGCTCCGTGCACAGTCAATCTAACCTACCTTGGCAGATGTGCCTGAGATCTTCGCCATGATCAAGGAACTTGCAGACTACGAGAATGAGCCTGCCAAAGTTCAGGCTACTGAAGATTCAATCCGACGTACGCTTACCTTCGCTCCTTGTGCTCGAGCACAGCACACAAACCCAGGCTATGCCCGTTGCTTCGTCCTGCGCACGCCGACCGAGCCGTCAGACGCCTACAAAGCCAAGTACCCTCCCACTGCGGACGAGAAGCCAGGCGCGGTTGCTGGCATGGCCGTTTACTTCAACAATTACAGCACCTGGCGTAGCAAGCCTGGTATCTACCTCGAAGACCTCTTCGTTCGACCGCAGTACCGAAAGAGAGGCTACGGAAAGATGTTGATCCAGACATTGGCGCAAGAGGTTGTGAGAATCGATGGTGGAAGGTTGGAGTGGAGCTGCCTGAAGTGGAATGAACCATCATTGGCATTCTACAAGAGCTTGGGAGCCAAAAGGATGGATGACTGGGTACAGCTTCGAGTGGATGGAGAGGCATTGAACAAGCTGGCTGGTGCCCCAGGACATTAGGGATCCGCAGCTGTCGGGACAAGGCTTTGGCATACGAAAGGTGGGGTTTCGTCGTGCCTGTGAAGTGCGTTATTTACCTCCCGAGGAAGGCATAGATGGTCATGACAGATGGTACCTTGCCTCTCTGCAACGTTAAGTATACTCTCACCTTCAGACAAAGCGTGACCTCTCTTCTTGTTTCTAGTCACACGCTAAGCTTCTTCCCTCCTTCCGCGACGTAACGAGAAAGGCAAAGAATGTCTCACTTGCCATCTTGGCGCTCCACGGACAAGATGCTCCAGCAAGCCCTCACTACATGAATACTATCGTCCAGAATACGCAGGATTAGGACTCAACAGAAGGAATCCTCAGCCAAGCGTCAACGACGTTAGACTGAGCCCGCAATGGCAAGCACATCACAACAGGATCTCCAAGGAAAGGAATCAAGATATGCACCGCGTACCTCCGTCACCCGGCACTCCTGCACGACAACCCCAGAATGTAGGTGTTTCGAGTCCTGCTTCCTCATCTGACGGCGGCGAGACAGAAGAACAAGGCTGGCTTGCTAGCTAATCTGATGAGGATCGACTGATTCGCTGCGAGAACTGCGGTAAGGGCTTCATGGCTCGAGAAGGGGACCGTGGGAGCGCGGAAGTGCGAGCCGAACTTCTGTACCGGGCAGACTTGGGAGACGTTGAACACTCTGTGGACTTAAGAGGAAAGGAGTAGATGTTGAGCTCGTGACGGGGAAGAAGGAGGTAAAGTGGAAGTGAGGGGGTGGACGAGGACGAGGACGAGTGAACAAAGGCTGGAATCAGACGGGATTTCTGTTCGAGTTGGTGTAAATGTAAGTAATGGCCCTCAGGTCGCTCCTTCCTCAAGATCTCTTGCCAAGACCGAATCGCTACCATCGGCCGCTTTCTTCGCGTCTCAACTGCACATTCACAACGCGCGACAGACATTGTTCATATCTTACCTGCGCCCTGCCAACTGATTCCAGCTTCCAAGATGGACAGCAGCAGCGTGGCAAGCTTCTTCCAGAGAGAAAAGTTTTCCGATGTTACGCTTTGCTTCAGCGGAGAGAAAGTGAAGTGCCACAGGGTCATTCTCGCCTCCGCATCCGACTACTTCGAGAAGCTGCTCGATCCGTCGTCTGAGTTCAAGGCACGTTGGCGCGAGACACATGTCACCTAGGAGAGTAAGGAGCACTGACTCGAAGCAGGAGAGCACCGCAAAAGAGATCGATCTGCAGGACGATGATCCTCGAGCTCTGCGCGCGCTTCTCACTTACATTTACACCTTCGAATACGCGGAGTCGCCGGAGCAGAAGGATGACTGGAGGTTCCATCTTGCTGTCTACCGAGTGGCCCGCAAATACATGGTCAAGAAGCTGAAGGACAAGGCCTTCGCCGCGTTTCACTACCTTCGCCTGACGCTCAACGATATGAGCCAAGTCCTGGAAGTCCTGGAAGCTTTGTACGAAGAAGCAGACGATACTCTCACACAGTCGGCCGACACCCTCTTGCAAATCCACCTCAAGACGCTGGGCGACTTTGAAGGATTTCGAGCGGCGATCGAGGAAGACAAAGTCCTCATGTGGCGGTATCTCGACAAGCTCAAGGCAGGCCTCAAGCCGGAGCCGAAGCCGAAGCAAGAGACGGAGCCGGGGAAAGTCGAGATGCACTGGGCTCGCTGCTCCTGTGGCTGGAGACGTTTCCTCAGCCCAGGCCAAAAGGTGTGGCCCGCGTGTGGTCGAAGGGCATGTTCCGTAACTTCCGCTCCGGCTGCCCAGACGGTGCAGTCCATGTGGCTTCGACGCAAACCAGACGGGACTGTGGATGTGCCTTTCGTCTGAGTAAGCATTGTTCAAGACTACAGATCTCGAGAATTGATGCTCCACTCTCCCTGTGGTGGGATATAACAACAGGACGCCATGGTCCTCACATCGAGCGTATGGGAAATTCCAGAGGGTGGTGAGTCCGGCTGGACTGCACGACATACCGCTGATGGACGGCAACTGCGACATCTCTACACTGTACAGGTGTGATTCTTGGAGCGACTAGTGTACTTTCGCCAGAGCACGATATATGCAGCCACAGTGTAAGATCCTTCGTAAAATACACTAATCATATCACATTTTAACTCGTTCGGGAATAATGCCGATCTGGGGCTTGACTGCATCTTCATCAATCACGGTGTCGACATCACTCCATCTTCCTTGAAACCGACAGATTTTTCTTTGATTATTTTCGTGCAGCATCTTTCAGGCTGTGTCATGTCGCGGCAGTACTCGCATTCATGATGTTTTCTTCACCCGTCTTCACGACAGCTCTCCGCCACCAGAATCGTTGCTTTTCCTCAACAGCATCTCGAAATGCAGACTTCACTCATGCCGTCATTGGAGCTGGAGCAGTCGGCCTTGCAATCGCGAGAAGGCTACAAAAAATCGATGGCGCTTCAGTCGTCTTGATAGAGAAACATGACATGATCGGCAGCGAAACCAGCAGTCGAAACTCCGAAGTTGGTCTTGCAACATGTATACCTTGAACGCCAGCTTACGTCCAGTAGGTGATCCACGCCGGCTTGTACTATGGACCGAACAGCCTGAAGACTCGCCTCTGTATCCAAGGCAAACGGATGCTTTACGACTACTGCGCAAAGAACAGCGTCCCGCACAAAAATTGTGGCAAGTGGATCGTCGCCCAAGACGACACGCAGATGCAAGAATGTCAGAAAGTGCACGATTTCGCCAGATCGATCGACGTTCCGATACGATTCGTCTCGCGAGAAGAAGCCCAGCGTCGCGAACCGGACGTCAGGGCCGAAGCCGGTGTGCTGGAGAGTCCTTCGACGGGAATCGTGGATTCTCACGGCTTGATGCAGGCTTTGCTGGGAGACTTTGAGAATGCCGGAGGCACTCTCGCGCTCGTGAGTCCCGTCACGAGGATCGAGGCGCCTTCGGCCTCGAATGGCGCAGATTGGAGGATCTGGACAGGAGCAGGGACCTCGCCGCCGGTGCCGTCTTCTCCTACACCTCAGACCCCGACCCAATCTCCCGCCCCGGAGGAAGACACCTCCATCACGGCCTCGACCCTCATCAACTCCGCGGGCCTCTACTCCGTCGCCCTCTCCAACCAGATCCTCCCCCCCGAACGCCACCAGAAACAACACTACGCCAAGGGCTCCTATTTCACCTATTCCAAATCCTGCCCCAAGCCTTCCGTTCTCGTCTACCCGGCTCCCGTGCCCGGACATGGCGGTCTCGGCACACATCTCACCATCGACATGGGCGGCCAGGTCCGTTTTGGTCCCGATGTGGAATGGGTCGATTCTCCCGATGATCTGGCACCTACGGCCGATTCCCAACGCTTCGCGGCCGCTCTGAAGGATATCCAGAGCTATCTCCCCGGGATAGATACCAGTGCCGTTGGATTGGGGTACGCAGGTATAAGGCCCAAATTAGGACGTCTCAGCGCCGTGGCAAGTGGAAAGCAATTTCAGGATTTCTACATCAAGAATGAACAAGGCTTTGGCGGTACCTTTGTAAACCTCCTTGGGATAGAGAGTCCGGGTCTGACAAGCTCTCTGGCGATCGGAGAGGAAGTGTACAGACTTTTGTACAAATGAACGACGCAAAGAGCACAGATACAGACCACGCAAATAGCGATTCCATTATGAGCAAATTGCTGTAGAAGGTGGGTATCTGCACGCTGCACTTCTTCTCAGAAAATTAAGACGCCTGTTATCGCTGCTTCGCCCTCTCGACTGGCTGCTGCTGCATCCAGCAGACTCTCCCGAAGAGAAAATTCACAAGTAACTCAACACGCTTTTAGTCATTACTTCGTCCATCATACACGTGCAGACGCAGCGTCTCGATCTGCATGGCATGCGTATTACCGCCATTACTCTCTGTCCTTGCTTTCTTCCGCGAAGGCGACGCTTCGGCTTCCAGCTCCGCCAGTCTCTTCTCCAACTCGATAGCTCGGGAATTGGCAGCAGCGACCTCCAGACCCAGTCTCTGTACCTGTTCTCCTTTCTGCTGCTCGTTCCTCTCAAGCTCTCCCACTCGGCCGCGGAACAGTTCGTTGATGACTTCCAGCTCACTGACGCGGGTTCGCAGTGTGTTGTTCTGGTGGACCAGGGCATCGTAGGTCTGGGCTTCCACGTGTGATGAAGAAGAAGAAGTGCCATTGAGAGAGGCTGGAGGGGGACTCGGCTGCCGCAGTGCAAAGGAAGGCAAGCTGGGACTCGCAAACGTATCCGAGGGCAACGACACAGTATCAAAGATGTGCGGGGGTGCAACATTTTGATTCTGCTGGCTTAGAGCAGGAGTATTGCTGCGAGATCCCGAGCCTGGTGTAGGTACCCGCTGTGGTTGCTGGTCTCCACTCAGTCCCATGGGTAGCGTGTGCGAATGAGCATGCTGAGGATGGGTGGCAGCATGAGCCATGTCTGGCTGCGGATGGTATCCATTGCGCGCGTGTACCCCTCCTTCCTGGCCGTTCGTACTGTCTCTCTTCTTTGGCTGCGAGGTCTTGACCCGGTTCCTACTCTTGATTACATCTGTCTTGAGGCTTATTGGCCGAGGCCGTCCGTGCAGTTTGAGAAAGAGACCACAGGCATTGCATAGAATTTGACCGGACTCGTCGCGTCGCCAAAGAGGAGTTGTGGACGTTGAGCAGTTTCCGCAGGTAGGCTAGAAGAAGGAATCAGTATCTGTCAACTGGATCACTGAGATAGATAAGAAGGATTCCGGGGTCATGCAGTCCTTGACGTCGACTGCGGGCAAGCGAAGGGTGGGATGCTCGCAGGAGGCTGCCGAATGAATGTAGCGAGCTCGTATAGACATGGGAGAGGTTGGCCAAGCCATCCTTTCGTCTGACATGTGAAAGCACTCAAGGCTTGATCTCCCGATATCGATAAGATGGTCTGGATCTCCGATCTGCAGAGCTTCGTGTGAGATGATCTAAAAAGGTACTCACCGGACCGCTCTGGACATTACCGCCAGCAGTGGCAGCCGGAGCAAACTGAGTGGTGCTCATGTTACCCGCATTGCTGGGAGTCGAGGAGCGAGTACTGCTGGAGGAGACATCTAATTAGTACGGGTAGGATATGATGTGATATGCGAGGGAGACTCGAGTTGGGAAGGGTGCAGATCTTTTGGCCGAAGCTGCGAGATAAGAAACCCAGTGGAGCTTGTAGCTAGCCTGGAGAACCTAGCAGGAGCTAACAGCTAATATCCTGACCGCTCATAAGAACACTCTCCTCTTGCCCAAGTTCTCTTCTGCAAGCCTCGTTTGGTGCGCAACATGACGGATCTCACATACCTGTCTCCACTCGCACTTGGCGGATTCACTTTCGCAGCTGGAGCATTGGCGGCGAGTGAAGCCAATGCTGACAGAGCGGGCAGGTGTTGTAGTTCTCCTTGTCCTGCCGTTGCACTTCCGCTGGATTGTTGCGGATGATCCTGCTCATTGGAGTGGTGAGAGGCTGCTGAGGGCGGTCTCGGCACGCTGAAGCCGTTCTTTGCGTGCTGGAGTCGAGAATGCGGTTCTGCATACACGGGCGACGGGCGATTGAAAGGCTGGGGAGCGGTCGGGATGGCGTATTGAAGCATTGGAAACGGTGGATGAAGTCGCTGTGGTGGTTTCTGTCGTTGAGGTGAAAGTCTGGGATGGAATTGCGGTGTCGGCACTGGATCGCGTCGCGGCTGGTGGTATTGTTGATGTGGATATTACGATTAGGAAGACTGTACGGGTTGGCAGGAGAAAACAGGCTTGCTGTGCAGTGCAGGCATAAGACGCTCAATGCAGAGAGAAGGTTGTTACGAGTGTACGGGATGGGATGGGATGAGATGGTGGGGAGAAAGGTGTACAGTAGTGTTCAATGTTGATTCTTCCTCGAACCTCCTTATCTGAGCTTCCGTGCGCGATAGATATCGCGAGATCCTTGCACATTGCACAGGGCTAACGGCAGCGCTGCCGGAAGGAGATGACCTGCATATTTAGACTCAATCAAGGCAGCCACTCGAATGATAATCGCGTCCGTCACTACGGATGTGGAATCCTCCTTCTCATGAAGAATTTCATGAGAATTCACGATTGAGTAAGATGTTCTCCGTTATGGTGCGGAGACGTCTCAATGAATACCCATGAATACCCATGAATACCCATGAATACCCATGAATACCCATGAATACCCATGAATACCCATGAATACCCCGGCTGGCCTGGCGTGAAATCAATCTGGGGCGGATTGGAGGGCATCCAACGCCGTCCCCGCTTAGTGCCGTACCTTAGCTTGCCCGGTCTGCTGCTCCCTGAGGTGATTCTCATCAAATCGCGTCAGCTCGAGGACACGTGAAAGATTCCGCGAGGAGGAATGGTCAGTAACTCGGATCATCATCACATCAACGCGCACAAGTCGGATGTCGACAGGTTGTTGGACGCACAAAGGGAATTTGACTTCTCCTTTTCCTCCGATCCCCACCTCAACGGCTCCGAACAATAACTTGAGGTATCACGCCGTGCAACGGCTGTCCGGTACGGAGCGCAGCCATCTCCGTGATCCCGTATGGTGTGGTCCCGGCTCTTCTCAATCAGGCAATCACCTTACCTCTGGTGCCCTACGTCTACACAACACTTCTTGAGCAACCACGACTTGAGCGCTAACGAGCTTGACAACCACCGCGTAAATGCCTGGGCAGCGGCCGGCGACCTCGGGCTACGCGCGAATAGCTCAGGCGGAAGAGGAAGAGGAAGAGCAGGAGCAGTACTCCGACACGGACGACCCCTTCAACGATGCTGCAAATGCCATCTCATCCCCTGGTGCCCAGTATGCTCCAATCCAACCCGGGCTGCGCGACTCCATGCGCCTACCGAGTGATGATAGCACACCGAGAAGATCTGGACGGCGACAGAGAGCGAACAGCGGGGTGGATGTCAAGGCAATAAACGCGCGATTGGAAAGATGGGCCGATGAGATCAAGGACAGATTCAAGCGGAGACGGGTAAAGGGCAAGAGCTCAGGGGAGGAGCAATTGGAGATACATCACTCGGTATTCCAGGCGCCAGACTGGATACGGCCGGCGAGCAAGCAAACATTAGAATCAGAATACGACGATGGAACGGAGCGGATGTCGAAGCTGGAATTCGATGATCTGGTCGAGTCTGTCCGCACAGCTATTGAGCTGGGCTTGCATCCGAAGCTCATTTCACAAGGGAGCAGCGGATCATACTTTGCGAGGAACAGTGGCGGTAAAGTCATTGGTGTCTTCAAACCTAAGGACGAGGAACCCTACGCCAGCAAGAATCCTAAATGGACGAAATGGATACACAGAAATCTTTTCCCGTTTGCTTTTGGTCGCGCCATGTTGATTCCCAACCTCAGCTACGTTTCGGAAGCCGCAGCGTATGTGCTAGATTGCCAATTACGAACAAATTTGGTACCTTACACGGATGTGGTCGGACTGAGCAGCAAAAGCTTCCACTACGATTGGATGGACAGGAGGGCATACTATAGGAGAGGTAAAGCCTTTCCTGAGAAGCTCGGCTCCTTCCAGGTATTCCTCAAAGGCTTCAAGGGAGCCACGGAGTTCTTCCGAGAGCACCCATGGCCAGACCTAAGCACTGGATTTGCTGATCTGCCAGCTAACAAGCCGCGACGGAAGAAACGGTGGGACGAAACTTGCAGGCCCAAAAGCAGGGCTTCTACACAGGATGGTCGTGATAGTGACGATGAATATGAAGGCGAGAGTTCTGGCCCTCAGGGCAGGAGTGAGAATGCTTATTGGTCCTCTGAGCTGCAGCAGAGCTTCAGGGAAGAGCTCGAGAAGCTCGTCATTCTGGACTATGTGATGAGAAATACCGATCGTGGGACGGATAACTGGATGATCCGAATAGACAAGGAGAAGCAACAGGCAACTATCGTGAAGGAGCGTCCAACCGCCAATGGTAACGGAGAGACGGACTTCGGCTACCACAGACGGAAGGAGAGTATGTCTGCAACACTTGCGCATGAGTCAACCGCCAATCGCGAAAAGTCTGTGCCGAGGATAGGAGCAATCGACAACAGTCTCTCGTGGCCCTGGAAGCACCCCGACGCGTGGCGAAGCTATCCATTTGGCTGGCTGTTCTTGCCTGTGAGCTTGATTGGACGACCGTTCTCAGAGAAGACTAGGAAACATTTTCTGCCTCTGCTTACATCCAAAGAGTGGTGGAGTGAGACGCAGGTAAAGCTTCGAAGGTGCTTCGAAATCGACGTTGACTTTCAGGAGAAGATGTATGCCCGCCAAATCGCAGTGATGAAAGGTCAGGCTTGGAATGTTGTTGAGACCCTGAAAACACCCGATCACGGACCTTTGGAACTTACTAGACGCAATCGTGTTCTTGTCTGGGACGATGTTGTCGACATACCTGTGGCTGTGCCAATGCCCAGAGCCTCCGAGGACATGCGCCGCCGCGCAGCAGCACAGAAGAACGCAGAATCACAGAGGCGTGTTGCGGCCATCGCAACACCTCCTAAGAGAATCGAAGAGCATGAGGAAATGGACATTTCGGCCGCTCTCGGGCCCTCAGCGTCTACCACCAATGGAGATCTCCTCGGCCTCACAGGGACGTCCCTACCAGAAGACGTGAGCAAAAATCGCTTCAACATCTCGAGAGAACATTCGTCGCAAGATATTCATCGTACTTCAGTACAAGATGCGATTAAAGATCACCTCTCACCTGAAATTAAACCGCAAGAATTGAAAATCTCGCCGCAGTCACTCCACTCTGCTGCCCTGGGAACACGGCCTGGAGCTTACAGGTCCAGGACGGGCGGACACAGAACGAGCCACGACCTACCTCGTACGCAATGGGCTTCTCCCCGTGCGCATAGCCGCAGGTTCAGCTTCAGTCTTGGAGCAAGAAGAAACAGCGTTGGCGAAGGCTTTGACGACGAAGGAGATTTGGGCTATTCGGCTGCGGCGGACCAGGAAAGCAGTATGCGGAAAGTCATTGTTGAGCGTTTGGAAATGGTGAAGAGCAAGCCTCCGGTGTTTAGTTGGTGCTAGGCTTATAAACGCAGCTTTTGGAAGTTTGAGCATTGTTACCGGCGAGAGTGCGAAGACCTTATACCTGTACTTTTTGTTGACGACGACAGATAAAGGCGTAGTACGAATGGCGTAGAATGTATCTGTAAGAAGCTTTCGACCTACTATTACCGAGTCGGACACCTTTTCGCTTGTTCTCACAGAGCGAGCTGGTTGAGTGCAATGCATCAAAATGGGTCGTTATGGTCATTCGGGAAGCGATCTCTTTTACCTACCCAATGTGGACTAGCGCCGAGCTGGTGAGTGAATGTGAAGGTTTCCCGGCTAGCGCTGGGTGCAAGTCCACCAATGAGAGCGAGCCTCATTTAACACTTCACCTCCTGAAAACACGACTACGCGTTTCTCACGCGTCGTCTTCCTTCCACACCATTGCCCTACACGTAAATCATGGCGACATTCAGCAGGCTCCTCGACGATCCAAAGTACTCAGATCTGGAAATTGTCTGCGATGGCCATGTTTTCCGGGTCCATAGAAACGTCGTTTGCTCGCAATCAAGAGTGCTGGAGAGGGAGTGTGACGGCAATTTCCAGGAAGCCAATTCACGGAGGATCGAGCATACGGTATTCGATGCATACGCCGTGGACCGAATGCTGCAATTCCTGTATCGTGAAGATTATGTCCTCTCCACAGAGCTTGTAGGAGCGGCGGTGCCCGACCAGACTTGCCAGACGACCAATGATGCTCCACCCGACGCGGAGCGGAATATGGAAATCGACGACCGTGGAAGTGCCGATGGCCTTTGCATGGATCTTAGTCCTTTCTCATGTCACGTTTATGTCTACGCGATCGCAGACTGTGAGCCACTCTTTGAGCAATGGACCAGGTGACTTGGCTAACATGCCTTTCAATCTCAGATTATGAGATACCGGCACTCCAGGCCCTCGCGTTGCAGAAGTTCGCCTGGGAGCGCAGCAAGATCGAAGGCGTATCTCCTCTCGAGCTCCTCCAAATCGCCTCCGTCATGTACACCAACACGAATAGTGACGCTTCGCGCCTCCGAGGACAGCTCCTCTCCATGGCCTACGAGCACCCGGGAGCATCCTTCAACAACGAACACTTCCTCTCGCATATCCAGCAGCGGCCTGAGCTGCAGGCTTTCTGCGCGGACCTCCTTGCCCATTCTGCCCAGAAATTCCAGGCCAAGAGGAGTGAGCTTCGCACTCTCAACAGGCAGTTGAACAACGACCTCACAGCCGCACAGGATAAGGCAAAGAAGCTGAAATCCGATCTCAAAAAGGCCGATGCCAGGGTTTCTGACCTCAAGGCTAGAAACAGATAGTGAAGCGCACACGCTGCATCTCGAAGCCGTGATGAATTCTTTGCAGGGATGACCAGATGCAATTCCTATAGTCATGGCAGCTCGATGTATTCTGGCTGCAAGCACAAGCTGGTGAGCAACGGACAAGGAGGGTATCGTATAAGATGTCAGAATTGCCAACAACCGAATGTGTGATTTTGAAAGTAGAGAAATCACATTCTGAGCCGAAAGCATGCCCGCTGTTGCGGCCGTCGAATACGATAGATAGAGAGGTAGAAAGGCATTTCTCTTGAATAGAAAGCCGTTCTCTGTAAATTAGCCGTAGCCGATCTTGCGATGTAGATACGGTCGTAGAGATATATGATAATGTCGTGTTTTATCGTGCGTCAAAAATAGCGATGCGGCGCAACTTCTCCCCCGCTATCGGGTAAAGGTTTCTCCGGCCGGCGGAGCGCTTGATTGGAGATAGGTTGCAAAAGCTTGCATTTGTCGTTCCAGTCAAAGGTCCAGAGACTCCCAGCCGACCCATCCACAGTCTCGACATCGGTGTATGATAAAGGCTGGTGAGAAGCCAAGCTAAATTTTCCTAATTTACACAACCCACCATCCTTGTTCGCCAAAACAAACAACAACGAACACCCTGCAAAAGATACCGACGCACAGCAGACAAATCGAATGGGTGCGAAGGCGGCACATTCGCAACACCATGGACTCGCTCACTCTGAGGCTCGGTGATCTACTCGAAAATCCCAAGTATTCTGACCTCGAGATTGTGTGCGACGGATACGTGTTCCAGGTCCATCGAAACATCGTATGTCTCCGGTCGGAAGTGTTGGCGAAAGAGTGCGATGGGAAGTACAAGGTCAGCTTCTCGACGACAGATCGTCAAACTCAGAAACTAATGTTCCGATCGCAGGAAGCCGAGTCCTGCCGCATTGAACATGGCGTGTTTGATCGTTTCGCAGTAGATCGAATGCTGCAGTTCATGTATCGAGGCGACTACAGATTATACGACTCGGTTCGCGGCAGAATCCTCGGCAAGAGCAGCACTCCAGGCGACCAGGCAGATGGACATACCGAAAGCGAAACACCTTCACCTGAAGAACCGCTCGTCTCTCACGTCCACGTCTATGCCATTGCCGACTGTAAGCCATTCTCGGGTCTGACGGACGATTTCTAAAAACACTCACAACCTCCTGCCAGACTACCAGATGCCAGAACTCCAAGAGCTTGCCTTGAAGAAATTTGCCGATGCGAGAACGACCCGTGGAACGCTCAATGCAGAACAGCTCATTCACATTGCCGCCAACCTCTACGCCAATACGACAAAGCAAGCCGTCAAGCTGCGCCAAGAGCTTCTTACTCTCGCCTACGAGTCGCCCAACTCATCCGTGGACAACCCGATCTTCATGGGAGCTATCGGAGAGCGCAGGGATTTACAAGAATTTGGTGCCGACTTCCTCGCCCAGTGGGTCAAGAAACACCGAGCAGAGACTCAACGTCTTGCCGAGACCACAGCCATCGTCAGGAGCCTTGGAGACACGCTCGTTGCTTCCATCAGACATAACGAAGAAGCGCAGCAGAAGCTCCAAATCTTCGACAAACTGTCTCAAGTGAAGGCATGCGACCACTGCAAGATAGGGCAGCCGATCGGGTACGGGGCCTTTTTCAACTACACGTTGGTCAAAGCTGGGCAAGATGAATACGGGCTCAAATGTCTCAGTTGCGCAAATGTAACGAGACGGCGTCGCCCATGAGACCCAGACGCCAGAAGTATGTCCGTTATTGAGTCGTGCTGTTACGAGTGAAAGATAGGGAAAGGTAGACGAGGCACAGCAGCTAGTACCAAGTTCAAATACTCCTTTGAACTGATCATTGTTGTCGAGAAGGATTGGTTGTTGAGGGCACAGGAGTGTAAGCCCATAATGCTTGACCGCTGCACCACAGTCGTACGCCTTGGTGTAGAAGAAGGAGAATGCGAAAGTGGCCAATAGGTGGCGGAGCTGGTAGAAGTGATCCGATAGGAGGCAAGGACGCCCTTTCGGGGGGGCATAAGCCAGATCGCTTCACGAAACGAATTCAACAATCTCATCACGCTCTTCTTACGCTGGTGCCCAACCACTTCTGACTTGCATTTGTAGATTGCAAAGCAAGCGCTTCTCGTGCAGCGTGATCAAAGATTTCGGAAAACCCCTTCTGCGTGCGAGATGAGCGTTCGAGGAAAATTTGCGCTTCGACCTTCCCTAATGCGCGGTCAGCTCCCTCAGGCTTAATCAGGCGCTACATCGGCCCTTGAAGTAATGCTCTCTTCCTCACATCCATCTCACAGCCGACCGGTATGTCGCTTTCCGAGGTCGCTTGTGTACAACAAGCTGAGATCGCCTCTCGAGAACCACAGGAAGAGACCGCTGTCATCAGAATCTGCCAAAACTCTCAAACGATGGTCGTCTCCATGTGCGGATGTATCTGCGATCGTGAAACAAACAATCTTTTTCCCACTGAGTCGTGTGGAGTCGTGTAATTTTTCCTCCGCGCGGAACACGCTATCGATCAAAACAGGCTTTGTCCAAGGGTACTTCGGTATGCAATATCGATGTGCTGGTCCGATGATTTTCAAATGTGTGCTGGCTCAACGAAGTAGATACTTTAGCGGCTAAGGGTGCTGAGAGGGTCTGGCATTCCGCCTGCTGAAGGAATTAGCTAGTAGGTACTCGTACGGCCAGTTAAATGGTGCTATTTGTGAAACGATAAGATAGGGGTAGAGTGTATATACACGAGGCGGCATCTAAGCAGAGCTGAGGCATGTGTTGCACTGCTTTCTTTCACATCTTCTCACGATGCAGGTGAGCGGAGAGCGCCGAGGTAAACGTTTCTGCTGAGTAGAGTATTTTACACGTTCCGCAAGCGCTACGAACCAGATCAAATCGCCGGAGCGCAGTCTTGCCTTTCCACTCATGGAATCGAGTCGCGATTAGTAAGGTATCTTCTCCAAACACAATGTGCGGTACGCTGTATTTTCATCAATTGATCTTTCAGTCTTCGCCAAAACAGAGGCTCGCATTTAGTTCTTCGGTGGGTACTTCTTGAAGAAGTATCTGGGACTGTCAGAACTGCTTCTCCAATGACTGATCCGGATGCACTTACTGTGACACGTAATAGTCACCGACAGCAAAGAGACCAACGGCACCAGCCCAGGCACCAACGACATTCCATGTCAGGGTGTTGGTCTTGTGCATCTTGTACGCGCCGCTTCCTAGCAGAGCGCCAAGAGCTGCGATCACCACAGCGTTGCCAATGACCACCGGGTTGTTCTTGTTCTTCTCGCCCCACTCCTCTGCTTTCTTTGCGTTCTTCTTGGCAGCCTCAGCATCGTTACGGAGCGTCTTTCCAGCCTGATCCTTCACCTCCTTGGCCTCGCCCTTGAACTGTTCGAACTTCTTCTCGGCAGCCTTACCGTAGCTTTGGGCCTTGCCGGAAGCGTCTTTCTCTAACCGTTTCGCGTCTTCCTCTGCGTGCTGCATGAAATCCTTGGCCTCTTTCGAAATCTCATCGGCAGCCTTCTTGCCCTCGCGTCGAGCTTCTTCTGCGCGCTCTTCGGCGAGCTGTTGGTCGGCATAGGAGGCGATAGAGGGGAGAGACTGGACATGGTCGTTCTGGCTTTCGAGAGATTCAAGGGAATGGACGCCGCTGTCCTCGTGCATTATCTCAGGGACATGAGGAGGGACCCTGGTCGGTCTACGTTAGGAAGCTGTTGCTAGGGTGTTGAGGGGTTGAATCGCGTGAATGGGAAGACACATACTTCTGTGAAGATGTTAGCAGAAATGCTGTGAAACGGTAGCATCAGGTAGACTGACCTCTTCATTGGACTGCTTCGGGCCCTTTGCGGCGACGTCTGCGTAGGACATGGTGTCGGCGCTATCGCGATCGCTGTTTGGTCGTTGGAGGAACTCAAGGTTGGATCGCGTAGACACTGCAAATGAAGATCTCAACAAACGGCAGCGCAAGAGGTAGGTGTAGAAGTCGCAATGCTCACTGAAGGGCAACAACAATGTGGCAATGACAATGTTCAGCGGAAGAAGCAGGAGGAGTTGCAGAAGTTGGCATGTGATGGAATCGTCTGCCGATCCGACTTGCTCCTTCCTTGCTGCAACCAGCTCGAACGCGTGGTCTTGGCAAACGTCACCGCGTCAGTGCGTCGGCGTGAGTTGGCCCAAGCTCCAGTGCTTTACATGTGAAGCAAACGTCTTTCGGCAAACACCACCGCACATCAAACCCACACTCGACAGCCTCTCTATCCCGACAGCTTCTTTCAGCATGTCGGGCGGCTGGAACACAATCGAATCAGACGCCGTCCGTTCGCCTCACAATCATCAGACTCATACCAAGTGCAAGACTAACCCAAGTTCTAGGGTGTCTTCACCTACCTGATTGAATCCCTCGGCGTCAAGAAAGTCCAATTCGAAGAACTCATCTCCCTCGATCCCGAATCTCTGCAGCAACTCAACCCCATCGGTGTGATCTTCCTTTTCAAATACCCGACGGACGAGGAACCCAAACGCGACGCACCTCTCGATGGTGAATTCGACTACGCAGCGCTAGAAGCTCAGCCAGGACAAGAAGAAGGCGGACCCGTCTGGTTCGCAGCACAGACAATCCAGAATGCTTGCGGGACACAAGCATTGCTGAGCGTACTATTGAATAAAGATGGACTGCAGGACGAGGGAGGAGTGGACATAGGTCCCAGTCTACGAGATTTCAAGGCCTTCACAGAAGCCTTTCCTTCCGATCTAAGAGGCGAAACGCTCTCCAACTCCGATCTCATCCGTGATACGCACAACTCCTTCGCACGATCTTCGCCTTTCGTATCAGACGAGACACGCATGGCAACCGCGGATGACGACGTCTACCACTTCATCGCCTACACCAGCATCAACAGCACTCTTTACGAGCTCGACGGCCTTCAACCAGCACCAATAAGACACGGCGACGCAGGCGCTTGTCCTTCCGAAATATTTGCAGATGCCGTGATCCCAGTACTACAGCGGAGAATAGAGCGGTATCCACAGACGGAGATTCGCTTCAACTTGCTGGCCATGTGTGAGGATCTGAGGGAGAGAGCAAAGGAGCTTGGCGATCAGGAGTGGCTGGCGCGAGAAGAGCAGAAGAGACGTGATTGGCGGTGGGAGAACGCTCTACGGAGACACAACTTTGTGGGATTCATCGGGGAGGCGATGAAAGGCGTGACAGCTTCTAAGTTGAAGGACGGAACCTATGACAAGTGGGTGGAGGATGCAAAGGCTGCAACAAAGAAGCGAATAGAGCAACGCAAAGAAAGGGGGCAGGGCGCCGATGAGATGGACCTCTCATAAGATGTATGATACAAGCTCGAGCGCAGCAATTTCTTTCGTGGTCCAGTGAAATGCGCCGGACCTTGGGTCCTGACCGAGTCTTATCACCTCTATCCTTCCATTCAACCCCGATACGCCCTCGCTAAAGCAGCAGTCGACACTCAAAGAAACGCTTTGCCAGCTCAAGAGTACGTTACCAAAATTCAAGGCTCATGCACTCGCCTCTCCCCTTTCGCCTCCTGCAAGATCTCCAACTTCTCTTGTCTGATACACCACAAACTCCAGACCACGCCCACAACGCTTGAACAAAGCGTAATCCAATACGCACTTGCATAACACTCCCTGCCCTCATCGCAGGATCTCTCCCCTCCATTCCCACTCGGGTTGCCCTTAAAAACCGAATGCTTGTCGAGGATGATACCGTACGCGATGTTGTAGACGTTTCCGGATAGGACGGGTGCGAGTGTCATGCAGCCCCAGTTGATTCCGAGACCGGAAGCTCCAAAGGCGTCTGCTACTATGGCGGGATAGACGCCAAAAAGGATTCCGTAGGCTATGCCCGTAAGACCGGAGAGCCAGAAGAGATGTTGTGGGTTTTCTAATGTGAGAGCGATCACTTGGGCAAGGGAGAAGACGCAGGCGCTTACCACAAGGGTCCAGAATCGGGAGGCGTGATTGTGAATGAGCCAGTCGGATCCGATCCCAGAAGCAAGGCGGCCCAGGAAGGAGCAGAAGGAGAGAATACTGACGTGCGTTAGTTGGCGTTTGAGGATGAAATCTTTGGATGCGGAATCGTCGTAGTGATGCCATAGAGAGCGAGCGTTGTTGCCAATGTTGTTGATAGTCATAAGCCCGACACCGCAGAGGAGTGCGAGCATGATGAACAGTTGCCAAAATTTAGGTGTTCGAACGAGCGCCCAGCCAGTGATCTCGGGTCTATTATGGTCATGAAACGGGTTTTTCGGTTCGTCGATGTCTCCCGGTCCACTAGATTCCGATTCAACCAAAGACGACACTTCTGAAGCTTCCTCATGACGGTCGCTGCCTTTGCTCGTTGGTCTGCTGTGGGTGCTTTGATGGTTCTGAAAGCTACCTCGGCGTAGTCGTTGAGATTCCGGCAAAGAGTCGTGTCTCTTTGAACTTGCCTGATCGTCATCTGATACCACTCCATACGCTCCTTGTCCCTCGTCTTTTGTGACAGGCACTATCCTCAAGAACAGCATTCCCACAAAGGTCATGGCTGTAGTGCCAAAAGCCAGAAGCGATAGATATCCGCTCGTATCCCCCGGAAAGACCAGCGCAGATGTCGTTGTATAGAAGAAAGCGCTCAACCCAAATGCACTTAAAGGGAAAGCTGTAGCCGTGCCTCGGTGCTGAGGCCAATTGCTAGCACTCGCCTTGATAGCTGCACTGAAAGCCGTGCAGCTCCCCATGCCACTCAACAACCCAAACAAACACAATAAAGGCACACTCGTATGGCCGGGTCCATTATCGTACGCACTCTTCAAAGGGAAATAGCCCGCTGTTAAGCATATACAGCCCATGACAACACCCCAGCGCGGACCTTTGGAGTCGATAAGGATTCCTCCAGGAATTCCCATTGCGTACATCCCGAGATTGCCTGCATTTCCGATGAGGTTTGTTTCGGTTGCGGTGAGTTGGAGGCGATTGGCGAATTGGGGTGCCCATGCCGAGAAGCCGTAGTTGGTACCACAGCTTAGGGCGATGAGGGAGGCTGCGATGGAGGAGAGGATTCGGGCTGTTCGATGTGCCTGTTCGGCACTCGTAGGGGTTCGCATCTTGGCCGTAAGATTTTGGGAAAGGGATTCGCTTCAATCGGTCGCAAGGTGAAAGGGTTTCTTTAGGAAAACGCAAGGAGACAGACTCCCTTGGTGGGCGTTGTATTCAAGGGCAAAGATCAGGCATTGGCGATTGAAGAAGAAGAAGGTACAACACCAGCTGGAGAAGGCAGTCAGGTGAACAGAAACATGGTGATAACGTTGTCCAGGGAAGAGACGAATGGGCGGGCAGGAAGGACAATCACGGCATGTGAGAGTCAACGAAACGTCGTCGCAACACGGCCGAGATAGGCAAGTGTCGAACTTTATCCACCCGGCTCAGTGCCGGCACATCGGGACTTCGGCACACGCTGTGCATGGACTGGCAGGGTTCTCCGGCGCGCGACCTGCATGTGAAAATGCTGTCAAGAACGAGCTACCACTGTACCGGTAAGGGACATGCATGTAGAAGCCACCACAGTCCGATGAAGAATGGCGACAGCGGGAAGAACGACCTCATGCCCAAAGGTTCATTCATAATGCCGGTTGTTTGATAAATGTCAAGACTGGACAGATTCCGGAGAGTTCACTTGGATGGTAACATCGGGAAGTCCCAAGTCGCTGGAGCTTGGGAATTGGGAGCGAATGCCAGTTCGGCACAGCCGATAGGCAGCTGAGCAAGTCCCGCAAGCAGTAGTCCTTCTAAAGCGCAGTTGACCCAAGTCCTACCAGAGCATTCCTACCAGATCGTCAGCGAGAGAAGGTCAAGACAACGCCAAATCAACTCAGCCGTGCATCAACCATCTTCCACAATATCGTCCGAGAAAAATCCACGACTACATCTAAGAAGCAGGCAGGCTGAGAGGGAGGGACGAACAGTTTCTTTTCTGTCCAAAGGTACAATACCTACCTAGTACTACTTTTCCACTATCTTTCTGTTGCGCCCCCTCCCCCCTTTTTGCCTCCCTCCAACGCTCTCTCTCACACACATACAAATCCATAATTGACGCAAGGAAACATTGATCGGACAGACTGACAAGCCCAGACTAATAACAAAACAAGAATGAAGTCGCTGTGGTATCACAACATCGCCTCCTCCGCCAAAGATAAAAAGCACGCTGGTTCTTTTCCTTCGCTTCGCTCGAGTCGCCCTCCCAGAGAGCAACTCCGTTCGTGACGTCGACCGTCGAGACGCGGTGGTGGGCGTGCGCGGGTGAGATAGGTTGGGTAGTGGATGCGAAGCAGGCATGCTCCGAACAGATGAGGTCAGGTAGTAGCAGTGGTGATGTTAAATTAGTGACATGAAAGTCCGCTCGCAACGCCCACAGCTACACCGTTGCCCCTTCCAAGCATGACCACAGCCAGTCCAGAGAGGGAAGTCAAATCGCCTCCATGCCCGCCTGCAGTTGCCTGCACCTGCACCAGTCTCGATCCATTCCAAAAGCACGCAAACACCACGCTCAATAGTCACAAGGGAGGGCCGGCTTAGCCGCGAAGGGAGAAGCCACCCTTCTTGCGGCCGCTCTTCTCGTCGACTGGTCGTCCACTCTCGATTCTCGCCTTCTTCTCCTCGAGCTCTTGTCGCTGTCGGTCCAGTTGCTCCTTCATCTCCCGGTGACGAGCGTAGAGCTCCTCTTCGCTCTGCTTGAGCTTGCTTTCCTTTTCTTGCACCTTCTGTTGGAACACCATCTTCATCTCCAGCTCCATCTTTGCGAGCTTCTGCTCGTGCAGCGATCGCTCCTCCTCCTGCTTGACGGCAGGGTTGACCTCCTTGAATACGGATGGATCCTGAGCGACGCCCATCGAGGTGAGCTTGTCGGAGCGGTAGTTCTCGTACAGGAAGTTGTTGGTGTGCTCTTTGAGCTCTTCCATGTGTGTCCGGATGAGCATCTGTCGAAGCTTGACGAAGTCGCAGTGCTCCTCGTTGTCGACTTCGATAACACCCCATGGGTAGCGACGACCACGAACCTTGCGGCCCTCGGGAGTCTGCACCTCGGTGTTGGCTCCAACGACGGCGAACGGAACCTTGGACATGATCTCGTTGTTCTCTGCGATGGTCTCCTCGTCATCGAGCTCGTATCGTGGGCCTTCGAAAATGTGGATGTTGTGGTGGTGAATATCGGCGAGGATCTGTACGGTGACTAGTTAGTGCAACGTGGTTGGATGAAGTCCAATGGCTGGCTTACACGCTGCTTGAAAGACTGGATCTCCTCATCGGTGAGCGTATCGGCCTTGGCGATGACTGGAATGAGGTTGACCTTGGTGTGGAGTCTGCGCATAACCTCGACGTCAAGTGGCTTGAGGGAGTGACCGGTCGGCTGGATGAAGTAAACGCAGGCGTGGACTCGGTTGTCGACAATGTTCATGCGGTTGATCTTGTTCTCAGCGTCAAGGTATGCATCGAAGCGCTGCTCGATGTTCTCGACGATTGGTCTCCAAGAGTCATCGTTGTTGACAAAGTCACCAAACCCAGGCGTGTCCACGACGGTCAGACGGAGACGGACGCCATTCTCCTCAATGTCGGCGGAGATGGATTGTATGCTGACGGTCTTTGGTGCAAAGTCGAGCGATGGCTGCTTGCGCTCCTTTGGTGGATATAGGGAGGTGTTGAAGAGGGTGTTCACAAGAGTTGACTTGCCGAGGCCAGATTCACCTGCATGCACATGTTACTGATCAACCCTCAAAGTGGCTCTGATCCATTCTGCACTCACCAACGACCATAACGTTGAAGTTGAAGCCTTTTCGCACGCTCTTGCGATGCCATTGGTTAGGCAGGTTTGCGAAACCGACGTATCCAGTGAGCTTCCTGCGCACAATGTTTCTCATGTCGGTTGCTGCTTGCGCCGCGGCCTTGGGATCTTTCGAGGTCACGGTCTGCGGGGCCATGTTACCACCCTGAGCGTTGCTCGTCGAGACTAGAGGCGAAGTGGGCTTGCCATTGGGTTGCGCTTGGTTGGGGACGGGCGAGGCTCGGTTGGGAGGAGCGGTGGTTCCGTTTGGAGTGGCTGTTGCGGCGGAGTCAGTTCGTTTGTGAGGTACGTCTCGCAATGTGAGATCCGCGGTCTCTGGTTTGATGAATCTGGCGACCGAGGCGGTCGCTGGCACGGGGGTGCTGCTGAACTCGCCCTGCAGAGTGGTGCTGGTAGATCGCGAGCGGAGGCTGCTGGGCTTGCTGCTGGTAGACATGACTTCTCTGCGCTCGCCGCCGGCACCACGTGATGTCTCGCTGCTCGCCTGCAATGATGCACTCGTTGCGTGGGGATGTTGATGTCGAGGTGTTGGTGGAAGTTGGGGGAGGAGGGCTTACCCATGGTGAGAGCGGTCCAGGTGTTTTGCTTCTTCTCAACGTGCTGTGCCTTCTCGGAGTGTTCTATAGCAGGCGCGCAGGGGTCAGCAGAGGTAGGAGGGAGCAGGCGCGCCTGGTGTGGCATTTGGAGCGGCTATACCTGGGAAATCCTGGATGTGCGAATGTGCCGCGTGTCGTTCGAGGTGTGGAGCGCTGCGCAGGGCTGTAGCCGTCGCAGGATGGTGGGAGAGAGGGTAAAAGAGGGACTAGAAGCTATTAAAGGCGTAGTTGGCGATGGAGATGCGGTGGAGGATGAGCGAGTGCAGTGACAGAGGGTGCCTGCTGCCGAGGAAAGTGTTTGGGGAGGCGGAAGGCGGAAGTCGCTGTCACACGCAAGGTTAAAGGGGTCTCCAAGTGTAGGGGCACAGGGGTGCTCCCGCCCGCCAGCTTGATGTTCCAGCCAATCACCGTCCATCTTCACACCGTCGTACCCTGCCAAATTTCTCCACAAACCTCGAATTGACCTCCGACGACTTCCAACTTCACCTCTGCCACGTTGAAGAGAATAATACCCGCTGCATCCATCGCAGGATCTGATGTGGCATTGCCTTGGCCGTTTCAAATCGCGCGTCCTTCCGTCATGAGACATCACGCAACACGGAGCAGATGGCAGCTGCCCCGCCTCGCGTCCGCGTGCGCCACGGCCAATGGCAGCTGCACCTGGCACATCGCGAACCGGAAATAAACGCAACCTATACGGGGAGGTTCACGTGTTTCAGGACAAGCCCTTTGAGCTTGCTGTATTAGAACTCTACATCGACTACGCCAACACCATTACGCTCCCAGGCCATCCGGCAATGCTCGTGAAGGTCTCGTGCTCCAAGACCGGGCTTGCAGGTACTATCGCCAAGCCGTACCTAGGCGAACTGGAACCCTTGACTCATGCAGTGAGCGTGCTATTACTATCGTCTCTCTATTCAACCCAGGCCCGCTGGACTGGTGCAAAATCTGGTTCTCCCGCCATACGCTCAGCTCAACGAAGCCAATACAGAGCTCAATTGGCCCTTGTCATATTTGACATACTTCCCTTTGCCCTTGTCGATCTCATGGTACCTATCCCAAAATCGTGCATACAGCGGCTCGATGACCTTCTGCACCTCTGTCCCCATCTGTCTTCGCACTTCGGGCTCCATCTTAAAGCTCTTATGCCGCGAGACCAGCTCGTCGAACGAGGTGTTGAAGTTCTTGAACTTCTCCTTGATTGAATCCTTCTCCTTGCTGCCCAGCGCCTTCAAAACAGCGGCACTATCGATTGCTTGTCCAGTCGAAGGCGGTCGGGCTTGACTCTTGGTGTACTGTACGTCCAGCAGGAAACTTGACGTCTCCTTCCATGCGTCTGTATACAACTGTGATGCCTTCTTCTTCCAGGCATCAATCTTCGGCTGTGCGCCACCCAGGAACGCTTGAAGCTCCGAGGACCGAATCATCCGCTCCAAAATGGCAATGTTGTTGGCCAAGAAGACCCCTTGTAAGCTCTTCCCTTTCTGCTGTTGCCGCGCCTTCGATTCCAGACTTGAGAGCAACGCTTCAATGCTATCCGCACAGTAATGCGCGAACAATTGATTGCCGTCTGCACCCACATCGAAAGATTTCAGGGTCGGGATGGAGTTGCTTGATGTTATGTCGCCGGGCTTGTTCCAGCCCCCGTCGCCGAGACTTCGAAGGATGCTAGCCAGAGGTTCCATGTACGATGTCATGAGCTGTAGTCTGGTCATGACATCCGAGGTTATTGGTAGTGCACCGCCATCTCCCGGCAGTTGCAACATTTGGTTGATCTTGGTCCGGATATCGTTGAGAAGCGTGGGCATGGAGAATTTGGCCGTCTCGCGAACGGGCTTCAAAGCATCACCCATCGCTTGCTTCAATTCCCCAGTGCGATTCTCGATCTGGAATGAGGTGTTGGACACGACATCGATGATCTCATACGCGAGATAGCAGTCTGTGAATAAGTGATTACGGACGTGAGCATCGAGGTCTCTCAATGTTGAAGCAAAAGCCCGCAGCGACTCTTGGCATGTAGCGAGGAGCACGCTGCCCCATTCCTCCCGGCTGAAGATGGGACAGATGTTGTCGTATTCCGCGATGTACATCCCTTGGATCGCAGTCGCGTAGGTCGTTATGGCGCAGCTACCTGGCTTGTAGACCGAGTCTGCGACAGACTTCCTCGCTGTTGAGATAGACGCAGTGGCCAAATTCTGTAGCGACATTGCAATGTACTGGCCGCGTTCATGAGCGTATACCTTGGCCGAAGGTGTGAGGTCACTGGCCGGCGCCACTTGGGAGGTGTAAGCTGAGATGTTAGTGTTGATAGTCCGTAACTGCGCAGACTTGGATGAAGATATTCGAGGGAAGTCCTGACCCTGAGTGATTTGTTTCAGAGGTTCAATTGGCTGTGCATCCTGCCTCAGCATATCTCTGAACACATTCTCCAAATTGCCAGTTCCGACAGCCAGCAAGCTGCTCAGATCCGAGATCGCGACCTGGTTGGAGCGCAAGTTGGTCTTCTTCAGATCCTTCAAGGCTTGGTTTGTCCGGTCGATGCTCGCAATGTACTCTGCGAGACCCACTCGCTCTGGACGACTCCTGATAATGCGCTCCTCTTTATTCCGCATGTCCAAAGGTTGCTTGACCTTCTCGATGGCTCCCAGAATCTTGTCAATGTTCTCATTTTGTGTCTGCAGTCGCTGCGTGTTCCCATACATCGGTCCTATCGCATCCTCCACGGTCCTCCCCGTCTCGTTCAGGCGCGTCAAGGAACTTTGAATCTTCTTGGATGTGGCCTTCATCTTGTCCAGGCTCGCAAAGAGCACTTCGACCTCCGCCGACTCCTCCGCGTACGCGGCATTGCGAGGGGCCACCATGTCGACGGCTTGACGGGTGACCTACTGCTTCGATCGCTGGGCGCTCACATACTCGGAGAGACAGTTGAAGGTGCTGGTAGTATTCATAATCGTGCCGTTACGATGTAGGTGTAACAGCGGATCTCCACTCGCTATGAACGTTGCGGAGCTTGCACCGACGCGGCGGCTCGCACCGAAATTCTCGTCTTTCTACCAGAAGCAGCTTCTGCGTTGTGCGTCGGTACGTAGATCGCGTCGACTTGGGCTACCGAAGATGGACGCGTCTGCATGGTACCGGTCTGTCGCGGAAGCCTGCTGTCTTCCACTACTGTCCACTATCTGTGCCCAGTCCGAGGCGTCCCTTCCTGATGAAGGCATTGCGTCAGTGAAGCTAGCGGGCGGATAATCCCGCATCTCAAGTCCAAGTTAATGCCATGCCAACTTCTGATGCAACAACACATCCGTCGCCTCTCAACTCTAACTTCTCCTCCTCGCTTTATTGCTCTCCCCAGCCCGCTCTTTGCTTTCGATAATGCTCTCCTCAAAGACTCACGCTCATTAAGGAATCATTACCAGCTTTGATATGCAATATATTTTTCAGACAGCATGCAGCGCCTCCGCAGATCGCTGCAGGGCAAGAATCTCAGGAGAATCGCCTATACGTTCGGAGGAGGCTCGTCAGTCGTAGTTGGTTATCGTCTGTGGCTCGCTCGAAACCCGGTCCTACTAGACAGCGGCCCAAGCGCTGCTGAATGGAGTTCAGGAGTAGACGCCACGCAGCTTCCGCTATCAGAGAGCTTCAGAACAGCTGCTGCAATACAGTCTGGTGAGCATCCTGAAAACAAGAAGCCGGCCGGATCCACCCAGCCACCTCCGCCCCAGACCAAAAGCCACTCCACCTTTGGGGCAGAAGGAGATGTCGAAGACGAGGAACGTTCAGCCTGGCAGACGGCAACGGATCAGGTGTCACAAGTGTGCGCATCCGTTTCCGCGTTCGACTATACCACTATCAAATCGACACTTACCAGCTTCGTCTTGCCCTCTTGGATAAGGACTCTTCCGGGCCTCTTGGAGAAATTACAAAATGAGCTATCCATGGCGCCATGGTCACTTAGCTGGGAAATTTGGGAAGAAGCTCATGATCCGGAAATACATCCAGAGATCTTATGGGATGCCAAAGTCAGAGTGTCTAATGAGCTCTGTGCAGATGAGCAAAACTTCTTACGCAAACGCAAATTAAACACAGCAAAGGCCTTGGCGCGTTACCTGGGCATTTCGGAGCAAGATGTCGACCCTGACGATGTGCCCACGATTGCTATGTGTGGCTCCGGTGGTGGTCTGCGTGCCCTCGTAGCTGGCACTTCTTCCTATCTGTCCGCGCACGAGGCTGGCCTCTTTGATTGCGTCACATACACAGCTGGAGTGAGTGGCAGTTGTTGGCTGCAAGCTCTCTACTATTCTTCCATCGGCAAGCTCAGCCACCAGCGGCTGATCGACCAGCTCAAAGATCGGATTGGAATTCACATTGCCTACCCGCCGGCTGCATTGGATCTTCTCAACCAGGCTCCAACAAACAAGTTTCTCCTCAGCGGATATGTGGAAAAGCTCAAGGGCGTCCCCGACTCGTACTTTGGCATCGTTGATGTCTATGGTCTGCTGCTTGCTGCACGACTGATGATTCCCAAGGGGGAACTGAGGATCAGCGACTACGATTTGAAGATCTCTAATCAGCGCTTCTACACTGAAGATGGTGCTCAGCCTCTCCCAATCTACACTGCTGTTCGGCACGAGATTCCAAATGCACCGGATGACTTTCGCGGCGTGGCCAAAGAGGCCAGATTCGCCACGAAGCATTACGATTGGTTCCAGTGGTTTGAGTGGACACCCTACGAGTTCTTCTGTGAAGAACTGAACGCCGGCATCCCGACCTGGGCAGTGGGGCGCAAGTTCCGTGGTGGCGATACTCTTTGGCGCGATAATGGCCTCGCCTTGCCCGAGCTCAGAGTACCGTTGATGCTCGGAATATGGGGTAGCGCCTTCTGTGCCACGCTTTCTCACTACTATAAAGAGATCAGGCCCATGATAAAAGCTGCTGGATTTGCTATGCTCGACTCAGCCTTGGCGCTGAAAGATCAGGAGCTGGTTAAAGTTCACCCCGTCGATCCGGCTGTCATCCCAAATTTTGCGCTTGGATTAAAAGACAAGCTCCCACCGACGGTGCCAGAGAGCATCCACCAGTCGACACATTTACAGCTAATGGATGCTGGTATGTCTAATAACCTACCAATCTATCCTCTGCTGAGACCCGGTCGCGACGTGGATGTGATCATAGCCTTTGATGCCTCGGCGGATGTCAAGACCGACAACTGGATCAAAGTCGTAGACGGGTATGTACGACAGAGGGATATCAAAGGATGGCCCATGGGCGCTGGCTGGCCATCAGCAGGCGAATCGTCAGCGGATATCGCGCAAGACATCGAATTGGCCGAGGCGGCGTCCGTGGCTCATTCTCCCAATACCATGGACTCAGTACAGAACACGCAAGGAAGCAGCATGGAGGATTTAGAACACTGCACCGTTTGGGTAGGCACAAGACAAGAGCGACACGAATACATGGACGAACCGCCTTCGCGCCGACTCAAGCCAGACGTGTCTGATGATTGGCATCTCATGAACCCGAACGCAGGCATCGCTCTAATCTACTTCCCGTTCTTGAAGAACGATAAAGTCGCTGGTGTGGATCCGATGACATCGGACTTCATGTCGACATGGAACTTCGTCTATACACCAGACGAGATTGATTCGGTGGTCCGCCTTGCTCGAGCCAACTTCGAGGAGGGCAAGGAACAGACCAAAAAGACTATTCGTGCTGTATATGAGAGGAAGAAAGCTGCTCGACTTCGCAAGGAGAAGGAGGAGAGAGAATTCAGAAGGGCTATGAAGGTCCGCCGAGGCCGCGCTGCCGCGATGCGAAATGGAGATGTTGGTCAGGGCGACCAATTCAGTGGCGGGATTTGATGCGTTTGAAGCGTGTGAGATGATGATACCATAGGATTAGTCTGGACTGCTGACGGGCGACTTGGGAATAGGTTTGTACAGTACTCGAAATGGAACAAGAGCAAGGGCATCACACATCGCAGTCGTGCCGATTGCGCGGATGGACCACTTAACACATCCATCCATTCTCATTACTAGTGCTCAATTGTCCGCCATGGTTGTCCGAGCCTGTCGCGTAGTGTCAGCATCAGCCCGAGATAACATCTCCTCCCACTCGGCCCTCACAATTGTCAACAACCTGCGTCAGACCCCTTTTGTGCTGAAACCTCTTCGCTGGCTTGCATTCCTCCTGGTCTGTCTGGCTAAGCCGGAACGCCTCACATTCACATTCACATTCACAGAAACAGACGTCATGCAGTTCCGAACTCGTCCACCTCCCGCTTTCCGCAGCTTCGATCAAAAGACAGACCGACATCATCCGAAACGATCTGACAGGTAAGGTACGAAAGCGTATCCGGGGTGCTGCGCCTCAAAACAAGCTCAAGACGTCGATGGGAGACCAAAAGCCTACCCAGAGAATCAAGCTGCAAACGTCTCAAACGAATAGTAGAGAGGGGCGATGAAAACGGCGCGGTTTAGATACAGTATTTATGCCTCGTCGTGGGATGGTAAAAATCGAATCAATCCAATCAAGCTGGACGAGCTGTTTTCTGATTTGAGGGAAATTCATTCAGAGGGACGTGATCGAGGATTGGTTGGTAGTGATCTTTCGAAACCGCGAATGGTCAGCTGGCAGTCGCTTTGTTGTTGGGACAAGTTTTCGAGAAGTGGTCTAGGAGTGCGTATGATCGCTGTCTATTTAGCGTGAAAATCAAACGGCTCAGGAGTGTTGAAGAAAATCTGACGTGAAGCTTTTCGACTCAGTGCATTTAATCTCAGCATTGAGCGCTGTAAACATCTCGGGACGCATCTGTTCGAGGTGGAGGCTGCATTGATGGATTTTCGCTAATGTGACAGATGTGCTAAGGTATGTCGAAGGTGTTCGGATTCCACAGGCGAAGCTTGACTTGCATAGGGCACGGTGATCATCATTTCAATCGTGTTATCGAGGAGAGCGTGCGCTGGCTGCAGATTGCCATACCTCAGGGCAGGCAGGCTAGGGCAGCGTTGACGCGAGCCGGACGATCGGCTCTAGAGCAAGTCTCCCTTCGGACATCTTAGTTGAGTTCTTCGACAGGAGCTATGATCGAGGGAGGAAGCTCGGAGACCATGAGAAGTTGCGGCTTGAATGAGGTTCAAGCTGAAGACGGATCGAATGCTTGATGCATAGACATGGCCTGTGCCACGGAAGGGTTGCGGCGTTGCCAAGACACACAGGCAGCGGCTCCGTTCAAGAATTGTGACCGGTCAGCCACTCTTTCCTAATTGTCGTAATTCTTCAGGCCTCGGATAATGATGTTTAACTCTGATCGTATACAATGTCGTTAGGATTGCATTGCCAGCTCATATGCACAAGGTCTCCCCTTCAAACGCCAATCATCCTCCCCACAACACCATCCCTAGCCCAATGCTCGAAAGAATACAATTAAACCGAATTTCAAAACGCGCGAGTTGGGTATCATCCCTAATCCCGATGCAGAGTACTGTCCAAATCGATCATGGCGAACCAGTATGCTAAGGATAAATTCGACCCACAACGTGAGTCGGTCTCTCATCGGTTCTCTGAAAGCCGGCTGAGACGCTCATAGGGCGCGCTACTTGCGCTGCTGTTGCTTTCGCTTCGAGAAAATGCTACTCTCCTGGGCGCATCCGGATATGACTTCTGAGGTGAGGCTTGACTGGAAGTTGTAGTTGCACTCCGAGGGACCTGCGAAGTGTGAGGCGAGCCGAGCTGGAACAAAGCCTGCAACGCGTCTCGCTCTGCTTCGGCAGTCTGTGTCTCTGTCCTTATTGTCGGCGCACGACGAGGATTGGCCGCAATCGGCGTTCTAGGAGGAGACATGGCATTGCTGTAATTTGTGGGTTGGCTCAGAGTCGGAGTGGGGCGATGACGGGGGCTCGGAGTCGGTCTGCTATGCGAAAAGTGAGGGTTAGCCAAAGTCCAAAGAGGATATTCGAGGGTGAAAATGCTGATAGGCAGGACTCTGCGTTCTGGCGTCGTGGAAAGGGCGGCGAATGTGTGTGCACCGCCGAAATGACTATTAAAAGTGACGGGTTCTGGGAATTAGGAGTCTTTCAAAGGTCTATGCCCCGTTCAGTGAGGGGCGCATCGACATCATTGAACGGGGCGTAGAAGGTGAAATGCTCCTGATAGTGGCTGTGACGAGGGGCATAGGAGATGGCTTGCATTCTATCGTACCTGATGTCTGCCGGCGGTTGAAGGCGTGGAGCCGCGCCATTAGAATGCAGTGAATAAGAAGCGGACTGGACTAGTCCACCATAGTTACCAGAATGCCGCTTCGAAGGTGGAGGTCCGACGGCATCTAGTCGTTCGCGATGTAGATCGTTCTCGTACATGGACATTCTCGCGGTCTCGATGCTGAGCCCGCTAGTGCCAGGGCGGTGCTGGTCAAGATGCGACATGCTGTGTCGGTTACTTCGAGCTCTCTGCGCAGCAAGTTGTTCGACTTCCGGTAGTGTCTTGTGCTCCCATCCGTGCTGAACTTTGGCCATGGCATATCCAAGGCGTGTCTTGAGGGTCGCCGCAAGCTCGCCAGCTCTGCTGCCTGAGGAGGAAATCGAGTCGCGGCGCGAGTCTCGGCCGGGAAGATGGGACGTGTATGGTGTATTTGAGAGACTAGGTGTGTTCTTGACATGGCCGCTGGCGGTCCTCTTTGCCCCGTTCGTCGTTGCCGGAGAGGTGATGCTCATGGGACTGGTCAGAGCGTTGTCGCCGTTGGGGTAGGGCATTCGCACTGCATGTTCTGGGGTTCTTTGACGTGGTATTTGCGATTGGGTGGTGGATGTATGGGCTGCATCTTGAGCGAGCTTGGATGCGGCAGAGGATGACGGCGACGTCGGGTCGGTATCGGTGTAGCTGGTCAGTTGCGACAGATTGCTGTCGCTAGCCTGCAACTTGGGCAGGGCGACGCTGCTGCCGGCACTCTGCACGCTCACGAACGATTCCTGGGAAGCGGGAGCGGACAGGACGGGTTGCACGTCGCCGAATGGACGCGTCGCATTCTTATTATGGTGGTTGACTGCGGGGAGATTGCGACTGCGCGATTCCCGGAGATGCGACGTCTGCGCATGCGGCGCGGTGTAGTTGGCGGTCGCCGCCAGAGTCTCCATGACGGTGCTATGATATGGGAGGAGGTGTGTCGCTCGAGTCGTCGTTTTGTCGGCGGGCACGAGCGATATGCGCTGCAGTCGGGTGTCTTGGGGTTGGTGGAGTGCAGCGAGATGGTGCAAAAGCGACGCGGCTTCGGAGAGGCTGGTGTGAGGTGGTGTCTTCTGACGTTAATCCGCTACTACGCGGCCAACACGGTCCAAGACGGACTTTGACGCGCCTCGCTTTCGCACCTGGACGGCAGGACGTCTCAACAATCGGGATTGACTTGATATAAGAAGGATATGCGTCGCGAGCGGGGGAAGGGTTCACGGTGGACGCACGCGCTCCAGAGACACGACGGGAAGACGTTGGGAGCGATGGTAGAGTGACGTTGCCCCACTGGAGCGCGAATGGGTCAATGCACTCTGTCACGCGTTCAGGTGATCGGGTGGAGTGTGGAGGGTGCGTGGTGTGGGTGGGTGCACGTGCTCGGCGCTTTCATGGCCCATTTCTACTAGGTACGATTTACTGATGATAATGATAAACAACGAATTGCGTAAGGCCACTAGATAAGTCGCTTTGCGGGATTTGGCGACATGCTCGCGTGTAGTAATCATGGACATCACGTCGCGTTCCGTCGCTGTCTGCCCTGCAGGTCACGAACGCGGCCGCCGCGGCTGCATTGAGTTTGTGAAAGAGCCGTCTGTCCGCGAGGGAGACGGAGAGAAATCAGAGGGTCGCAAGAACGGAGGGGACTGCCTCAATGGAGCAAAGAATATCGCTTTGAGGCTCTCCAGGTGGCACGAAATGATCTCTACAGAGAAATAATCTCTACAGAGAAGGAGTCCTTCGGTATGCGAGATCGGGCCTGGGTGGCTGTCGGGCTCGCTGGCGACATCACATCGTACGCTCACGTGCTGGGGCGGGCGACATCTTATCGCTCTTCGAAAGCGTGATGGGCACGCATGTCGGTTCAATGTGAAATGTAGCAAGTGCTTGTTATACGGGAGAGTAAAGAGTGAATGTAGAAGTGAGTTGTTCTCCTCCGTGCTTACCTAAGCCAGAAACATGACTCGGGCACCCGTGCTACCTGCTGTGCTGGGCTTGCTTCGGCGCTAGCTTGTGCAACCACTGACTTCATCTTGATTCAACCTCGCTGCTTCCACTCCCTGAAGCACTTCTCCATGCTCACACGGTGACAATACCTTCAGTGCCTACTATGCTCAGCTTGAGAGCTGTAGCTAGGCACAATGGCATCCTACCATCCGCTCCACGGCTCTTCCAAGCAAGCACGCGACACATCCAGACCAAGACGGTGACCGACGGAGACATCCTCAGACTTGCTGCAAGACCACTGTACCCTCTTACGCTGGCCGACCTCTGCAAGCATGGCCGTCCACCGCTCTCGAAGCAAGCTCTGCTCAACAGCGCCAACTTCACCCTCGAGATCCTGCCCTCTCGTCTGGCCCACCGCATTCAAAGCCTGCGAGCTCTGCCATACATCGTGGTAGCCAATCCAAACGTCAATAAGATTCACAACAACTACGTTCACTCCTTGTCCACATTACTGCCATATGCAGAGACGAAGATCGACAGTCTGGAAGAAGAGATCAAGTTTACCGAGGTCATGGCCGATTTGGTCCAGACACACAACAACACCATAGCAATCCTGGCGCGGGGCTTCTTGGAGGCGAGGAAATACATCTCGAAGGATGAGATCTCGCGCTTTCTGGACGAGCATCTCCGGGCAAGAATTGGCACGCGCTTGATTGCAGAGCAACACATCGCTCTGCATTTCAGCAGTAAGCCTCATATGGACATCTCCGACAACCCACACCATGCGCCTCCCTCTTACATTGGCGTCATCGACACAGCTCTGAAGCCTGCCGAAGTTATCAAAAATTGCGAACACATGGTCGGTGAGATATGCGAGCTCAAATACGGAGTTCGGCCAACGATCACCATGATCGGAAGTCCCGAAACCACCATCGCGCACATTCCCATGCATCTCGAATACATTCTCACAGAACTTCTCAAGAATAGCTTCCGCGCTACGATCGAAGCGGGACAAGAAAAAGAGCCCATCGAAATCACCATCGCGCCAGCCCCAGCAGCCGAGGAAGCCACCTCCCACATCAAGCGCCAAAGCCAACAACAGAACGACAAAGACTCCGGCGCTCCTATTGGAGCCATCAGCAATTATGATCAGGGCAGCGTTGACTACGCATCCGGTTCCAACAAACCAGAGCAGTCCATGTCCGCCAACATTCGACCACTGGATAAACAGACTCCGGGTGTGACAATCAGGATCCGCGATCGCGGAGGTGGAATCAGCCCAGAAAATTACGCCAAGTTATGGGAATACGGATTCACGACCTTCAACGAGGATGAGATGATGGAGAAAGTTAGTGGTGGGAGGAGCAACGTGGATGCGCTGGACGCGATTAGTGGCAGTGCTGCTGGCGGGAGCAGTCTTGCCGGACTGGGGTACGGGCTACCGCTGGCGAGGGCTTATGCTGAGTACTTTGGAGGAGGCATTGCGGTGCAGAGTCTTTGGGGATGGGGAACCGATGTTTACCTCAGCCTTAGAGGCGTCGGAAAGATTGATGAATAAGGTAACACACGTCTCGAGATATTACAATGCTTGTGTTACTTGTTCTGTCTTTCAACTATGTTCTGTCTTTCCGCTTTGTGCAATGTGCAATATCAGCACTGCCCCCTACAAAAGAGAACAGCCATGCGTGTTCGATCGGGTATCTTTCCAAGTCATCACATCGTAACGGTCGTAAATGCCGCGCTGCCGAGAGCAAGCCATCTTCCTTCGCTTGCTTCACGACTTAATATTCCAACCTCAATTTCTCCACTACCCTCAAGACACTGATGCTGAAACACAACAGCCACGCCACCAGCGAGACCACCAACACCCCGGAGAGGGCTCTCTGTTTCGAGCAGATCGACGCGTTGTTGGGACACGTTCGCGGGACTGGGATGGAGATACTGCCGATATCCTCGTACGACTCATCGTAGCAGGCCCAGCTTTGATCGAGAAGGGCGTTGAGTGCGAGTGTGAGATTGCTGGCCGAGAAGACGATGAAGTAGAGATCGGAGAGGAGGAGGAACATTTTTCTGTTGACGGAGCGGAGCCCGAGACTGTGGTTTGCGTTAGTTAGGAGATGGTTATTCGATGGTCGGGGAGTGCTTGTGCTTTTGGGTGGAGTGCATACGGTTTGTTAAAGTACTCATCGTAGGTCACGTATCCGACGTAGGGCATGGCGACTGCGCCGACGATGATGGCCATGTATGTCGATGCTTGCGTCGCGCATTGGTTGTTGGGGTCCAGGTCGTCGTTCACGTGGTTGACGTTTCTGAGGATGGTGGCGCCTATGCCGAGACCTGCAGCGGAGTAGGCGAGGACTGTTATGCGAAACCCTAGAGGGACGAAGGCATTCTTCAGAAGTAACCTCTGCATGGGCATCCGTCAGCTTCCGCGCGGTAGAGCAAATCCTCGCAATTCTAGGAGTCTCGATACTCACCCAGAATATCCTCACGGTCTTCTCTTGTCTCTCTGGACTGATGAGCCATTTCCCTCTGTACATCAACCCGGTGAATCCCTTCAACCCATCCCCTTGCGCATCCACTCTCAAATCGTCCTCTTCCTCCCACTTTTGCGCGCACACGGGCATGTTTGCCTCCATCCAACTCTGTGGTCGTACGATGCCATCTTCTCTCGTCTCCTGCGGGTTGGGGCCCGACTGCATGAACGGAATCCATCGCGTCTGGTGGTCGGGGATAGGCGCGGAGATCAACGCCGTCTCATGTTCACGGTATTTGTCCCATTTTCGACCGACCTCGTATTTCGGTGGAGGTTTGTAATGCCGCGTGTTTGGCACGATGTTGTGGTTCGGGAGGAAGGGAGCCTTCTCGTCGCTGGCGCTCGAGTTGAGGTGTGTCCATGGTGGTATGGAAGCGGGAACGTGCGGGTCGGACTCTTGGGATTCAGGTTCGTTCCGAGGTTGCGACGACGAGGACAAGCCGGGGATCTGAGGCATTGCTGTTTCCCCACCAGATAAGGTAGTGATGGAGGCGCCGCCCTCGTCGCTCCTTCCGCCGACGCGACCTGCTTCTCCTCGAGATGGGGGCGGGAAAGAGAGACGGTGGACTTGGTCGGTTGGAAGAACTTAAGTGGCAGCCCGGAAGATCCTGGTAATTAAATGCAGTGCATGGCCCGTGGAAACGTGGGGTCACCAGCCACAACATCTGCAACTCCAAGGTATTATTCAAGCCGCCGCATCTTCCAAGTTCATCGCATGCAAGATGTTTTCAAGGCCTACTGGTGCCGCTTCGATTACACAAGGGAATGGGCTCGATCGCGTTCGTTGCAAGAAACAACGATGGTACAATCCGCGGAGCAGCTGATCGATCGCCCAAACTGCCGGGCTGGAGCATCTGAACCTCCCACAGTGCTCCTATTCTGTTTCGGAGGCAAGCGCCGCGTAGTACCGCCTCTTGGGACAGATGCAATAAGGCTTGAATGTCATGCTGCAGCCGCATCATGCGGTACGATCTGGTCTTCCGGAAAGACTCTTGGTGACACATCCCAACTCACCCTCGGTCCGCCTTTTCAGCTGCCAAGCAGAGTTTGAAGTACCTTAGCTTCTGCTGCCTCGCCTCGTTATTACATCTCAACAAAGCTATACCTTACTCACTCATACAGCACACTCACAAACACAACCACCATTGCGCAATGGCATCGCCTATCCAATACTACGACATTGCCTCTGCTCCCCCGCAGCAGACCTTCGCAGCCAATCCATGGAAAACACGATTCGCCTTGAACTTCAAAGGTGTTCCATACGAGACGCGATGCATCCAGATGCCAGACATTACCTCAGTACGAGAGAAGCTGGGTGTTCCGGCAAATCGCACTCTCCCGGACGGCACCCCCTACCACACGTTGCCTGTGATTAGTGATCCCTCGACGGGAAAGCTCTTAGGGGATTCGTTTGAGATTGCGCTCTACCTGGACCAGACCTACCCTTCAGCTGCCACGCTGTTTCGTCCGCATACGACCGGTCTCACTGCGGCATTCAATGCCCAGGTCGACGGCACTTTCACGAAATACGCCATCCTCTGTAGCGAGATGCCTTTCGATCTTAGCGTAGCAGACAAGGTCAAAGAGATCTTCGCCGCGCGAGCTGGCTCGATGAGCGTAAATATGCAACTCGATGACAAGCAGCGCGAAGGCATGCTCATTGAATTCGAAGCATCATTAGGCGAGCTGGCAAAAGCGTACCGCCACACGGGTGGAACGACGGACTATTTCTGGCGGGCTGGAGGTACTGATGAGGAGCAGAGGCAGCGTGGCCGTGACGAAGCAGGGCCATGGTTGGATGGCGATGAGCCTTGCTACGCAGACTTCATTGTGGGCGCGTGGTTGAAGATGTTTGAGGGCAGTATGAGAAAGGAGGATTGGGAGTTGGTGAAGTCCTGGCAGGGTGGTTTGTGGGGAAAGCTTGTTCAAGCTCTACAGAAATGGTCGGCCATGAGGTAATGTGATAGTGAAAGTACGTTGAGTAACAGACTCCGGAGCCAGTACTGGTTGCGAAAGGAATCGCGATCCCTCAGGCGAGACCATTCTCGCATGGACTCGAGGCGCGTGTGTCAAGGAGCAACTTCAAACTCTTCTGTAAATGCGAGACATCTAGAGGTACCCGTGGACCTTATAGCGTGTCTACTAGCATCTCCCCAACAGGGTTGAGTCCGAGCTTGTGATTATGTAACGCACTTTGTGCTTGACGCGCTTCGCGTATCGCACCAACACGTCAGTCCTACTCCCGCGCACATCGGATTGGGTGGTGCTCTGCATTTTCGCGTGTAACAACCGATTCTTGCTGAGCCGTTCAGGATATTCGACCGACCATACAGGTGGCATATCATCTCACTACCTCTTAGAGCCAACACGCGCTGGAGACGCGTCGTGCCCGGAATTATCTCCACTCTGGACATGGCCGCTAAATCCACGGGCTCTCAATGAATCGCCCCATGGCCACCATAGCAACGAATGGATCGGATCTGGTGTCTTACATTGTCCCTGGGGCACCTCATCTAGGCGTGGCTCCCCACAGCGGAGCACTTGTCGTCGTTCCAGATGGACTGGGAGGTGTCAAGTCTTACGGGTGGTTCACAGCTGCTTGCTGCAGGATAATATCTCAGGATTCAACTCAGCTGGAGCTGTGCTTTAAGCAGGGCCTACTCTCGTTCAGTGTGTTCGAAAAGGCTTGCAAGCACCTTGGGGCGACATGCGGTGCCCCAGACGTCCAGACCTGGCAGGAGCGGCTCAGCATGGGATCTTCTATCATGCAACAGTACACCAGCATCAGCGCCGAGGAACAACTGATATGGCTAAAACGAGATGTTGAGTTCCGTAAGAGCTTCCAGCCTACGCTTCAGTCGTCGCTCCAAAGCGTAAATGCCATTCTCGCAACTTCGCAATTCACGAATCCGCAAGAACAACAATTTCACTCTGATAGCGGGGCCGCTATCTGTGCTTTGATTCAGCTGAACGATCAACAGATCGCACATATCAAGGACACGCAAAGCAAGGTCCTTGCTATCCTTCCCGGGGACACGGCGGCCAAGCTAGCAGGACCTTGTTATTCTGCTCCCGGTCGGAATGTCCCCGCTCCAGGACAGAGCTCCACGCTACAGCCCGCGGTAGAACGGCCACCTTTAGTCCCTATCTCTGCAAACGCGAATCACAGCATGGAGTCGGGTTTCCAGAACAGTGAAACTCTCAAGAGACGACGGGAAGACGAAGCCCCAAAGGTACGTAGGGCAGACAAGTGGCTCTCACTTGATAGTGCAGCGCTGTCTTGAGCATATACTGATCCGGAACTAGGCCAAAAGCGAGGTCATTTCCCTGCTTGAAGAGTCGGACGACGAAGACGCTCTTCAAGGTCAGGCCGATGCCTTGAATGCCAAGATTGCCGCGATACGAGCTCGTACTGCGCATGAAGATCAACTCGTGCCCAGTAAGAAGCCTAAGACGCGCGGAAAAGCTATTCAGCAGCCACAGCCTTCTGAAGTCACCGCTCAGCTCTCAGTGGTATCGAACACGCCGCAAGCAGGGCAGAGCGCTGAACCAGAATGGTTACCCAAGCCTCCATTGACTGCGACCAACCGTTTCGATCCAAACGAGCGAAAACTGGAAGGTAATCATGCTGATGGAATTGCCAATGCAAGTCAGTTCGCTTGCATCAGTCCCCAAGAATCCTCACGCGCAAGCGCTGGGGCGATGGAGCAGCCACAACCATCTACCGGTCCAAGCACCGCAACTCGCCCCTCAGTCACTCGCACAAAACTAAAGCTTCGGACGCAGGGACACGCTAGTGTCTGGATAGAGCCAAGTAATGAGACCAGAGCTCGGAAGGTGATTCAGGTTGGAAAAGCTCAATTCAAAATATCGACGCAGCAATCGGCACATCTGGTTTTTCGTGGCCAGCGTCTTGATCCAGACCAGAGAATTGGCTCTCTTCACGCAAAAGATTGTGACGCCATTGACCTGATCGTTTCAAACAGGCACACGGATGCACTCAAATCTCAGGGCAACGCCTGTAGTGCTCAAAAGATTCCAGCATCGAAGAATGAATCGATTCCGCCACCAGCGCCTCCAACAACACTATCCCTGTGGTTTGAAGACAACTCAGTTCGCTTCTCCCGCTTGCCCGACTGTCTTTCGAAGCAGGGAAAGCATCTTTTCCGCGGGTCTTCGCAAGCAGCTTCCGAAAATGCATCGCCAGCACCGGCATTGGCATCGCCAGCACCAGCGACGCCCGTACCAGCAACACCTCAGCCCGTCATCGATCTTACATCTGGGGCCCTCGTGCCGCCAGATCAGCCGCAACCCGCGCCAAGAAACGAACCGGTGCTGTGTCAAGAGCAGCAAGAGGTTGTTGACCTGATCTTGGCTGGAAAGAACGTGTTCTACACTGGCTCCGCTGGCTGCGGAAAATCAACGGTCCTGAAGTCCTTTGTCCCGAAGCTACGTGAACTTGGGAAGGAGGTACGAATCGTGGCGCCAACGGGCAAGGCTGCGCTCGACATCAATGGCTCAACTACGTGGACATTTGCAGGATGGACTCCACTGCATATGAAGAAGCCTTTGGTCGATCTCAGAAAAGCAGCTCACGGAACATTTGTCCGTCGTCGGCTTGTTCGCACCGATGTCCTTGTCATTGATGAGATCAGCATGGTTGAAAACCATATGCTCGAACGACTGAGCGCCATCATGAAAGAGGCTCGAGGCGATGACCGAGCCTTTGGTGGAGTACAGCTCGTTGTCACTGGAGACTTCTGTCAGTTGCCTCCAGTGAAGCCTTTCCAGCACTGCATCACGTGCGGACGCGAACAGCCTCGGCGCATGGCTGCAGATGGACGAGTTGTTTACAGATGCCCTCAACACGGTGATCGTTTTGATGACGACAAGTGGGCTTTCCGGAGCGCAGCTTGGGAAGAGTGCAAGTTCAAGCACATCAACTTGACCAACATCCATCGACAAAGCGACGAGGTCTTCATCAAGATCCTGCAGAAGCTGCGAGTTGGTAGTGCCCTCACCCAAGCCGACCGTGAGTTGCTGATGAACCATACTTGCAACATTGACAATGCTGTCAAGCTCTTCCCGACTCGCAACGAGGTCATGCGCATCAACCAGTCAGAGTTCGACAAGCTCACGACCGCCAAACTGGGCTATACCTGCTTAGACCACTTTCGCTGGAACGAGGAGAAGCACCCACACCTGAGGTCCAAGGGCGACAGGCAGCCTTATGACAATTCGCTTATTGCCCTAAGAGAACACCGGATGGATAACTTTGTGGAGCTCCGAAAGGACATGTTGGTCGTTCTGCTGGTGAACCTCGACATCAAGCTTGGACTGGTCAATGGAAGCCAGGGCAAGATCGTTGACTTCGAGCCCTACGATCCCGCGAAGCTGCCCAAGGCGAGCCGCGATAGTGGAGGAATCGGCAGTAGCAGCAAATCAGCGCGACCCGGATACAGCTCCACTCAGAGATCACGCGGACGCCGCGATGGTTCGATGGAGCCTCCAGAGTCGTATGAGTCGGGCGAGCTTCGAGGCGAGTATGCCGCATTGCGCGAAACGCAGATTCGGGAGTTCATTCTGCAGGACCGGAACAAGTCCAAGATGTGGCCAGTGGTGGAGTTCGACAATGGACTCCGGCGAACGATCTATGCCGAATGCACGGTCAATGAGCTGGGGGATGTCGAGCCCGGGCAGCAGAGGGATTACACGCTCTTGGCCAGGACGCAGATTCCGCTCGTCGCGGCGTGGGCCATGACGATACACAAAAGCCAAGGCATGACTTTGAACCGGGTGATGGTTGACCTTGGAAAGAGCTTTGAGGAAGGTCAGGAATATGTTGCGCTTTCGCGTGCTCGGGCGCTGGATGGGTTGAAAGTGTTGTCACTTGGAGATGGCGTTGGAAAGGGAGGCAATGCGCAGGTCAAGCAATTCTTGTGGGAGAAGTTCAAGTTGAGATGAACATGTACCAAATCGTACACGATGGCGTGTATTATTTGCATGTGGCAGCCAATTTGTGTTTAGAGGGTCTTGACCCCCCCTGTAGAATGAAAAGGACGGTCGCACGCGCTAGGGAGGCGCTAGTTGGACCCCCTGTCTCTCGTTACACGACGTCACGTCGCGACTGCCACTCATCCGAACAAAGAAGCAGGAAGGAGCAGCACGCAAGCACGCAAGGACGCAAGGACGCAAGGACGCAAGCACTGTACGCATCAGGCGGGTCGGACAAAGCCACCGCCTCGTGGAGTGACAGCCGACGATGGCGTCGAGCACCATCTCGAGATATGTCCCACGGGCGAAGGCGTGCAGGAAAATAGGCGAGTCTGCAGTCGCGTGTCGTGATATCCTACCTGCAACACAACATACCTTACGATTGCAGCGCTCGCAGCTCGCTCTCGACACTCGACGCCTGGCTCGCTGCTCGACTCGAGCGACAACATCCCAGGCGACGTCAGCGACAGAGATCACTGCCAATTCTCCCTCCTTCACACGGGTCCTGCGATACAACACTACATCACCTCACACCATACCATACCATACCATACCATACCACTCCGTAGAGTCGAGCGTGACGAGAGACCGACGGCCTCCTCCGCGCCTTCTGCACATCCCCGCGACTGCCTGCCCTCACGCCTTCCCTGCGCTGCATCGTGCAGTGTTCGAGGGCAATTGACCACGCGCTCCTTCCTTGTCCGGCCTCCCTGACCGCTGACTACCTTACCTCACCACTTCTTCCAATTCTCCACACCTGAGGTAAACACCTCCAGCTGCTTCCACTTTGCCCAGAGTCGTCGTCACTGCTGGGCCATGTAGGGCGTCTCGCCATGTCCACTCCTCACCCATAGCACAGCCTCCCGCAGCACAGCATCAACACACAAGATCGCTCGCTCCCGTCCCTTGCATGGTCTTTCAAAACCCCTGGCTGAGCGCAATGCCTCCCTCGCAACGAGCCACAACATGCTCTCTACGACCTACTCTACGTGGCCCACAGCGCTCTACCGGTGCCGACGACGGCGAGGCGCAACAGGCCGGACGCTCATCGACCAACCTCAACGCCCAGGCCTCGGCACAGTCGCTACGAGAAGCATCCCGGTCAGGACCACGCGACAGGAGCTCCGTCGGAAATTCTGCGTCATGGAACAAGGGCAGCATACCTTCGCTTGTAATAGACCTACCGTCTCCGCAACACCTACCGCCCCATTACAGTGGCACCGTTTCGCCGTATGCTCCTGCCATCTCCTCTCCGCTCAATCCAAGGCCATCCAACGTGAGCGGGCGTCAAGAGAGTCCGAAGGACAGTGATAATACAAGTGAAAGCGCCGGTTCCTCTGATCCTGGGAGGGGGCCTGGCATCGCTACTTCGGCCTCGGCGACAGGAATGAGTACGGTGGGATCATTACCACAGACGTCTACAACACAGTCGCTGTCACCGGTGCCCGAGACGTCACAGGCAGGGTCAACGGCAAGTCTGACAAGGTCGGTAAGGGATCTTGGATCTGACTACACCCGATACTACAACCCATTTGCTCGGTGCAATAACTCGCAGCAAGAGCTATCGTCACCTTTACTGCAATACAACTCATCCTGGCTGCTGCATCCTAACGATGTCATCGGATCCAAAGACCTGGCGAAGCGTTTCTCAAATCCGTTCATGGACTCCAAGAGGATTTCGAATCCCTTCGACTCCGCCGCTAATACCGCGCCGGGTACGCCAGGACCAGAACGGACAGAGCTGATTCAACCAGGGCCTACAGTCGCTACAGCTGCCGTGACTCCGAGAGGTGGAACGCCGAGCTTCATCAATAACGCTGACCCAGAAAAGGTTCACTTCTATGCAGATGATCGGTTTGGCGCGCCTTGGACATTTCTGCTCTACAGCGATGAAAAGGAAGACGATGACGATATGCACATGCCGCGTTGGGATGATGACCGGAGATTCAAGCCGAGGCTGGTAGAGAGATTTTCAAGAGAAAACATTGTCAACACGATTGGTATGATCTTTCTGTTGACAGGGTTGCTCTGTATTTTTGTCGTCCTACCTGTGGTGTCATACACCACCAACGGCATCCTCTTTTACAGTTACGAGACTCCCCTGGATCAGATGCCGGGCTACGAAAAAGGCGAGCCGTGGGCGCATGTCAACGATCGATCGTACCCTCTCCTCAAGAACATCCGAACAGGACTCATCGACCCAGACACTCCGGCATCTGCGCAAACGCGGCAAGGCGTCAATGGCGACGATTATGTTCTGGTATTCAGTGACGAGTTCAATGAGAAGAATCGGACATTCTATCCTGGTGACGATCCGTACTGGTTCGCGCCGGACTTCTGGTACGGTGCGACCCAAGACTTGGAGTGGTATGATCCTGACGCTGTGAATACTGGTGTGTACTGTACGACCCAATTGACCCCACTGGTTGCGCTAATAACATCACAGGCGATGGCACTCTCCAGCTTCAGCTCGACGCTTTCGCTAATCACGGTCTCGCGTTCCGATCCGGCATGCTGAACTCATGGAACCAGCTCTGCTTTAAGGGCGGCATTTTTGAAGTATCTGTCAGCCTGCCTGGGCCTGCAGGTATCCACGGCCTCTGGCCAGGAGTCTGGACAATGGGAAATCTTGGTCGACCTGGCTATCTGGCCACCACAGATGGCCTCTGGCCGTACACTTACGATGACTGCGATGCTGGCATCACCCCTAACCAATCCATGACCGACGGCACGAGCTGGCTCCCCGGACAACGCCTGCCGAATTGCGTGTGTCGTGGCGAGGACCATCCAACCCCTGGCACAGGCCGCGGCGCACCGGAAATCGATATCATCGAAGTCAGTGCAGACTGGGGCGGTAAGGGCTATAGTGTGGCCACGCAGTCTTTCCAGGTCGCGCCCTTCGACGTCTGGTATTATCCCAACTACGACTTCATGGAGAACCCCAACTACAACTTCAGCCTCGTGAACAGCTGGACTGGCGGTCCTTATCAACAAGCTGTTTCTACGACCACAATGTTGAACAATGAGTGGTACGACGGCAAGCAATACCAGAAATACGCCTTTGAGTATGTCCCTGGAGGCGATAAGAACGCCTTCGTTGCTTGGATCGTCGGCGAAGACGAGATGATGAAGTTCGATGGCCGCGCTTTGGGACCGAATGGCAATGTGAAGCAGCGACAAGTGTCGGAAGAGCCCATGTCATTGATTCTCAACCTCGGTTTCTCGCATTCCTGGGTCAACATCGACATGGCGAATCTGAGGTTCCCGACTGTCATGCGGGTGGACTACGTGCGGTGGTACCAAAAGCCTGGCGAAGAGATGGTCACCTGCGATCCACCGGGATACGAGACAACAGAATACATCGCCAAGCATCCCGAGCCATACAACAACAACAACCTGACGCATTGGGCGGATGCAGGCTACACGTTCCCAAGGAACACATTCATGCATGGATGCTCGGGGGAAGAGGCCTCATGACCGTGGCGATTTCTTGGAAAGAAGGCAAACAACGTTTTGTCGAGATGTACGTGCAGTACAGCGCGCATTCTTGCATTGGCGTTCATGCAACGAGAAAGAGGAAAGCGAGGCGCATTGGGGACTCACGAATTGACGTACGATACACAGCATGAGGCGGTCTCTTTCGCGTTCTTGCGTTTGATGGCGCATCGTCCCCCAAAACACATTCTTAGGGTAGTGTATATGGCTGGGCATGTGCATATGTTCCATTTGACTGAAGAAGCAGTGATTGATGAGTTGTACGAATAGGATGCTGATGTCTTCTTCTGAAGGGGGTCGGTGGAGGATAAGGTTATTGTAATGTAGTTTATGATATCTATCAACCACGACGAAGACGAGAGCAGACACCTTTCTCTGTCTGTACATGAAACTGAGTGCTATGGCACGTGTTTGCTGACTAATTAGCGTTGACAAGGTTTGTCCCCACGCGACTTCACCTCGTCTAGCAGCAGTCTGTGTCCGCATTTTCTGGTCACTTATCTTGGAGAATCCCGTCTCTTGCTCGATGCAAAGTATGAGACGACTTGAATTCCACACCATCAGCTAAGATGTCTGACCACGGTTGAACGCCTTCCAGTGACGGGCAGAAACACCAAGGGAAGAAAAAAACAATGGACTGGCTCCCAGGGTGGCGAAGGCCGGACTTCCTCAAGTCCAAGCGAGGCAGGAATCGCGTCGAAGACGAAAAGGGAGATGAAGCGCGTCTGGTCGACGATCTGTTTCCCGGATTCAAGATGACTGAGGAGGATGGAATGCTTGCTCGCCGGGCGTACTGCGGCGGCACTGGGTCTGAGAGGGAGCCGGGTGGTGTGAGGGAGAGGGAGAGGGAGAAGGAAAAGGAAAAGGGAGTTCCGTGGGGATATATGCTCCCCCTGCTCGAAGCTCTTATGGAAGAGCAGCGGAAAGATCAAGCTCCTCCTCCTCCTCCTCCTCCTCCTGCTCCGGGGATGGGAATCCGAATCCTAGATGTCGGCTGCGGAGCGGGCAAGATGGCCATCGATCTCGCCAAGCGACTCGGCCCCGCGGGCGAAGTGGTCGGGGTGGATCTCAGCGCCGCGATACTCTCGAGCGCGCGCGCGCAGGCGGAAATGGAAACGACGGCAAATGTGAGATTTCTGCAGGGGGATGTGTATTCTTTGCCTTTGGAGGCGGCGGCGGCGGCGGGAGGGGGAGGGGGAGGATTCGACGTCGTGAGCACGCATCAGGTCCTCGCGCATTGTAGGGAGCCCGTGCGGGCTATTAAAGAATTGATGAGGGCGGCGAGGAAGGGGGGAGGGGGAGGCATGCTCTGTCTGAGGGAGGGGGATTTACTCACCGCGAAGTTCTTTCCCGAAGATGCGGTTTTGGGGGAATGCTTTGACGTTATCCGCAGAGTCCATGCGTCTCAGGGCGGGGCTGTGGAGGCCGGGAGGCAATTGCAAAGGTGGGTTCGAGAAGCTGGGGTGGAGAGGGAGAATTTTGAGGTAAGCTATAGGGCTTGGGTCTACGAGACTGCGGAGGAGAGGCGGGAGTACGGCGGCCATTGGCCGGCGAGGTGTACGCTGGGCATGTTTGCGGAGAGAGCGATGGAATTGGGAGTCTCGCGGGAGAGGTTGGAGCAGTATGCACTGGCTTGGAAGAGGTGGGTGGAGGATCCGAGGGGGCGATTTGTGATGATTCACGCAGAGGTTGTTGCTAGGGTATGATGCCAGACGCAGTCGCTGAGCTATTGTACATACATACATACTAGACCCGCCGTTTCCGACCTTTATCAGAAATCGACTGCGCGATTCTCTCCTTGTCGCTGATAAATCCCCATGCTCCGAAAAAAAAAACCCCCTTCTTACATTGTCAAATTCCGTTACTCAGACAGCTCCTACCGTCTGAGCCTAGAAGCGATCGCCTCGCTGCTGGTGCTGATGCCCTCGGTATCATGTCCTTCTGGAAGATGCGAGAGCTTTCTGCCGGGACGAGGCTGAACGCCGCGATGTTCTTTCAGAGAACCGCAAATGATGGTGTAGGGCCTGATGGGGTAGTAGGAGCCGTTATTTCGGGCTTTGATGGTGATGTGGGTCAAGGAAGAGCGTGAGGTTTTGTAGGTCGCGCGGGACGGCCTGGTTGCATGTCGGAGGTTAGAGCTTCACAAGTGTAAATCAGCGAGGTCTTGACCTGTTGGTCGCACGAGATGGCTGCTAGTCGCTGAATCTTGCTTCTTTCGGCCGAAGCTGGGTTCGATCGTGCCCGCCTTAGTGTATGTATGTCCTGATGTATCTCGTCAGAGGAAGAATGTTCTGGTTTTCAAGGGAGTAGCCACGCCGACTAGAGCTTACTCAGCGAGATTTATTAAACGATTTGCCAGCCACAATCTTCATATAAAAATCGTGCCATGTGAGTAACAGAACGAACCTAATCGTTCAGGGAATCTCTGACACTAATTCCATCATCGCCAAACATCGAACCTTTCTCTCGTCCCGCTTTCATTTCCTAGCTATTGCACATCTCACGACAATATAGTCGACGAATGCACTGGTCTCAGAGGCTGGGTGCGACCAACGCGACGAGCAGGGCGGCTCGACAGATTTCCCTTTTCCTCCTGACTTCCAGCAGACTTTCGATGACATCTAGACGGCAGCCTGTGGTGGACTTGTCAGAAAGAAGGACCCCTCAAACCAGGCGCACCATCGCATTTCCCCCGCCGTTCTGTCTCTCTCCATCGCTGATCTCGCGGGAAGAGTAACGCGGAACGATCAACATCCGAGATCATCAGCCCTCCCGATCCTCGGGCTCTGCGTAGTCGAGCAAGAATCTCTCAGCAAGAACACGCTTGACCTCTCTACCAAGCGCTGCATCGTCGACTCGGAGCGCATCGAGAATCTTCGCTTTGACGTTCTCCTGCTGGCATCTGCGGTGGATCTCATTCAGAACCGGAACGCACTTGTTCACCAGGTCGTCGGCGTCCAGGCCCGCTTCCGTGACAGTCTTCCCGGAGAGGGTGAAGCTTCGCAGACCATCGAGCCGGGAGAGCGTCTTTAATGCCAGTCGGATCTTTTTCAGAGCAGCCTCCTGCCAGCGATTGAAGGCCCAGCTGTCGTCTATGCGGACCCTCCGAAGATAGCTCGCGGCGTGCGGGTTGCGCTTGATGAGCATCTCGAGCGCCCGAGCAGAGTGGAATTCGAACGTGTTGGTCTGGTACAAGACCTTGGCGGTCTCGTCGTGAAACTGGCGGCTGACTTGCAACATGTTGAAGGCGTCGCGCTCCCTGCCGGTCCACTTCTTTGCGTGAGGATCCCAGTTCTTCGGAACGTGAACAGACATTTTGGAGGCCCTGAACGACTTTTCGACCAATCGAAAGCTTCCTAGCTGTCTGTGATAAACCCTCAGACTGATGGGCTCACCATCCGTGACGCAATATCCATAGATCATATCGCGTATTTCCACCGGAAGCTCGACGATGGGAAGGGCCTTGCTCTCCCGCAATTCGAGGCAGTGCGATTCGACTTGGTCTCCTGACATTTCGGTCACCTTTAGATGTGATCAGCGAAGCCATCGCACGTGACAGCAATGACAATACATACTGGCTTGATCATGAATGGGACCTTCTTGGTGACGGTGATGGTGACGGTGTATGCCTCGTTGTCTTCGTCGTACTTTGACGGGAGCCCAAGACCGGCTCCGGAGATGGTAAGACCAGAGCCTGAATCTGTGTACATCGTCACGGGACCGCGTGCGTTGCCGGTGCCGTTGGCGCTCGCGAAGTCGTAGTCGGCCGCCACGAGTGTTCGCGACTCGCTCAAGCGAGCGGCCTGCAAGCGATCAGTGTGTGTTCCTTCTACGAAATGATGGTGTCGTGAACTTTCCTGCTGCTGTTGCCCGTTCTCCATGATGGAGGGTTGGGTGGTACTGAGCAATGCGGTGCGATGATGTTTATGGAAGGTAAAAGAAGACGACCGACGGAAGGAAAGAGGTGCTTATGTACTACTGGTTGCTGCGTAGACAGCGTTTGTAGCTGCGTTTACAAACGTAATTTGCATGTGAAAGGCAAAGTGAAGTGGCATATGAAACACGCTAACCTAAAGCCCTGCCATTTTCCCCTTCGCTCTGCCGTGTGCGCAGCAAGTGAGGTTTCATTCGCGCAAGGTGCGCAGCTCTCAATCCTCAGATTCTGTAAACGAAAGCCATCCGTCTTCACTGGTCCTGACTGAAGACGGAGCTCCGGCAGACTGGAAGCTAGATGGGTAGTAGTGGCCGCCGGAGTAGCCCTCCCATTTAGTTTCCGAGGCCCAAGTATCCAGAGATGATACGACGAGCCTGAGCCTGGATATTGGCATTTGCTGCGCTGATGTTGACGCAACAGGAAGTGGGCGGGTGATCGATCCTGAACTCTAGGACTTCCGGTACACTGCCCGACAAGTCATTCTCTTGCCTATGCTTCTGCAAAGTCTTCATCAATACCTTGCAGTCGGCAGCTACATCAGCTGCGCTAGTCCTTGCTGGCCGATACCCGTAGGAGATCGGGCACACGTTGTTGTGCTCGATGCTCAGGGTGCGCAGACCCTTCGCCACAGCGAGGGCTTTGAAAGCCGCGCGGGCGTTTGTCTTCTTGTAGCCGTTCGATTTGATATGCACATGGCGGATATGCTGCGCGCGCTTTCCGATCACGTCGATGAATTCCTGGAGCGCGGTGGTCCTGGAGAAGCTAAGCACGTTGCAGCCGTAGAGCACCGGCTCCGCCTCGTGGAAGACCTGACGGCTGGCAAAGAGGATGGAGATGTACTGGAGTGGCGCGGGTTCCCACGACTTAGTCTTCCTGCTGTAGAGCTGATCATACAGTCAGCCTCGAATTTGCATCCGGTCCGCGCACTACAGTATCTTACCTTTCCGGGTTGCTTGCTGGCCTTGGGGCGACAAACCTCCCTAGGCCTTCCATGAATGTGCATCCGCACTTCAAGGGAGACGTGTCGCGCCTCTTGGAACACGAAGCCGTAGATCTCCGTGCGGATCTCAGCTGGCAGGTCCATGAAGCCAATACGCGGCGGGTCGGTACTTTCGGTGGCATTGTTCGTCGTCTGGTCCGTGGTCTTCTTCGATGCGAGCGCCTTGGCCTTCCGCTTTCGCGCCATTGTATGTGCCTGCGAGTTGATGGACTTCAAGTTTGAAGTTGATGTCAAGAAGTTGTTTGTTGTTTGACGCCTGTAGCGTTTGGGAAGGTGCGTCGCGGGCACTCCCGCCCTTAGCGTTTTTAGGCACCAAACACGTGAGTAAGGTACTCTTCCAGCGCTTCGAGCAGTCCACGCGCTGTGCAGATGAGGACCTAAACTTTAGCCAGCATGCTCCCAGAAATCCTATCGGCCCCAAGCTACTTCTTCCTCCAGGCAATGGCGTTTCAAGAACGCCTTGCTCCCGGAAACGCAAAACAAGCACCGCCTGTAATGGTAAGCAAGCACAACCCCAACCCAAAAGACACCTCACCTGGGCCCAATCGCATCAGGGGGAGAACAAGAAGAAAAATTGTCCAGGAAAGAGGACCCGCGAGCAAGTAAAATCTCTCATATCAGTCTCAAGATACCGCAAGCCTCTTCTCTCTCAGACCTCGACCCATAAATCTAGCTAAGGCGGAAAAGCAAAGGAAAGAACCGTGGGGTAATCGTGACACTCTTCTTCGTCTTCTCCTCCAATCCAAGAAACGAAGCTCGCAACGAGAAACACCGCTAAATTGCTCCATCACTTGAAAAGAAGTCCGTCGAAAAGAGGAAAGCAAGAAGCCAGTGGTACATCTTCCTCGCCACTGTCAGGGTATTCAATCTACTCGGTCATTGGGAAGCTGAAGAGAGCATCTGTTTCTCCGTGCGCCGCGTTCATCGTCCAGAACCCCATACTGTGAACGATCTGCTCCAGACGCCATGCCAAGCTGAGCAAGAAGCCAGTCCTTATGCCGTCCGTGGGTCGGCCATCGGGTGGAATCAAAGATGTAATTCAGTAGCGGAGGAGGACTTGCTTTCTCAGTCATCGATTGCGAAGATCTCCTGTTGATAATCCAGCAGCGCCTGCACCGCATGTCGCTGTGTCTGCATGTCGCTCATCTCGCGCTCAATCGATAGCGGTCTCATGATCGTCGGTGCGAACACGACAGCAAGATTGAGCGACGTCATCAGATTCTGAGGCTCGTGCTGCATGACGCGTGCCAGATGCTGGACGAGAAACTGCAGGCAGTCACGGTGCGCCTCGGGAAGCTCATCGAGCATATGTCGAAGGGCGGAGACTTGCTTCTCCTTGTCTTGTGTCCTGCCGGCTTCCAGGAGCGAGTCGTAAGCATCGTAGACGATTAGCGGTGTCGGCAGCTTTCGGAAGTATTGCTTCAGCGCGCTTGTTACTGCATGGATATCGAGATCCTCATCGGAGATGTCGAAGTTGCCGTCCTTCTCAAAGCCTTGCTGTACGGATTTGACCTGGCCTGCGCCTCCCGACTTTCGGTAGATACCTTCCATGTCCATACCTCGAGCCTCAACTTCTGAAATACATTGTGTGACAACGCTGGGTATCAGGCGATTCTCGTGCTCGCATCGCGCTGTGAGCTCGGATCCAAAGAGCACTGCTGGTGTTAGTGTGTTGGCCACGTGTACAGCTATGTGATGAGTCTTACCTGATGGCTCAACCGGCGTAGCAAGATTAGAGCTGCTGTTGTTCTTCAAATGCCCCAAGCCGGCGCTCTGCTTCAAGCCGGTGCTCTTCTGACCAAAGAAGCCGTACCCAGAAGTCCCCGAATGTCCAGATTTGTTGTCATCAAGTGTCTTTCCCGTCAAGCTGCTCTGCTCGCTACCAGCTGTGGCTTGAGTCTGGCTATATGGGTGTCCGATCGAGTACGGGCCCGTGGGTTTGACTTCGTTGCCAACAAATGCGCCCTTTATACCTTTTGTGACCTTGCCTGCCATCTTCTCGCCACCTCGTCGCCAGTTGAACTTGTTTGGTTTGCCAGTTTTGCGGATATTCACGACTTGTGGAGCTGCTAGCACGGATCCCGTGTCCGCGTCTGGATCATGCAAGACATTCGGCATAGATGGGTCAGTATTCACGATATTGAGGTTGCGAATTTCTGATGGGCCAGACGTCTCCAGTTTCGCGCCGGGGTGATAGATTCCCAGACCATTTGCTGGACCTGGCAAGCCGTTCGCGTTCCGGTTATCCTGGTACATGCCTTGAATGCTGCGAAGGAGCTCGTTGTTGTGTTGTAGCAGTTGAGTATTCTTAGAAGACAAAGACTCATATTCCTGGAAGCCTTTGTCTTTCATCTGAATGAGATTGCCAATCTCATCTGTCAACTCGTTGCGCTTGTGCATGAGATCTTCAATCTGAGCGGAAATATCATCCTTCAGCTTCTGAAGTGACTCAGCGAAATCTTTCAAAATGCTAGTCTTCAGAGATCCGATATTCAGCGGCTGGCTGTTGTCCTTGGCCTTGCTCAGATGCTCGGTCATGATCTCGAGTTCACGCACGACCATTTCGCGTTGAGTGTCCAGAAATGCCATGGTAGAGCGCTTTTCGCGCAGCTCGCTGTTGACGGCTTTCATTTCACTGGAGCCTTCCAGTTTCTCCTGCAGACTCAACTTCTCTTGTTGAAGTTCGGCAATGTGAACCTGTGCACGCCGGAGCGAATTTCTGAGTGTCTCCACGCCATCTGCGCTTGTGGGTGATGTGATGCTCGGCGTCTGCGAGGCGGAGAGAGCATCCACTGAGCCAATCCCGGGAGATTTTCCGCCTGTTCGGTCGCTGAAACTCCTGCCATGCTTGACCGCATTTGAAACCCGTCGCAGGACTGACGGCGATCCCGGACCTGCACTCTTGTCTTGACCATGCTCACCACGTAGAATACGACCCATTTCGTCATCCATAGAGAATCCACCGTCAAGGCTGTATTTGGGCAGACCGGCGCTGCGGATAGGAGGCGATATCTGTCCGTCGATTGAAGGTCGTTCCTCGTCGTTGCTCTGTAGGGTGCTGATCGACTCGTTAGCTCTATGTCCTATTGGAGGTGGCGGCGGAGCATGTCGTGGCGCAATGAAGTCGTCGTTGGCGACTGACTTGCTGGGTGCAGACGGCCTATTTGCGGATCGCGGTGGCGGAGGCTCGACGCTGCTGCGCGTGACATGCAGTTCAGGCCTTGAGCGGCTGTCATCACGAGACAGTGTGCTGTGCGCGTCAGTAAAGGATGATGGTATCGATGATTGCGAATGAGTCCTCTCATGTGACGAAGGTTGCGACTGTAGATGCGTAGATGAAGAGGCCGCGGTTGGCGTCGCTGGGTCGGGCGTGGAAGTCTTGGATTTGGATGCCGTTGCATTCAGTGAGTCTCCGCGGAGCGGCAGAGACCTATCTGCGTGCTTTGGCGGGATGGGTATCTCGCTCGCGCTGGCTGCTTCAGCTCTCTTGCGCTTCGGGTCATCAAAAGGATTGACGTCTGAATTTCGAGAGTCGATAGACACTGGCGAGATGGGACGGATGGCCTTGACATCCTTCGTGTGATCATCGATCGATGAGACAACTCTGGGAGAGTTCGCTTTGGAGTTTGCGCGGGACCTCTGTTTGGCAGCAGTGGGCGCGTCCTGCAGCTTGAAGCCTCCCTGCTGCTCCAGAGTGTTTGAGTCCGTCGACAGTGACAGGCCTTTCACTTTCGTAGCGCCTCTGTCCTGGTTGTTGGCAACGACCGGTGACGCTGTGGTGGAACCATTTGCCGGTGTGCTTGCTCCCGACGTCTCCCGCTTGCCCTTCCTGCCCTTCTCTTGATACAGGATATGCGGACTTGGCTTCGCCTGGCGATCCGGTTCGCGCTCTGTAGACACCGACCTCGATGACCCAGCTTGCGCTGGGCGTTGCGTCTCTTGCTTCGCGCCCAGTCGCCCATTGGCGCCACTAAAGTAATCTCTCGGAAGTTGGTTCTCCTTTTGCGAGGGAGGAGAAGGATCGTGTGCTCGTTGAACTTGCTTTCTTGAGATCGAAGGCTGCTGCCCGGGCTGAGGCGGAACAGAGATGGGTGTGGGATCGAAGGCCATAGGCAGAAAACCGCGCTCCGAACCGTCATCGTCGTCTACGGAGCTCGAAACATTGGACGGTCTGCTGTCGTTGTATGTGCTGGCAGGTAGCGTGGGGCCTTCTAAGCTCGAGTCAGTCATGGTCGGACGTTTCAGCCGCTTTGTACGTGTGAACCCACCTCTGCGCACGTCGTCTGACAAGGGCGACACGTCGCGCTTGAAATTGTTCGAGGAGCCTCTGTTGCGAGAGCCCACCTGTCTATCTCTTGGCGATCTTGATTGATGCAGCGAAGTGCCATGGGAATCCGGAAAGACCTCCGGCGGCGTTTCGCCTTCTGGCGTGAAAGCGCTCTGTGGTGCAGCGCCAGGTGGAAGAGATGGCAAAGCTTTCTCCGGCTGCGCAGAACTGCCAGGTGTGGGTTTCGGCGTCCTCGCTTTCTTCCTCCGCCGCGCCATCAGACTCTCGTGGCAGCTCATGCAAAAAATTCCTTGTGAAGTGCGCGCATAACGCAGGTTCTCAATTTTCCTCTTGCAATTGCGACACCTAAAGCAGCCGGAACAAAATGCCTGGTCGCCGGTCAGGATGGCGAGGTCTTCAATCTTGTTACCGCAAGCGCTGCAGCTGTAAGTGCAGTTGTTGCAGATGAGCGAGCCGTCGCCGAGTAGTAGAAGGTTCGCATCGGAGTCGAGGAGGGTTCCGCAGGTATTGCATCGAAAACAGTCGATATGCCATCGGTTGCCAGCTGTGAGGTAGTTTCGTCAGCGTCCGCGAAATATAACCAGCATGTCCGGGGAAGGACGACGTACCCAGTTCGAAGGCCTTTCCCTCCTCCAGTATCTATAGAACAGTCCTTGTTAGCTTGTATGCCTTAGCAACGACGATATCTATCGCAGAATGATCCTCACGTCTCCGCAGCCCTTGCAGGGGTATACAACGTCTTCCTGATCCATTGGGCTCTCCGGATATGTGTTGGGGCTGTCCAGAGACGCCATGATGGCAACAGCAAAGGTGCACTCTCAATGCCCAGTGGTGCAGCGGATTGTGGTCATGCGACGCGGAAGGCAGGATTTGTTCCGCTTGGTCGGCGGCTTCGGTGGTAGGGCGCGGGGGACTGGTTTGTTTCGCAGCGGCTCGGGCGAGCACGCAGGTACGGCTGGCGGAGACGGGCGAGGAAGGAGTCGCAACGCGAATCGAATGGAGGGCGCAGTCGGTCGTGGCGGAATGTGACGACAGTGTGCGATCGTTCGCCTGACGCGGAGCCCTTTGCTGTCTTTTCCTCCCGCTGCTGTCTCAGACGGACGGGTGAGGGAGGGCTGGAGTCGCGGGCAGCGGCATGGAATGGGCGGGAGGGAGCGGGTAATGCTGCTGGCGGAGGTCGATGAGGGTGGTGAAGGCGGGTTTGGCATACGTTGGACGTGGTGGATGGCGAAGTGGACAGCAGTGAGGTAGAGTACAGTACAGCGTGGAGGCGCTCGAGCTCAGACTCAGGGCGACTCGCGGTACACTCCAGCTGTAAGGGTAGTAGGTAGGAATAGCGGCAGCCGAAAGCTACGCACCGACCAAGGCAATGCACTGGGACGGCACGTGAGCGGATATGAAGCGAGACGAAGTGAATCTGCACAGCAACGCACAGCAATAATGATGGAAGGCGACAGCAAGGCACAGAGCACTGCACGGCAACCTAATGCACAGCAAATTGGCGGACGGACGAGCACACCAGGGTACTGCCAAGCTGCTGCAGCTGTGAAGTCTGATACTGTGCTGGAGCTCCAGACTGGGGACACCTCAGACCGGAGACAGACCGGGGACCGACCGGGCCAAAGTCGGGTCCACGTGAGCGTAAGGTAGCAGGTAGGTAGGCACTAAGCAGATTCCGTTGGCAGACCTGTGGACCTCACACATGATATCATTGGATGGTGGAGGCTCATGCTGCTACTACAACTATATTATTATTATTACTACCGCTGCTGCTCGGGAATCACAGTCGTCATCCGCGTCGCACGACAGACCTTGTCGCAGCACATCGCGTGGCGTCCTCCCACGCCACTCCCCCAACGCCCAGCTCCATCATATACTGGGAGGTACCTTTCCCGTCGTACATCATGTCCCCTATGCTGAAACGCGTCCGCCGCCGGGCACTCTCAGCATCACAGCACATGCACTCCCTCGACAACCGTCATCCCGATCCTGAGTCCGTCGAACCATCCACGCTCTCCAACAAAGCACTCGCACTTCATCTGTATCAAACGGTAGCGCCGTCCTCTCTGTCACGATCAACAACCGGCGTTTGGCAACACACCCGCCCTGGCCTAGCTCTACCCGATCCGTGCCGTCACGTGCAAGACCCTGGATCCCCTCTCTGCAACTTCTCCACACCCCCGGCTACGGTATCGCACATCGCACCTCAGACGAGTCCCGTCCTCTGTCTGGCTCATCACAACAAGCCATCATCACCTGCGGCCATGCAATCAGACAAGCCTCTCCGCTCAACGTCAAGGCACACACGACCACACAGCACACCCTCTTCCACCCGGACACCATACCCGAACCAGCACAAGATTCCCCTCAAACCCGCATCGCATCGCGGCGGCAATCCAGCCCGCATCTCGCTTGCATAAGTCTCAAACCTTCCTCCCGAACACGCACCCAATGAACCTGGCGCTAAACCTCACCTCACCTCCCGCCTCAACCGTCCCTGTGGGAACTGCATCTGGAAGCGCACCCTCATTCCTTCAAACATCTCGAAAATTGATTCGATGTGGCAATCACATCTTGCACGTCACCATCTCATGGCGCGAGCACCGGGTCGAAACTTTGATGGCCATGCCCTTCCAAATGCCCGTGGTGTTCGCGTCATCACCGACAGAGCGCCTGGTTTCTTGATGGTTCTGTTCTGAAACTTCGTGTCTGATCTGCTCCGAGACCGCTCACCTCACTAGTAGACGAGTGAGACGCTAAGATTGCAGAGTCTTGAACAGGCCATTCCATCAGCATCTCGTCCCGACTTCTAACCAGGAAAGAACGCGAAGCAGAAGGTATCGTAAGCCAATGTCAGAGACGATCGCATTGAACGATCCGATAGAACCAGGTAAGCAGACTCATCAGTGAAGTAGTACGTCGAGAGTATCATACCCCTCAAATCAAACCTCAACTCATCTTCATTGCTTCTGCTCTGCTCTGCACTGCATCTCTGCTTCCACTTTTACATGTATGCTCGAAAAAAGAAGCTGCATCGCACTCACCAAACCCTCAAAACCTTTCGAGAATGTTTCAACCCACTCCCACTACCAAGGTCCACCAACGCCTGCGCTCTCTCGGAATATGATACAACCAACATCCAATGCGACCCAAAAGCCAGTCTTCACCAAAGAAGCCTCATACTGCCTGTTCCCTCTTGGCGATGTAATAGGTCAACAGCCCCAGACGTCCCTCATCAGCACCCTGGAAAGTCTTCCAGAATTCAGCCTTCTCCTCCGGTCCGAAGAGCGTGAACAGCTCGCTCCCAAGGTCAGTGGCGACCTTGCGGATCTCGGGCTCGGAGTCGTTGAGGTATCGGTCGACAGTCCCGGCCAGTCGATCGCGCTGGTCTTTCAAATCCAGACCTTTGGATCGAGAACTTGATACGAATTGTCCAAGGGTTTGGAGAGTCATAGGGATGGAGAGCATCGCATCCTGATCCGGAGCTGGCAAAGCGTCAATCACAGCATCGATGCATCCTTGCGGCGATGATTCCTGAACAATGTCGTCTGCTGTGCGTTGCAAGTCCGCGAGGATATGGCTGCTTGGGTCGATGTTCTTTCGGCAGACGAGGACCGTGACAAGTGCCTTGGCATGCCACGCCAGCGCATTCTTACGATGGATTGTAAGCAGTGCACGGACAAGTCCCAGCGCTTGGGCCTTTAGACCAGTGGCCTTCGTCGGTTGCTGATTGAGTTTCGGGTCTTGATCAAAGGTCTGCAAATACTCCAGCACGTTGGACATGAGCTCATCGTACTTCTTGCCACCCTCCCAAATGTCAGACTTAGACTTCACCACATCCTGGATTTTTCGAAACCCATGCGCATCAAGAGTTTTGGTCCGGATGCGCTCGATACCAGAGAGCAAGAGCTTCTTATTGCGCATTGCTTCCGAGCGGTCTTGAGGTGTCGAGATGGCCGGGATCTGTGGATCAATTTGGTTGCAAGGGCTGCCTGCAGGGCTGTTGCTGGACGTGACGCTCTGCGTTGGACTATTGAGTCGTACGTTCTCGTTGATAGGAAGCTCGCCCAGCACCGGGCGTTCTTCCGCCGCCCCCGGTTGGGCCGCGTCTTCCATGAATGGGTCTTCGTACACTTGCACCTCTTCAGGCTGCGGCGTGACAGCTTTGACAGGACCACCGTTCTGCTCAGGCTCAGGCGTGGGACGCATATGCTTTTCCACTTCCGGTGACAGCTTTCCGACTTTCTCCCGCGCATCTTCAAACATCGCCTTCATAGGGCTTCGGTAGGCGAGCGGCGAGCGGGTTCTGGGCTGAGAAGAATTTGGAAAGTTGGGAATAACCATGGTAAAGCCGTCATCTTCTCCAGCCATCGCAGGTATTCCACTGTCAACAGACATCGTCTGGCCAAGGCCCGGACGCTTGTGGCCGGGTGAGAAGGCCCCTCCGCGTGCTGTAGTCATCGCGCCCTTGGGCATGACCAAAGTCATGTCGTCCTCGCGAACGCTCATCTCGCCGTTCGTCGTGACGCTTCCTTTGCTAGTAGGCCTGGAGTCGGTTTCCGCCTGAGGACGAGCTCGCGTTAGCACTGGACTGCGCTTAGCAGGACTGCCAGCTGGGCTTCCAGGTGCCCTCGAGGCATTTCTACCAGCCACAGAGGAGGCCAGAGATGCTTTTGAAGCACCAGTGCCTCTCCCAGGGCTACCGGCCGGCGTTTCGTTTGCGGGTGTCTCGGGACGAAGCATACGTCTTGACGCATAGGGGTCCGCCGTCTGAGGTCGTTGAATCTCCGGTCGCCGTGGCCGTCGAACTGGTCCAGACATAAGGGAACTACCCTTCTTCGCAGGACCAGACGACGATGAAGCTTCTGGAAACGCTGGAGTATTCGAAGCGTTCGACACATTCCGGTTATGCACTTTTGACAGATTTGACGGGCCGCGTGTCGAGCTGGAGCCACCAGAGGTTGCAAATGGTCTCGCTTTCGCAGGTGAGAGATCAGCCATGGCAGAGTTAGGCCTGGAAGGAAGAGCGCCCGCATTTTTCCTCCCTTCCGCTATTCGATCTTTCAGAGCACGACTTGCCGTACCAGCAGCCCTCGATTTCGTAGCTGTCACGGTCTGAGAGACATGGAGATGAGCGTTCGGGTTGTTTGAGTCCTTCTCAAGAGCTGTCCGCGCTTTCGGGTCGAGCTTGGATATAATCGCCTCCGCTCTCTCTGGCCAGCTCTTCGCAAAAGTCCAGTAAGTCGCGCGATAACGTTCTTTGACCTTGGGATCGGCGTCATCTAGACCTTTCTTGATACACCTCTCTGCTATCTCAAGGCCTCCGGAGTTTGAGAAGTTCTGCTTGTAGCCGGACTGCCGCTTCAATATGGTACCCAACCACCCTGGTGAGGACTGGCGCTGCTGCTTGTTTTTTTCCAAGAGCGTCATTTCAATGTGCTGCATCATGCGAACATGGTACGTGCAGTTCTGGAAGATCGCATCGGCTGTCATGCGGCCGTTCTCTGCAGCAATGTGCTTCGTCGCGGCGCTCATCTTGATGAATGTCTGCAGAAACATCTCAACGTGGTGATCCATGGCTGGTCCGAGAGTCTTTGCGAGCTCCTGAACAAGCTGACAGCCGTTTGAAGCCATGGTTGTGCGTAGCGAAGTGGATACTTTAATGATCCCTTCTACCATACTCTTCAGGCCAGCCATGAACGCCTGGTGAAACTCGTTGGGCGCGTTGCCTTTGACTATCCGTCTCAATTTTGTTATCGACTTGTCTCTGGGCACCCAATTCTGCTCCGTCTCTTTGCCTTCGAAATGCGGCAGCATGTCATGGAATGTGTCGTCCATCTCCCTCTGCGAGTCGATGTAGATAGGATCCATTGGAACAGTCTCGGATGGTGGTGGTTGCGCCGCCTCGCTGTTAATTGCATCCGCGAGATGTGCGATATGATCGACTGTCGGCAGCGAACGTGTCGAGCCCGTAAGTCCCGGTGAGGGTTCCGGTCTGTCAGCTGTCTGTGGTCTCGACAATCCCGAGCCTTCAGCACCAATCTGCGCGAGAATTTGGCTGGCAATGGAATGCCTCACAGAATGTGCCTTCAGTTGTTTCTTCAAATCCACTTTCGCTCTCTCAGGGGCAGTAGTGAAAAGCTCGATCAAGACCGACTTTGCCGCCTCCCGAACGTCGGCGCTCGCATCCTCGAGTCTGGCAACAATGGGCGAGACGTAGGCTTTGAAAGGCATGTTCTCTTCTTTGTGCATCCTCAACACCCATCGTATTCCCGTCTCTTTTGCGCGCACATTGGAGCTGCCGATCGTTTGCTCACGGATCATATGCTCCACGTCGCTGCTGGCGAACGGATAGACATCCATGAGCGCCTGCGATGCGGCAGTGCGCACTGGTTCACGGAGGTCGCACAGTCGTTCGTGGAGCGCGGGAAAGAGCCTCGGCGCAAGCTGGACGATGGCGTGGCCTGACGCATCTTGGATCTTGAGGCGCTTGATGAGATGACCGAGAGTGGAGAAGGCGGTGCTGGCGAGTGTCGAAGAGGCCTGCTGCGTGATGGCGAGCTTGATGCATTCGAAGATGGTGACGATCGCGGTCTCGGGCACTCGATAGTGTTTGATATTGCTCTTGAGCTGGTTGAACTCCTTGGTCTTCTGGTCGCTCGAGGCGAGGGGCTTCTTCAGCAACTGCTCAAGGCTGGCGACGTGCGCGTCCATGGCGAACGCGCGCTTAAGTCTTCAAAATGGCGAGAGTGTGAGCTGAATTCGCGCAATGTTGATGGATGGCGTGAGTGGCTCGTTTGTGGTGGGCAAGTCGCGCAGTCAAGACGAGAGGTCTTTGGGTTCGGGCTTGGGGAGTTTACGTTTGGGCTGCTGCACGGTTGCTTGGGAGAGATCCCTGTCGAGCGCGATTTGTTTTGTTGTCATGTGAAGTTGCGCCAGGCGATTTTGGGGTGCGCCGTGCAGGACACAACATGCAAACGTCGGCCAGAGAATGTTTCGACACTCGCGACTCACAAGACAGCTCTCCGATAATCCCACTGAAGCAGCTCTTCTACAATACTGTGAAGCGCAATTGCAATCGGCGAACAGGCGCAGGCAGTACCTGGAATGTTTATCCTCCACACGGCCTGTGCCGCTCGCCAGTGCGCGACGCTAGTTTGAGGTAAGGTAAGATCATCAGGCAACGTGGACTGCCTGAGAACATCGGTGGATCACAACAACGTGCCACAAGCGTCCTCTCTGCCATTCTCTCTTCGTCAAATGTATATACAGCAAGACTCCATACTCCGAATCGACGTCCATCTTTCTCATCCCGACTTGGAAGAACAGCCGGCCGAAATGCCCGTCATCCCGAAGCCCGACCAGATGCAACATGGAACCACTCCAGCAACAGCTCCAATAAGAAATCACTACTTTCCACCTCCAAAACTACGGCTTCAGCTCAACGATTTAAGCCATGAGGGTACTTCCAACTTCCTCTCCAATGTCAAGGGCAACGAAGACATCGAAGAACAAGTCGAAAACGTCCTCAACTTGCTCTACTTAGCCGACTCGAGGCGCCCAGGAACAAGATCGGTGACTTTCATTATTCGGGAACTGGATGGCGTTGCCTACACCATTGGCACAGATCTCGATGAAGACCACAAAGAAATTCACATCAACCTGAACTACATCAAGGACAAGGACCGTCACGAGATCCTGGGTGTCATCTGTCACGAACTTGTTCATTGTTTCCAATGGAACGCAGAGGGATCCTGTCCTGGAGGCCTAATTGAAGGCATCGCCGACTGGGTGAGATTGAACGCGGGTCTCGCCGCCAAACATTGGAAGCGCAGCGCGGACGGCAAGTGGGATGGCGGGTACCAGCACACTGGCTACTTTCTGCAGTACCTGGAGCGGAGGTTCGGCCCAGGAACTGTCCGACGTATCAATGGATGCTTATGCAAAGGGAAATATGATGAGAAGCAAATGTTTGAAGACTGCTGTTCCGGACACCATGTAGATGAGCTGTGGAAGGAGTACGGGGAGGACTTGGAGAAGACGAAAAAGAGAGAGGAAGATGAGATGGCTCGCAATGGTGATCCCAGTGCGCAGGATGAGGCAGACCACGAGAGATGAATGCACTGATTTTGGTACCCAATCTCCATCACATATAGATACATGGATACCCACCATACAGAATTGTTATCCGCGCGCTTGAGAAGGAGGGTGAAAATGTCGACGCTCGGCATCTTGAGGTCAATATCTTATCTTCCTCTATCTGTACCGCTTCTCATTTTAGCAGCGGCATACCAAAGTGCCATGTAACCTACTTTCCATCTCGTCTATTCTCACGTTTGAGACAAATAGCGCACAAGTCCAAAGGCAAGCAAGAAGAGTCGAAAGTCGAGGTCGATGGTCGAGATTGGAAGCGACCGTATTTCGGGGCTGGGAGGCCTTCGAAGTGATCACGAGGATGGATCGTTTTGGCGGCCTTCGCACTTGTTGTACAATGCCTGGTTTGACGATTGTTGAGCCCTCCGCACATTTTTGACAGTAGAGTACCATCCTTGTCGTATCCTCACGTCGCCTTAAAAAGGTCTGGAAAGAGACCGCGTAGCTCTTCAAGACTTTGAATAGTGTGATCACATGCTGGCTCGGGAGGAGGCTTCACATCCGGCTCGACAAGGTGCACTGTCTTCCAGCCATATGCTTTTCCGCCTCTGCAATTCAACGCCGAATCGTCTGGTTCCAAGGTCAGTCACATGCTCCGACTTCCGTACTCGTCCATGATGAACTTACCAACAAAGTAACACTGCGACACGTCTTCTACGCCAGCTTCCCGCATTGCTTTCGCAAACATGGCAGGCTCGGGTTTACACAACAGATTTTCGGCTCCGTAGTCGCAGTACGTGATGCCCTCAAACAAGTCTTCAATCCCAAGCAATTTAATCACTCGTCGTCCGTGATTGATGTACGCATTCGTAAACAGCCACGGCTTCACCTTCGTTCGATCCAGATCCTCAAGCAACTTTCTCTGCTTCGGATTAGGCTTGATTATATCTTCAAGTGGCAGCGCATCGTCAACTTTGGCATTGTATTCCAATGGATCGACTTTGTGGTGGCGAACCAGTCCTTCGATGGCCAAGCCATAGTCTTTGTAGTAACGCTGGTGGAGCATTGTGGCGTCCTCTTTGGATAATGAGAGGTGATTTTGGAAGTAGGTGTCGATCAGTTCTGACATTAGGTCGTGGATCTTGTAGGTTTTTGGATATAGACAGTTGTCTATGTCGAAGAAGAAGACTTTCTTTTGCGTCGAAACGCCATTTGTGGCGTCGGTAATCCCGTTTGCAGCCATCTCGCCCTAATCGTGAGGTTGGAGTTACAGGAGAGGAGAAGTGGAAGAGGAGAAGTACGAAAGGACAGTCGAAAGGGTGAGTCTTGCCTCTCTTTGCATGTATACCTTGGTTCCAGTCATTCCACGAAGATGCTACACGTTGTCGGCACAAGAGGCAGGCAGCCGCACAGACCATCTGCTGATCACCACTGTTCGGCACAAGCGCTCTGACCTTAAGAACTCGACTGCGCGACTCCCTTTTCTCTCTCGACACCACCTCGTCCACCATCACATACACATTACAATATACAACCACATGTGGCTGCTATACACATTGCCTCTGTGACACATCGCCCTACTCTGGTCCCTCCACAGTAGTCACGTCTTGCTGAAATTCTCACTTGTCGGGATGTACCGGAGTGCAGCATAGCAGCATCGAAGAGCGAGCGGCGAGCAGCGAGCAGAGAGCAGAGTTCGAGCAGAGGAAGAGTGCGCGATGGCGCTCAACGGCAGCGTGCCGAGAAATGACACACTGGCGCCGTCGCCTGCCGACGAGGAAGAGCTGTACACGCAGCTGTTGCGCCTTCAGGATGCCGTCGTGTCGGGCAAGCACCCGCACTTCAAGCTGCCGCCAGCAGCCATTGAGCAGCTGAAGGCCAGTCTTGCTCTGGTGAAAGCTTCACCTGCTGCCACCACCCAGCAGCCAGCAGTGAACGGTCTTCTCAATGGCGCCGCGTTCAGCGCGAACGCCGCTACTAATTATGTACAGCTTCCTCCTGCATCAAAAGTGCCCGCCTTCCCTGGCCTGCCTGGCCTGCACACACCCATCGCGTCAGCATCGCGAAACGCCTCGACAACCGCAGCGCCCAAGACTACGCCCTCGGGCTTGAACCCCATCTTCCTCGAGAAGTCGGACAGTCTCGTAAGAGCAGAATCGAGTTTGAAGCGCCAGCGCATAGAACGCGACGTGCAGACGCAGATGGAACAGCGCAAGCATCATCGCGACAAGGACAGTGGCTCAGATCCTCCATCTGCACTCGATGTAGAATCTATACTTGCTGCTTCACGGGCTCTTGAAACGCATGTGACGGGCTTGAGACTCACAAGGGCTGGAAGTGCGAGCAGCTTCGACACGAATGACTATTATTCCAGCCAAGTCGAAAGTGACTGGTCCTCCCCTGCAAGCAAAAGTAAAGGCTCTGACAACGCAGCAGGGCCCTTCGCCGGAGACTTCGAGCGCCTCGAAGGGCCGAGTGGACTCTCTTTTCCTCCCAAAGCTGCCAAGCATGCCACTCGTAACACGATTGCCAACAGCGCGCGGACCGCCAATGTGTACAATGAGGATGAGGACGATGAATACACCCCACCTGATGCCGCCGCGTTTGATAGTTTCCAGGATCCAGATGTCAGCATAAATCTCGCCGGAGACGAGGACGATAACTCGGAATACGAACCTGGAGAGATTGCGCAGGAAAGCAATGTGCCAACGCAATACTATCAGGGCTCGCAGGCTGCGCATCCATCTCCCCAGCAGGTGCCCGTCATTCGCAACCACCTGACTCACATTGCTGCTCCACAGCCCAATCGTGTCTCTCCACTCGCGGTTGCTAAAGGTCCGAGTATTGAGCTGGAACTGGTCAATGGTCGCCCAGAGGTCGTGGCCAAGCCGCATCCCAACTCCCACGCTATTCAGTCTCGAGCGAGCACCGCTTCACCAGCGAACGGAGTCAATGGCAGCAACAAGAAGCGTCGCAACAAGAAGCGAAAGCGCGATGAGCCAGCTGGACAGCCCTCAGGACGTGGAAAGAGGAAGCGGGACAGACAAGTAGCTGCTCAGTCTCCTATTTCGCCCGCCAATCGTGAGCCTAGAATCAAGGACGAGCCCGTGTCACCGCCTCCGTTCGCCAATATACCTGATGCCCACCCATATGCGCAGAGGTCGGCTCATTACAGACCTACTGAAATCGATTTGGTTTCGCCCAGACTGCCACCTCAAATGGTTTATGCTCCTGAACCGCCCCGCCCTGCTCTTAGGTACGAGTATGCTCAGCCAACTTCTCCAGCTGTGGTCAGAGTCGCCTCACCAGCTGCTTATCGCCCGGTGCAAAGAGACACTCAGGACCTCAGAAGAATTGCTAGTATGCACTACGCACAGCGGCAGCCGTCGCCTACCCAGCATGCCTACTCTCCCGTGCCCCAACGAACGGTTTCAATGACCTACGGCGATCCTAGGCTACCTCGAGCGCCTGCAGAGGTTGAGAATGTTCGCTATGCGGAAGTTTCTGCCCCAGACCATGTCCAATACGTTCGCGCAGATCGCTCTCGGTCTCCGCCTCAATCCCATCAATATCAAGACCCGTATGCGAGAGCGCACAGTCCAGCTCTGATGCCCCCGCCTGCTGCACCACCAAGAGCGATCGTTGTTGACCAGTACGGAAACCGCTACTATGCCTCAGAGCCTGCGCCACCATCAGCGCCCTCAAGGGCCTCGGTCGCCCCGGTTGATCGACATCCCATGATAGACTCTGGCTACGCTGCAAGGGCATCGGTTGCCCCTGTTGACCGGCGACCGGCTGCTGAGACTGGCTACGATCGTGCATCAAGTCGCATGGCTTACGCGGCTCCCGCAGCATACGAGCAACCAGAGACAAGCATGGCACCACCCCCACCGCGACGAGAGGTCCAGTATGTTGACGCAAATGGCTACCCAATCCGTGAATACAGCTCGTATCCGGCTGAGCAAATTCGATATGTGGAAGCTCCAACCTCACCCAACTACCAGCAACGCTACGAACAGATGCCTCCTCCCGCAGCCCCAGCTCGCGAACAGACATCTCCGGTCTACGTGCCTACCAGAAGCTACAGCGTGCGACCAGATGCGCCACCTCAAGCCCCGGCTCCGTATGCAGCAAGACAGGCAAGCGTGGCGCCTGTCCAGTATGCACGTCAGGAGGCTTCTCTTGCACCGACGAGAGCCATGAGTGTAGCACCTGGATATGAAGGTCAAGCTCGTGCTTACAGCCACGCGCCGGCTGCAGCAGCACAGCAGGTGCGTTATGTGGATCAGTATGGAAGGGAAGTATACCCGGAAGTGAGGCAAGTGCCGGCAGGGGACTACAGGTATCAGTGAACGTTTTGGGAATGATTGGTCTTGGAATGGGTTCTGCAAGCATAGCTTGGGCTCTGCGTCGGTTTGGAAACATCATCATCGGAGCGACAGCATCTTGTATTATCATCGTGGTTGTTCAAGCTCTGTAGTGTTGTAATTCGGCAGCGATGCGCGAGCCGCGAGTTCAGTGTCCGGTAGATATCAGTCATTCAGCCAACCACAGTGCACGGATGTGTACGGGATTTGGAAGAAACACTTTTGAGTTGTCTCGATGTTTTCTCCATGCAGGAGGGCGTGACTGGATGCGGCAGTGGTTGGGGCTGGTTCCTGGACCGATCGCCGTTCGGAGAGTGAAACAAGGCCGATTTAGTTATTCTTCGGCCGCTTCTCCTGTCAGCTCCAAGCCTGGGCATGTCGTGCAGGCCGTGTGTGGTGGAAGAAGAACGAAAACAACAAGAGGCCCGGTTCCATTTGGTGTGCCATCCTCTCAGGCGTGGCGACCGGACAGGCCACTTTGGTGCTTCCTTTGTGCGAATAAATAAATGTCTAGCAAAAGCCGTCGGAGATCCGTATTGACCATTGACGTGGCGGCGTCGAGGAGTCCGGCATGCGTCCTGGCCTCGCAGTAGATTGATGGCCCAATCAAAATAGCATCGTCCCGCCTCGTCTATGCGAGGAGTAGTGTGATGTCGAGTACTGTGTGCTGGGTGGGCGGAAGGTGCCGGGCCCAGTCACGTGTTTCCCAGAGACTGTCTCGAGTTCTGTGCCGACTTCCTCTGCTGCTCCGTCTCAGGAAGCCCACAACACTGACAACACCTCACGCATCAACTTTCACGCCCGTTCACGCCCACGCTCACATCCAAACTCGCCCCCATTTGCTTGCGATGTCTGCCGCGTGTTGAATGCAGCCGTCGCGTCCGTTATTCCTCGCTTCTTCCGTCCCTTTCCGCGCCTGAGGGACTGCAATTCGGTGGCTTTACTCGTGTTACTCCAACGTTCGCTTCCTCCCTTCCACCACCGCTCCTCCACTGCCAGCGGTGCATGAGACGATGAACAGAATCCAGAACTTCACCCAGCGACATGGCTTCTCTCTCGGTCCCGACAGAATGACGCCCTCCTCCATGGGCTTCGGCATGTCTCGCCCGCACTCGCAAGCAGACAATCACCCCATGGTGCCCCAGCCTAACAAGCGCTCCCTCCCCAGCGGCGCCAGCATGAGCCCCAACCCCGCCCTTCACGGACACACCGTCAACCTCTCCTTCAATGTCCCTTTCAACGCCAACCTGCCCGGCCCGGACAAGGAGGATGTGCTGTACAGCAGTCCCACTGCTTATCAGAAATGGATCCATCCCGAGGGTGCCTCCGAGGATGCACCCAACCATACTCTACCTGTCCACACACGCAACGTGGAGAATCTACGGAGCCTGTGCAAGCAGCTGAGTGATAGCAGTGGCGACCGGATACATGCCACGGTCACGTCCTCGAAGCCGAAGCCTGTGCCGGGCATGCAACGGGGTCCGCTGACCGCCCTGGTGACAAACGTGTGCATATCAGGCGATTCAGAACTTGTGCACAAGATGCGGGCCAAAGTGCTGAACGAGACACCCATCACATTGGTGAGTATGAGGATATTGAAACAGGTTGTGCGTGCGGCTGACAAAGCGTGCAGCGTTGCGAGACCATTGACATCGACCGCGACATAGTCTTCACGCCGGGCAGGGATGGTGCCAGAGCCGACATCCTTCGTCATATGGATGAGATTGCCGACCAGACGAAAGCTGACATCTTCTTGCTCGAGTCGAAAGCCAAGAGAAAGGATTCGGACTCGATGAGCTTCAGCGGGGGTATGGAGAAGAGCATGGACAACAGGCTACGGATACACGTCTATGGCGATACCGAGAGTGCAGAGAATGCAAAGACGAGGCTCCTGATCATGATTGACCAAATCCTGCACCGTCAGGTCGACACCATCCGCCTTGAGCTTTCACTGCACACCCTGATTGCTGGGCGTCATAGGAGGAACATCAAGCTGATTGAGTCGGCTACGGGCACTGCGATCTACTTTCCTCCCATGTTTCCCCAGGTCTTCGGGTACAAGCCACCAGGTTCTGTTCCACTGCGGACTCGGGACGAGATCATCATCACGGGAGACAACATGGATAACATCCTGCAGGCCAAGAAGCGTTTGACCGAGCTGGTGATGAACTGCAAGACATTCATCAAGGACGTGCAGATAACGACGAGCAAGGTAGACTACATTCTACTGGAACGGCTGGACAAGATCCGGAGGATTGTTGAGGCTAACGGGTCTTATGTGCTGCTGCCATCCCTCGGAAACCACTCTGGAGTGCTGCGAGTGCAGGCTACAGACATTCTCAATGTGGAGCGCACCGTGCGTGAGATTATGGGTCTTGCCGGCCAGTTCTACAGTGCATCCTGGTGGGTCACACATCCAGATCCATCCCAACGACAGCCTACCATGTCCGACATTCGTGCCATGCTCCCCGATATTTGCATCAACTCTGGCGCCGAGATCACTTTCGAAAAGCTCAATTTCCACATCAATGGAAGCGACGACTCTGTCAAAGCAGCCATGTCCATCATCAACACGCTACCATTTGTGAAGAAAGCACAGTCCACCCTTCGTGTCAAGGTCGAGCTTGCCAACGAGCACAAGGAATTTGTGAGCGGCAAGAAGAACGGCAAGATCAACAAGATCATGAGCCAGAGCAACGTGCAGATTGTGTTCGACGGGTTCAACGAATACAACTTCTACATTGACGTCCGAGGAGCGCAATATGAAGCCACAAAGAACGGTCTTGACCTAGTCGAGCTCGAGATGCCGGCTTCGATCTCTTTCCACGTCCCGGACCAGTACCACAAGCGAATCATCGGCATTGGCGGCCAGCACATCCAGCGCATCATGAAGAAGTACTCCGTCTTTGTCAAGTTCTCCAATGCCATGGATCGAGGTGGTATCGGCAAGGATGACGATGACATTAAGGTTGACAATGTCATCTGTCGGACGCCGGCCCGCAATGCTGACAATCTCGAGCTGGTCAAGCAAGAGATCATGGATATGGTTGAGAAGGTTGACGCCGAGTTCGTCTCCGAGCACGTTCCTGTGGATCGTCTCTACCATCGTGAGCTCATTGCCAGAATGCCAGAGATTGAGGAGCTCGAGAAGAAATGGAACTGTAAGATCACCTTTCCGGGAACAGAACAGGCAAGTGATATCATCACGGTCTCCGGGCCAGAGTATCAGGTGCCGCAGGCTGTCGACGAATTCTTGGTAAGTGATGTTGTGCCGGCTTGCGCCATCAACGCTGACAGTGACCAGGGTATGGTGCCCGAGACCCACGACATCGAGTTTCCAACCACTGCAGAGCTTCACAATTTCTTGATTTCCGACGAGTTCAACCTCGACACCGCGCAAAAGCTCAAGGACCAATACGTGGTCGAAGTGTCTGTCAAGGAGCAGAAGCAAGAGAAGCAGGGCGATGAGGAAGTCACGGTCCAAAGGCTTCACCTCAGCTACACTCGCAACAATGCCGGGGGTCTCAAAGACGCCATTGACTTCTTGCTGATGCCTCTGATCTCTCGTGGCTTGGACCAGAATGTCGTCAAGGGCGCGATCCCACGTCCCAAGTCCGACTCTTTCGAGGACAACATGCCCTACTTTGAATCCAAGCTTTTGCAGCGTGCAGAGCCTCCACTCTCGACGGAATCACCGACCCGCGGTACCTTTGGCGACGAAGGTGGTGCCCGCTCCATCTTCGACAAACTCAGAAAGCCCGGTAGCATGTCTTCGTTTACGTCCTTCATGGAACGTCGACGCAAGAACGGATCCAATTCCCCGGCGTCCCTCTTCATGCACGCATCCAACAATGCCTCCAAGGCATCTCTTGCCAGTATGGAATCGCGTGACTCTGGTTATCGCAACCCTTGGAATGATTCCGGTATTGACCTTGAACACGACCAACAGAATGGCCACAATCATGCTAATAGCTGGGGCTCTTTTGGCGGATCATCGCGCCCCAACACCTCCTCCAACTCCCTTTCTGGCGCATTCGAGTCCAAGTTTCCTTTTGGCGCAAACGGTAATGCGTCCACGAGTTCTCTTAACACTCCAATGATACCCGGCCTCGGCATGGTCAACGGCAGCACCGCGACGATGGCAGGCGCCGGCAGCTCGGCCAACGGCGATGTGACACCCAAGTACGACGCCCAGAAAGACGGAAGTCTGACAATGGGCGATGACGGAAAGGGCAGCTCCACTTTGCTGGGAGGCCAGTTCCCGATGCAGCAGCCAATCTCGCGACCTACTTCGACCAATGCCGCGGCTACCAACAACAAAACCACCGATACCACTTCTGCGAGCACTACGACTTCAGGATACCCGGCCCCAATCGGGCCTCCGCATTGATTTCTTGGATTTTTTTCTTAAAGGGGCATTCTTGTTACCTCTGCATGCGTTTTGTTGATTGCTTTTTTGGCGCGTTGTTTTTTGTTATTTCGAAAGTGAAGTGAATGATGCCCGGAAATACCCATGTGCACGTAAACGGAAATGGAATGGAAGAGAGAAAGCGAAAGCGAAAAGAAAAAGCCTTGTTACGTGTGTTTTCTTACGAAATGGAAACGGAATCTTTGTCTGCTATTTTTTTGTTTTGGGAGATAGGGATATACCACTTTGCGATTGCTCTTGCGCTGCGTTTCGATGGATGAGAGGCGGGTAGGAGGTGGGTCTTTGTCGCGATTCTGATTCTCGTTCTCGTAGCAGCAAAAGGCGAACTTGATCTTCGGAGTCGAGATGGTCTTGAGACATTCTTTCCCGGTACGAGGACGGACCATGATGAAGAGACGAGGATGGAAATTTCTTTCTCGCTTTTCAAACGCCTTGGGGAGGAGGGGGGGGGAGGAGGAGGAGGAGGAGGAGGATCGCTTGGTCTGTGTGGGCCGGACGAATTGGGTCTTGAGCAATGCTCTCACTCCTTCCTTCTTTTTTAAAGCTACCTTATACTTTTGACGAAATACAGTGGATAGAAATTCTGATGAGCTCTTCACCATATCCTCTGTGCTCCTTCGACGAGTCGGTCGACCATCATAGATCGTGTTCTGTTCTACATACATTGTGTAGTTGTCTGGGGGCCGCGGTGAGTGTTTCTGCGCTTGCAATTGGCGGGGAGCAAAAGGTGGTGGTGGGCTTTAGGGTTAGTCGGATCTTAGGGTTTGGGGTTAGCGATCCCGTCAGCTATGTGTGATAAGGAAGGAAGGTATGTTGACATGGGAGACTCTGACTCTGTTGATCGGGACTGCCCCCATCAAGATGTCTGTCAATCGAAAGACTTGTGGAGTTGCTGAGTGGGTTTACGAGCTGTCTTGAGAAAATTGGGAGGCGTGTCCCGTGAGCTTCGGTCGGTCGATGAGATGGAAGGTGATGGTGCTCGAATAGACGGATGGAGAATTGCAGCGTGTGAAATTGAGCAGTCCGAGTATCTTCAATGCGGAGCCAACACAAGCATAACGAACACGGATTGATCGCGCGTATTAGAAACATGAATGCTTACAAAAACTCCCTCGTCTCCCTCTCGCACCACTCCCAGAGCTTCCTCTTCGCATCACTTCCCAGAATATCACTCCTCAACAGACCCCATCTCCCCCAAGGAGCCACGTATCTACTCTCACCTCCGTGTTGCCCAGCTTCCTCACTCCAACCCGCCCAAAGCTCCGTGTGCGCGCCGTAAATTGTAGGATGGCAGAGTATGGCCTTCCCCAGCCTCACGAACATCGAACCTTCCTGATGCCTCCCCAATTCGCTGTGCAGATTGCCCGGATTGAAAGCCAGGGAGACGAGATTTGGATGTTGCGATTGATAGGACTGCGCGAGGAAGATATTGCCCGTCTTGGATTGTGCGTAGTTTTGGAGGGGATCGGAGAGGGTCTTGGGGGTGTTGGTTTCGTCGGACCAAGTGATGCCGTTCTTGGGGGAGATGAACGTTGCGAGGGAAGCGGCCCAGCAGACGCGGACACTATTGGGTGGGGCGGTTGACGCGGTCTTGTCGAGGAGAGGGGTTAGGAGTTGGGTGAAGAGGTAGTGACCGAGAACGTTTGTTCCCATTTGGAGTTCGTGGCCTTGCGTTGTGACCTGACCAGCCGGAGGAAACATGACGCCGGCATTGTTGACCAGGACGTTGAGTTTCTGTTCTTTCTGCAAAAAGGCCTCGACGGCAGGTTTGATTGTGGAGAGGTCTGCTAGGTCGATGTGCAGGAATTCCAGACGTCCGTCAGAAGTGGGAGCGGAAGATTTGATTTCCTCGACGGCATTCTGCGCTTTCTCTTTCGAGCGGCCGGCGACGTAGACGGTGGCGTTCTTCTGGTAGAGGATTCTTGCGAGTTCTTTGCCTACGCCGGCGTAGCCTCCGGTGATGATTGTTACACAGCCTGTCTGATCCGGCAGGTTCTTCTCTGTGAGGGTGGGTTTGGGGACGAAGAAGCAAGAGAAGAAACTGTCCTTGTATGACATGTTCGCGTTGTATGGATCGTTGTTGTCGTCGTGATGATGCGGCGAGATGCAGCTGTACTAGGCTGCTGGAAGAGATGCCAAAATAATCTAGCACATGCTGTACGACGGCTTTGTGACGAATAATGGGCGGCACGACGGAGTGTCAAGGGAGGTCGAGATGCAGATACTGTACATGCGACGCTGATTTTCGTGCTTTCGTGTCTATCGTCAGTCAGGAGAGAGTTGAGATGCACTTTCCTTCTTCCCTTTCCACTCGACGGGGCGTGTTTGTCGCGGTGCGGGAGCGAGCGCGTAAAGTTGGAGGTGGCAGGAGCTTACTGGTACGTACCTTACCTTGCGTAGGTGGGCAGGTGGGGTCCTGTGAGCTCCACTCTGGTTTTCTTGGCAGCCAGCCAGCCAGCCTGTATCATCATCAAGGCGAACGTATCACGAGACACTACTCAATCTCTCCCACACGCGTCTCCACGCGAAGACCCCCTTATACAAGTTACAACGGGCCACGAGAGACTCCGAAAGCCTTCGCGTCGACTCGAGCCCGGCGTGTTGACGGGCCAAAAAAGTGCGTGCGCGCGCAAAGTTGCGTTCAATGGTCGCGTCGCTGCTTCCGCGCGCCCTCTGTTGCGGTGGTCAATGCAGGGCAGATTCTCGGATGGCGCTAACCGCAAACGCGCCTTTGAAAGCCGTGACCTTCAACTAACATTCCACTCAGCATATTCTTCGCCCGGCCGCCTCACATTGACCTCGACTTCCTCTTCTTCTCCCTCTTCCAAACCTCCCTCGGCCTCCCTGGGACCATGGACACGCTCTCTGAACACTAGTCACTCTTTTAACACCGCTCGACACGTCCACACACGCGCCTACACCGCGGCGGGGGCCTCGCCGACCTCAGCCTCGCTGCCTCGCTCGTGACGCCTCTGCTGCACCTCGACACGTCCAACGTGCAGGCCGACTGCACTGCTCGCGTCCTGACTGCCTGCACCCATCATGGAAGGCCTGCCACACTCCGCAAAGCCGGCATTGCCCAGCACAGAAGCAAACGATGCACTTTCGCGTCGTCCATCTCTGCTGCCGGCCTTCGAGCCGCTGTCTTCTTCGCCAGGCCTCCCGCGTCCAGCCAAACGCAAGCTCGACGAGGTATTGGACGACAGAAAGTATTATCCTACACCTGTACCAACATCTTCCACTGCTATCTTACCCTCCTCACCTCCTTCGCGTCTGACGCGTCCGGGCCTCCAACGAGCCGTGTCCGCCCTCTCAGAACGCGCTCCATTGGGCGACGTGCCCTCCCTCGACCTCCCAGCGAATGGCGAGCCTATGCTCATGGGACGCTCGAGCAATTCCTCCGACTACCAACTCTCTGCAAACCGTCACATCTCACGCGTCCACGTGCGTGCCTCGTATATGCCTCCAGACGAAGTATACCCAAACGGCAAGGTGGAGGTGGAATGCTTGGGCTGGAATGGAGCAAAAGTACACTGCCGTGGAGAGATTGTCGAGTTGGCAAAGGGAGAATTGTTTGAATCGGGGAAACCAATGAGCCAGATTATTGTCGACGTGCAGGATACGCGTGTGATGCTCAATTGGCCAAAAGAGGACTCGCGTGACCCTCCCTCCATCGAGTCGCGGTCGCCGTGGATGGCTAACTCGCCGTCGAGACGTGAGACTGTGTTGGCACCACAATTCGCATCCAGTCCACCGGCCTTGCTGCCGCCGCGTCCGGCCTCACCGGTCTCGCCCACCCCGGGGCTCTATGGCCTCAACTTCAACGTCGGAGTCGACACAACCTTCACCTCCACCTTCCGGGCTGATGACGAGCCCGTCAAAGTATACCAGGACCATGACTCTGACGAGGACGCACCCCATGATCCAACTCCCGAGCCCGATTGTGTCGGCACCCCAACTCCTAAGCGCCCTTCGACTGCCCCAACGCGTGATGTCAAACAATCCATGGCCAGTCTGGCATCCGAGCAAGAAGAGCTCTCTGAGCACGATGAGGAGAATGACCCAATCGTCCACTCGTTCGGGCCATTTGGTGACAACATCATGTCGCGCTTCCAGTCATTCCAATCCAGCTCGCCGGAGCGGAATCGGAAGCCGCTCAAGTCCACCTTCAACTCCCCTGGGCGCAGTGCCTCGGCGCCCCAGGTCAGCCAAAGCCCTGTTAAGAACCATGTCATCAACCAGCTCGCGTTTTCTCGCATCCACGCACTGCCGCTGTCCACTATCCACAGCAATTTGCCTGCAGAGCTTCGTGGTGCCATGGCAAAGCCCTCTGACAACGAGAATCCGAAGGTACTGTCGACTTCCGAGCTAAAGACAATCTTGGATGGCATTCCATGTGTCGGCGAGATCTCTCGTGAGGGCAAAGACGCTGCCGGCAAGCTGCTGGAGAGCGAATTCTACTACGTCCCCGAGATGGATGTTGATGCTAACCGCCGGGATACGGTGATGCAAAGCCTAGGTAAAACCGGCATTCGCGCTGCTAGAAAGCAGCACAAGGTATGATGTCGTCGCTTCCTGTATCTCGCCGTCCCGACTGACACCAGACCAGCAATACTACTGGAAGCGACCTCGTTATTGAGCCGCATTATCTCATCCGATGTTGACCAGCGCATCTCATGGCGCATCATAACCGGCTTCTCCTTCTGTGTCGATTCCCCTGCATAGCGATCTTTGGTTATAACGGCCGGCGGCTCTCTGATAGAGCCTCTTTTGCATCTGCGTGGCGTTTCATGGCGCTTCCATGGCGAGTGTACGGATTGAGCCCCGAACGCCGCGAGGGAAAGGCGGTGGGCTATTTTCGATCTGTGTTTTCGCATACGACCTGCTTTCAGCAGGCTTGCTCGACATCATGCTGCGTGCCGGCTTTCGTCGCCTTGAGCGTACATGGCGGGATGTTGGGAGAGTACGATCGTGGGCACCGTGTGGAAGTAGATAACGGAAAAATGGGAGCGTTGCTATGTTTGTTTTGATCGCCCTTTCCCTCTCATCTCATTTCGATCTGGGCTTTCCCTGCAAGGTCTCAGGTGATGTCTCGTCGGCTGATGCCGGGCAAACTCTGGGGAAGTGGGGCACGATCCGACGGGCCGGCCTCCAATGGTCATCGATCGCGCTTTGAGCTCTGAGGTAACATGTGAATTTGCCCAAGCTGTAAACACCTACGCCGCATGTTGGACTAGGCGCCAGTATTCTCAGCTTCTGTGGCTTGAGACAGAGGTATTAAGGCTTCGATCGCCCTACGAACCACCTCCTCCTATCGATGCGGCCCATCATGCGCCTTCTCGCCCTCCCAGCAGTCCTCTCCACGTTGGCGTTCACAGCCATCGCCGCTCCAGGGAAATCGGAATCGAAGAAACCTCTTCCATTACTCATCTGGCACGGTCTCGGCGACCGCCACGACGCAGACGGACTCCATTCCGTCGGCGACCTCGTCAACGAAATCCACCCCGATACCTACGTCTACTACATCCGCCTGAACGACAAGGGCGATGAAGATCGCAAAGCGACCTTCTTCGGGAACGTCAACGACCAGATCGACCAAGTCTGCTCCACTATGAAAGAACAGAAAGAACTGCTCGACGAGGCTGGAATCGTAAGAGCGGACGCGTTGGGATTCTCGCAGGGCGGACAATTCCTCCGCGGGCTTGTGCAGAGATGTGACGGGTTGCGCGTGCGGACGCTCATGACGTTCGGCAGTCAGCATAATGGGATTTCCGACGTGCAGGAATGCGGGACGTGGGATCTCCTCTGCAAAGGAGCGGTGGCGTTGATGCGGGGGAATATCTGGACGGAATGGGTCCAGACGAACGTCGTGCCTGCACAGTACTACAGGACTCTGGATTGGGAAACCGGCGAGCTCACGGAGGAATATCTGGAAAAGAGCAATTTCCTCGCGGATATTAATAATGAGCGAGAAGGGAAGGAGAAGAAGAACGAGACGTATAAATCCCGCCTTTCGGCTCTGGAGATGTTGGCCCTGTTTGTTTTTGAGGAAGATAAAACTGTGATTCCCCGGGAGACGGGTTGGTTTGCGGAAGTCAATGATACGGATTCGGAAGATCGGCACGTTATTCCTTTGAGGGAGAGGGCTGTTTATGTGGAAGATTGGCTGGGTTTGAGGGCGTTGGATGAGAAGAGGGGGTTGGCTTGTATGAGTACGCCGGGAGATCATATGCAGCTTGATGATCGGGTCATGAGGGAGGCGTTTGATTTGTATTTTGGACCGGAGAGGAAGTCTGCTCCCGGGCCGTGGAAGGGGAAGGGCAGGACTGATGGGTGTGGGTTTACGTTGGATGGAGAGAAGTATGCTGGCGCAGGGCAGGTCCAGGTGCCCTTCAAGCAAGGTCTGTAGAGTCCAGTATCCAATGCATTCTCTGTGTCTCCGCAGCCACACTGCATTGACAGTCTCTTCCATTTCACTCTGCAGCATCCCGTGCGTAGGTTGTATCCGCGGAGACAGCCGCTCGTTCACGATTGGGAGCTGAGAACATCTATAACTTTGAAATTCTTCCAATTTTTGAAGGAGTTGACCTGCCGCCGTGGCATGCATGCTGTCATTCGATTGCTACTCTGGCTGAAATCAAGACGCAAGAAAGCAGTTCTACTCCTCCTGCCACCCACAACAGTAACCGCAACTCCGGCCGAATCTTCGTAGCGAGGCGTCTACTTCAGCTTCTTCTTGGGGCGGAGCTGGTTGGTGTGTCCGCACTTCTTCTTGCGGCAGTTGGTGGCACGCGGGGGAAGGCGAGCCTGATGTTATCCATTAATTATTAGTGTTCCATTCTCTCGCGAGGTAATTGTCCTTAAGGGGTGCTTACGTAGCACTTCCGGCAGATCATCTTGTCGCAGTTGTACTTGGAAGCAAGAGCCTTGAGCGAGGGCTCAATGATACCACCGCGGAGACGGAGGACCAAGTGGAGAGTGGACTCCTGCATCACACGTCAGATCGTCATGCTTTCCTCTCTCTCTCTCTCTCTGTCTCAGCCCGCGACTCTTCGAGTTTGGACACCGCACCTTCTGGATGTTGTAATCGCTCAGAGTCCGGCCATCTTCCAGCTGCTTTCCGGCGAAGATCAGACGCTGCTGGTCCGGAGGAATGCCCTCCTTGTCCTGAATCTTGCTCTTGACATTGTCGATCGTGTCGCTGGACTCGACCTCGAGGGTGATGGTCTTGCCCGTGAGGGTCTTGACGAAGCTGTGCGTTCGCGAGTGTCAGTATGAGGACGTTTTCTCGTTTGCGGGGAGTCGCGGTGGCGCTCGTGAGCCGGGGACGTACATCTGCACTGTCACAATTGTTAGTGTTTGTATTATCAGCGGTACGAGAGCATCAGAGGAGTGATCTGCACTTACTCGTTGCGGTGCTTCGATGGAATCTGGTTTGACGGTGGGAAGAGATGTCGTCGACGGTGCTCAAAGCTTGGGGTTGAATGGAATTCAAGGCTTGGCAGTGGGCACTTTGGAAGCCGAAGAAGTTCCGACTGGCCTGAGGCAACAAGGAGGCTCTTTCACTGGGAAGAAGGAATATTTGGATTGCGCTATCGCCATTTCAGAACTACAGGAAGAGGACAAAAGTTGCAAACGGGTTCGGAAAGGCTAAGGCGTTTGTTATGTGGGAAGCAGCGTATTTCGGTCGGTAAGGGGCCTATATAGAAGTGAGGCTCCTAGGACCTCGATAGTTCCGGTATCCAACCCTCTCGCAGCCAACATGTCTTCCGATTACACTTGGCTTACGAATCTACATTCAATGCGTCTCTCAAGTCCGCAAAATGCCCTCTCAATTCATCGGCCAACTTGCCTTCGGTATCGGCAATAATGGTACAGACGAGCGAGTAGTTATTGTATAAGAAACGCTCTCGCTTCCTCACCTCCGCTGTGCCTTTGCTCAGCTTCAGCAAGAAAGCCTCAAAGTCGCCGCGCAGTCTTCCAAGGCTGTTTGAGACCGGTTCGTCATCTCCAGCCTCCGTGCTCAGCGCAAGTATACCCTGCACGAAGTTGGCGAAGCGCTGCGTCAGCGGGTGAGGCGCTGTCGTCTGGGCCTGCGAAGAAGAAGTCAGGGTCAGAGCAGACCCCGCTGGCTTACCAGACAATGAAGCAGTGATCTTTCGTATCGATTCGCAATGCGCGTCGATGATCTGTTGGAAGCGCGGCCATAGCAGCATATTTGTGCCATTGATATAGCCTTCAACAACAGGTACCTTCCGACGTTGCAGCTCGAAGGCAAAGTGCTGCGTAAGACGAACGCAAGTCAGGATGCCCATTGCGTCGAACGTCTGCTCGATAAGCTCCTTGGTCAACGCGTAACCCAGTTCGAAGGTTGGTTGAAAGATCTCGTTGAACTTTCGATTTGTAGTTTGAAAGGGCTGCTTATAGAAGAACTCGGTCAAGAAAGAGTACTCCGCGCAAGCGTTATCGACCAGAGCTAAGTTCAGCGCGCGAAAAGGCACCTCCAAGTAATGTGTGCCTTTGTCATCCTCTGCTGCGAAGGAAGGCAGTGCAGCTTTATTGGATGTTCGAAGTATCTCTGCACGTCGACCAATTGAAAATGCGTCATATGTTGCACCATTCTTGCCTCTCCTCACTCCAGGCTCTCCGGCAATGACTTCCGTTTGGTCAATGACATGAACAGTAAGCTTCTCCATGGCAGTCTTGTATCTCATGAAGTTGTGGACATAATACCATCGCATGGTGTTGATATAAGCTTGCAAGATCTCCTCGGCCAGACTCGGTTGCTGTCTAGCAAGGAACGCGAACACATCTTTATACCGCAGAAAGCTGTTCTGTTGGATGATCTGCGCGTCGATGCTGGGTGATCGTAATGCTTTGACTTGAGCAACAACATAGTCCCGAATTCGCTCGACGGCTTTTGAGGACAGATCCTGAATGAAAGGCTGAATGTCTTGAGCGGCTTTTATATCTTTGCCCTCTTTGATCTTGGCGTCAATGGACCGGGAACGCTTTTCAAGTTCGTGGAGCGATTTGATCCACTGCTCGTCAACAGCACCTTCTGTGATCTTTCGAACAACAGCTGGAGGTATGCTAAAGGCTTCGACCTCGGGACCAAGCACTTTCTCCACCGCCTTCCTGTTTTGCAGCTTGTTGTTCAGATCCGTTGAGCGATTCTGTAAAGATTCGATCTCAGTTGATACTGCTGCTAACTCGGCTTGGAAGCTGGTCAGGTAGGATTCCACAGACTTGAGTACCTCGTCGCAAGCGAGAATGGATTTGTGAAGGTCTTCGAACTTGTCTCTATCCTTCTCAAAATCGTGCAACGCTGCGATCTCTTTGATGCCATCTTTGTCGCTGGCGGCCGCATCTACCTCCGCGTTGACAAACTCTTCCAAACTCAGTGAACCGAAGTCGAGTTCCCCTGCGATTGTAGCGGTATCGACACCTTCCCATGGATCTTTCGTAGCATCTGGTGGCTTGATCTTTCCAACTATACCCTCCAAGACTTGCAGTGGGTCTGGTGCATCTGGCCCAAAAGACTCTGCCAGCTGATTCTTCAAATTCGAGCCATGGGGAACTCTGGCTGCTGCGGGCAAGCTCTCAGTCGATCCGGTGACAGAAGCAAGTGAGAGCGAGGACGTTCTAGGCTGGAGCCCAGGACGTCGAGGAAGCGTGCTCGGCCCTAGCTGTATGGATCGTCTCGGAGCAGGAGAGAAAGTCCGACTAGGAGTAGGCGAAGGCGTTGGCTCGCGAGACTGCACGGCGAAGCGCTCCAGCCAGGCCATGGAGCGAGCGAAAGGTGCTTGGGGAGACGTCAGTTTAGCCTCTGAGGCACGTGAGGTCGATATGAGCCGCTGACCCTGACGGCTGCTCGTGAAGGGCTGGCTCGTGCTTGGGCGCGGCAGTCTCCGTCCGTCCCGTCCCCCACCAAATCACACGGCACACAACTTCGACTTCTTTGATCGAGAACTTCTACCGAAACACCACCACCCTTTCCACCCTCCAATCTATCTTCACGACTCACCGACCGCCCGCTCATTCTCCGTTCAGTAGCTACACATTCATTACCCAAGATGGCGGACGACGCGCAGGCAAGTACACCCGTCAATTTTGATTACCCCGCTGGGGCGAAGAAAATGCCATTTCGCATTGCGCCCGCCCTCCATAATACGCCGGATGAGCCTGCACTAACACTGTCGCTGTAATAGCATGAGCACACTTTCGAGAGTGCCGATGCCGGTGCCTCCACCACCTTCCCCATGCAGTGCTCTGCCCTGAGGAAGAACGGCCACGTCGTCATCAAGAACCGCCCATGCAAGATCGTCGAGATGTCCACCTCCAAGACCGGAAAGCACGGTCACGCCAAGGTTCACTTGGTCGCCATCGACATCTTCACCGGCAAAAAGTTGGAAGATCTGTCCCCATCTACCCACAACATGGACGTTCCAAACGTCTCCCGTCGCGAGTACCAGTTGGTAAGAGTTTAGCATCACACAAGGGCAGAGTGGGAGCAGGAGGCTGACAACAAATGAACAGCTCGATGTCACCGACGACGGCTTCCTCTCCCTCATGTCTGAGTCCGGCGACACCAAGGACGACGTCAAGCTTCCAGACGGTGAAGTCGGCGACAAGATCAACAAGCTTTTCACCGATGAAGGAAAGGACACCAGTAAGTTGAAGATGGATTTTCGGGGACAAAGCGCGATGCTGACTACGTATCAGACGTCATCGTCCTCACTGCTATGGGAGAGGAGGCTGCCATCGATGCCAAGGAGGCTCCAAAGGGATCTTAAGCGGTTGCACATTTGTGCGCAACGGGGCCTTCTAAGCGTGACCTATACCAAAGGTCTCCGGAAATCACTTACGGGTATACGCCAAGAAATGAAATGCGGCATGAGCGGTGTTGTGAAGGGAATGACTTCGCTAGGGATAGTGCGTGGTTTCTCAGCCGAGCGTCTCAGCGTCTCGTCGAAAGTATTCATGAGTAGACAAAAGATGTGTGAAAAGCTAGCTTCGGCTTCCTCATGAGAATTATTTTTGGATTCAACTTGATGCCTTGCGTGTGCATGTGATGGAATGGCCAGTAGTTCATGCGGTGGGTTCGTGCCTGCCGCCAGCCGATGCTCCTTCCACCTGCTCCAGTCCCAGGTCCCTGACTCCACTTTGCACATCACTTCCAAATTTCATTGGAAGGGCTTGACCTGGTGCTTGCCTTCGTCATTCTTCTCTTTGTGAAGACAGCAGAACGCATTGGAGGTTTCCGAAGCCAAGGCCAATTTGACGTCCGTACTGCTGCCCGCAACAAATTCGCATTCTGCTAAACCTTCGCGCGTTCCCGGCTTCCTCGAACCTGGACAGAAGATGCTCCTCCTCGAGGATCGCATGGCTTCGCAATTCAACTTCCTTTGGAGAAGAGCATATGATACTGCAGTACGCAAGTACTGTATTTGATAATCGCCAGAAGATTCTTTTCGCTTCCAAGACATAGCAAAGAGCCTCCTGCTACCTCTCGGTGCTCGCGCCAAGACTTGTTGCAAGTCCTCGAATCCGACTTCACCGATCGAGAACAAATCCTCAGCCAAGCAAAGTCATCCACGTCCAAAAGCTCTCCAAATCAGCACAATGTCGCAAAGACTTCAAAGGCGCAACGTGAAAAAGCCCGAATGCTCCAACGAGAACTGCGGGTCTCGGCGCTTTCACGTGGGTGACGATGGCTTCACCTACTGCGACCAAGGCCATCAGCAATCGGAGGTATTCAATAATAATCTCAAAATTCCACGTACCAAAGGCGCGAAGCAGAACACCACTGACACTAATACTCCGAGTAGCTGGGGACGGTCGTCGCAGAGGATACCGGAGAATTAGTGACGCTGGGGAGGACGTCGAGGAGGAAAGACTCGGATGCTGAGTCTCAGACCAGTAGAGGTATTTTGAGACAAGAACGCGTTCATTGAAGGAAGGCTGCCTTGTGATTTACGACTGACACAAGATTATTAGTGTCTGGCTTTCGGGGACCAAAGGCTTTCGAGCACTATTTGCTCTGCGCACAGCTCGTCTTGAGGAAACAACTGCGGTGGTTGATTGATGTACAAGGCCTGCCTGAGGAATTGGAAGTATGCCAATCAAGATCCCTCGCGTCGGTTCTTTGAACGGCGATGTATCGCCATCGCTGCAGTTTTGGCCGACTATTGCTGACACTTGCTGCAGAGCTTGGTCAAAGACTTGTGGGCTCTCCGTTTGCAAAAGCTCCAAGGACAGGTCACCGAGGATTCTGAGACGGAAACCGAAGCCGCCTCGTTCAGAATGTTCAGCTCGCAATCGGAAGGCGGGTCAGGCACAGACGGGGAGACCGCAGCCTCTGTGAGGAGAAGACAAGCGAGTCGCAAGAAACCCCACGGGCCTGGACTTACAGATTTGATATGTCTAATCTATGTGGGCATCATACTTCTCAGGATTCCCCTCACGATCGCGGATTTGCACAAGTGGATCAACAGTGGCGACCTGCTCTTCTACAGTGCCGCCAAGGAGCTCCCTCTGACGATGCGAGACCGTCTCCCAGGTCACCTGCAGGAGATGTTGCAACCCCAAAATCTCGTTGCTGGAGAGGTGCTGCATCGAAACGCATTGGAGTTGCTCAGATCCCTCAGCACGGACTTCGGCATGAGTGCTCCTCCTCTCAATCAGCCATTGATATTGTATCGGTGGGTCAAAGAACTCTCCCTGCCACTTGAAATTTACGTGGCCACACAGCGGCTCGGCCGCTTACTGGACGCCGACTTTTCCTACACCTTGGATGCCAAGACACGGGCAAACATGAGTTTGCGTTGTCCCGAGATAAGGCTCATGGCGTTGGTCGTCATCGCGACAAAATTACTGTTCCCGTTCGATGACCTGAAGCGGTATCCCACGTCCTCTCGAGATCTTGCGGCTCTGCATATGGATTGGCCGTTGTGGGTCAAGCTGCAGAACCATGGGTCGCAGGGCACGCCAAGCCAAGACGGCAACCCCCATGTCACGTTCGAGGACGCTTTCAAGATGACAGAAGCGGAGAGTCTGGACCTGGCCGACGATCGATTGGATGGCTATCTCGACTGGTACGAGCGTAACATCGCCTCTGATGAAGTACGGGAGCGTGGTCGAGCTGGTCGCGAGGCTGACTTCAGGAGAGCGCTCTTCAGGATGTTTCCTGCGCAAAATGCGAACAACAATACACGTGCACGGCCCGAAATTGAGACAGGTGGCAAGACTTCGGCGGATAAGCTTTTCGAAGTGCAAAGCTCGCTCCGTACGAAACGGATAGTTCGGGAAGAAGCTGCCGACGAAATCCCACGTCCTGGGAGCGAACACTCCTTGTATAGGGCCGAAGAGGATCTGGAGGGTCCGATCAAGTTATTCTATGCGAAATGCGCCGAGATGGCAGGCTTTTCGCTGCATGGAATGGTGAGGGCGGTATTCTTGATGGAAAGAAGACTGATGAAGCTGCGCAAAGACCTTTCCTAGCCGGGATGAGGAGACGTCAGTCGCGTGGCAGCGTGTCTCGCGGATGGATGGGAGGAGCAAAGCTTATGAAGGTGCATCTGCAACATACGCTTTCCCCATGTTTCTCTCAGTTCGCCCACATCTCCGCCTCACGATCAGCGTTGGCGCTGAAAGCTTCCGCGGGATCCGATCCTCACGTCTCTGTGCAATGAAGGACGTGCGGCCTGTGGATGAAAATCTTCCTGCCACCGCCCAGGTCTTGGCCACGTCAGAAGTGACAGCTGCACGTATTGCAGGATGAACGATTCCTTTCCATGGGTTTCCGCGGCTGTTCAACGGGGCGGACCCGTGGTAGCAGCCATCGGCCTTACTGAATAGGGCCAAAAGGTTTGCACAGACGACCGAAGGAGGCGGGCAGGCAGCGGTGAGGCCGAGAGCAAGAGGAGATGGAGTCTGTCAGGCTCTGGCGCGCTCCAAGTGTCGTCCTTGAGCAATTCCCGAACATATTACAAAGACGGCGTCGTCCGGCCAACGGCAGTTCGGAAAATGCCACGGCAGGCAGTTCTATTCTTTGCGCACCGAGAGAGAGAGTAAGGTAGGAAACTGCCGTGTGATCAAGGTGGTGGTGTATGGAAGCATTTGGCGGGCGTATGAGAGAGTGTCCAGAGTGATGCCGGCATGCGTTGGTGTCGACCCAGAGGAGTGCCATGCTCACCAATGCCTCTAGGCTGCTTCATCATCTGCGAACCCAGGGCTAGCGTGATCGCGCATGCACTGGGCTGCAGGTACCGAGAAGCCGCCATATCAATTGCCGTCCAATGCCTCTCTGCATCGACGGCATGGCTGGCACCTGGTCGGGGTCGCATGGCGCATCGTACGGAAACTGGGATGTGGTCTTCCAGGCGGAAGGTACCGAAGAAAGTATGAGCCTCATCTATCCGGCGAGGGCTGGTGGCCAGGACTACTGTCGATGCCAGCAAGCATCAGAGCACGTCGTCGCGAACCAGACGGCCTGCTAGCGCTGTCGGTCAGCGGGATGTCATCATACGGGAAATCGCCATGCTGACACTGCGGGATGTGATGAGGCCTCGCTGGCGGGCAGGGCAGGGTAGGTAGAGGTAAGGTACCGGTAGCTGCGATGGACTGTGTACCTTACCTTACTGTGTACTGTGTAGGCGGTGTTTGAACATGATGGCGGGGCTAGAGGGCAGTCGACCAGTAAGGTAGGTATTGGAAGGTACCCGGACGGTAGCGGAATGGCAGGTGGGGTGACGGTTTGCGGGCGATCGGGCGGGCGCGATCTGAGCCCGTTCCTGCGTCGAATTGGGTGCATAAGGTACAGTACAGTACAGTGTAAGGTAGCTAGCTCTTCTTCGGATGTGCTTTCCTTCCCAATGCAGCCAGCCTGCGCCTGCTCCACAAACGCTGGAAGTGTGTTCAGGGAAGGAGCGAGCCGGATCGGGGCTAGCGCGAGGCGCACCCATGTCGCGGCGAGGGCTCTCGGTGGCTGGTGCTAAATTTAACTCGGGGCGGAACGAACGGTGGAGAGGATGCGACTACACGCCGTTGCTGTCCAACGTTCACTCTGCATTCCCTCCTACTTTCGACCTCGACGAGCCTGCTTCGGGCCAACCTGCGTGTGCGTGTGCGTGTGCGTGTGCGTGTGCGTGTGCGTGTGCGTGCTGGCGATGCCCTCGGCCTCGGCGACGACATGCAGGGACGCGGGCCGCTGGGCGATGGGCGATGGGCGATGGGCGATGGGCGATTGGCGAGACGGGGGGCCCCCAATGGCAAGCAAGGGACACGCTCACACGCTCACGCTCCACCGTCCACCCTCATCACCACTACGTCGGCGACGCTGCGCTCGTCGGCTGCTGGTGCTGCCTCTTGCGCGCGCTGCCATGGCCGGGTCTCCTCTTGTGCGTCTGACAGGCCGCCACCGAGCAACGCCGATGCCCTGCCGTCCGCATTGGAAGCACCTGGCGCGCCCGTTGGCGCACTGAGGCTCTCTCATTCCCCCGCCATGGCCATTGCGGTCGTCGTCGTCGTCGCGTCGGCAGAAGGGGGCGCTGCCACCTCGCTGCCGCGCACGCTGGAAGCAGGCAATGCTGGAGCCAAGGCAAGGCAAAGGCAAGGCAAGGCAAGGCGAAAGGACCTTACGTTACCTTACGTGCCTGGCTGCCGGCACAGGGCCGCCTTGATCTCTCGATATGGCGCTATCCACGCAGCGGTTTCGTTACACTTTTAAGCTTCTTTAGCGGATGCACCGATGCTCTCGCGCGCGCGCTGGCCCAGTCTCCCTAGAGGCATTGGAGTAACTTAGGTAAGGCCGGCTAAAGATAACTTAGCGGCAACAGACTCCTACAGTACAGTACCTGCACTGCACTGCTGCAGCACTGACCGAAGGGAAAACGAAGGGGAAACGATGCGATGCGATGCGATGATGATGATGATGATGATGATGATGATGATGATGAACCCCAACCCAGGAATGGAAGGGCCCTCTCCTCTCCTCTCCTCTCCTCTCGGCTCTCGCACGACGCAATCTGGCGGTGCCATGGGAGTCGGGCCTGGCGTCATGGCAAGCCCGTCGGCCGCCCAGACGGCCCTGCACTCGTCGGGCTGCTCACTGCTCACACTACTACAGTACTCTCGGGGTGCATGCCCTGGACGAACTGCTGCCACACCCCCCGCCCCCGGTCGCCTGCAATCCACTCCAGTCCACTAGTTACTACTGTACCCTCCAGCAGTGCCTCACCAGTGCCTCCTCTGCTCCCGCTGCTGGCTGCTGGCTGCTGGCTGCTGGCTGCTGTCCCTACCCGTCCTCCGTCCCTACCCTGAGCTCGGGTAGATACAGATCGTCACCTTGTCCGTTCGTTTTCGCTGCCAGTAACCCCCCCTCCCATATCCTCCTCCTTGGCGCTGCTGTCGCTCGCCTAGCCCGGCTCGTCAGCACGAGCAGCATCCATCATTTTAGCCCCGACATAAACTGGCCGACTAGCGACGACAGCTCTGATCGCCCGCCTACTTACTTGAGCTTCCTCCCGCATTGCATTGGACTGCCCACTGATCATTGCTGCATGTGCGACTGATGAGCGATACAGCCCCCCATCCGCCCACCCATCCATCCATCCATCCTCGCCGCTGGTACTGACGCCGGATTCGCCCGCCGCTCTCCATTCGAGCAACCAACCAACCAACCAATCAACCAACCAAACAACAACTCTATCCTGCCATCCCGCCTGCGCACGTTCGTCGCTCACCTCAGCGCACCTGGTCCAAGCATCTGCCGACTCCTCGTCTTCATCAGACACTCTGAAACCGAGCCCACGCTTCTGGCTGAGAACGCCGGGACGGTGGTTGGCATTCCAAAGCAGTTCCGCCCACCTGGATGCTACCCACACTGCCCTAGCGCCAAGCTCATCGATCACTTCACAGCGACAACCTTCGAGCCTCTCTCGACACAGCCCGCAGCTGGCGCATCTTGTGCCCACCGAACCGCGTTACAGGTGACTGGTAACGGCTTTTGTGGTACTGCTACTGCACTCTGCAGACCTCCCTCCCGCTCACAGATCAGATCGACAGTCGTCAGCTTTCTGGTAGCTCCGTCAGGCCCGGTCCTCACGCGAGAAAGCCTGAGCCGAGCTTCCCACGTCAGGTGACAATCGCCGGCCCTGTTCCCATACTGGTGTCGACATTCCGGGCGTTCCATTCATCGAGCTTCTCTTCGCTCTTGCCGCCACGCCGCGAGGCTGGCAGCCAACCACTGTTGCGGATTCGGTTCCAAGATCGCTAACAAGAGCCGAAACGGCCGCCGCCCGTTCGTCCATCTCAAAGTGAGGTTCGTTCCCCAGCCTTCCTTGCATAGACACACCTGAACTCCCTTAAGTTCATTCCTGCGGGCAGTGGCATGAACTCCTGTTCCCTCCAGCCCCTCTGCATCCAACCAGACCACTCCCGCGCCCCATCCCCCGCCCTGACGAACCCGAGCAATCGCCTGTTCCTAGACTCTGAGGGTCGAGAGCCGTATCGATCGTTCATTTCTGACTCCCGCGACAGCGACAGCCATCCCAGCGTCCAGCCCCACGACCCAGATTGCGCAGAAGCAGCTCCAGCAACAGCCTCAGCAGCGGAAGCAGCGACGAGCGGAGTATCCTCGTCAGCATTTCTTTGTCCACCCGGTATGATGGACTCCGCAATTGCCCAGTTGAGGTTTCCCATTCGCGCGATGGCGGAGAGGCTAATCTTAAGATTTCAGGTTTCCTGTTTGTGCGGATCAAGACACTGTCGCTACAGCGCTGGCTCTTTGATACCGCGCCTGCGCGTTTGCATCGGGAAGTAGCAGTAGCGGACGCCAGCTCCGTGGAACCAGCACGGCAGCAACCCTGCAATCTCCTGCGAACGACTGCACGCGCGCGACGATTTGGCCTTTGCGTGCGAGTCAAGCATCGATCGTTCAGCAACTCGCAAGTTGACAGTCGTGTGTGTGTGCAGGGTGCAGTCGCACACTGATACAGACGTCAAAGAACGAGCCGGCTCCGCTAGCCTCTGCATGTCTCTGGTTGCCGGGTGTTTGCCTCAGACTTGGTAACGCTCATTGGTCCATTGCGCCCAACCGTAGTATTGGCATTGCAACGAAAATCTGATACCTTGAAAGTTGCGCTCGCGTCGGCGCAAGTCTCTTAAGTAGTCGCAGACCGCCTTTGCGACGCAGTTCTACTTGAGTAACGTCAACTTCCTTTGAAGAAAGACGTATGCAGCTCCAGGTCAGTCGACACCCATTCCACCTCGAAAAAAAAGCCTGACTCGCAACGCCTACCACGACACAACACACAGTGTCATTCCTCGCTCACAACCAGCGTTCGTGCCTGTGTAAGGCTCAGCCACTGTCCGACGATCGAGCTGACCTTGACGCAGGCTTCACGACGCGACAGCAAGACTTTCGTAGTCGTCGACGAAGACTGCGGTATTCCCACATCCGTCGTCGAAAACTATCGGGCTTTCACCGAAAGCGGGCCATTGGCCCAGGCGGATCCGCGCAGCTACCTGTTGTCCATGTCGGAGTATCACGATTCCAAAGCCGCTTACGACGTGTACGGTGAGTTCCTGTCCTTCCTTTCTTTCGTTGGGGAGAGTCTCAGAGAGGCATGCCTTGGCGCCTGACGACCGCGCCATGGGAGTCATCAGAGGAAGGAGCCTAACGGCGGCCAGTCCCGACAGCGTGGGCGGCGTGGGAGCCAGTGCGCATGTGAAGAGAGGAAACAGACAGCTGACCAATGTGACGTACACACACACAGACTACCAGACAGCCACACGACCTGAGCAGGGGCATGACGCCTATGGAGGCTTCGCAGGAGGCCACCCGGCCTATTCCGCCGACTATGTAGCGACTCAGGCGCAGGTACCATCTGGCCTTCCACAATCATCCACCACACTAGGCTTGGTACCGTCTGGTCAACATTACGGGACGCATGATCGAGCCTATTATGGTCATCAGGCGACCCAGTATCCGGCATATCTGGAGGCTCCTCGCCCCGTTCCGGAGATAACAAACTGGACGCCACGACAAGGTCAAGAACACACCACTGTCACCGTCTACTTCCAGAGTGTCTACGACTTTGACGCCCCGCGAGTCACTCCGGTCATCATGTTTGGCACCAACCGCGTCGAGAGCGTCCTGCGCAAGTCAGGCCCGCAGGGACAAGTCTACGCATACTCGCTCTCAGCCGAGGCGCCATCTTTGGCGTCCACGAATTCGCCATCGCCGACCGTCCCGATGCATTTGATGCTGGACGATGGATCGATTACCTGGGATTCTCCATCTCTGGAGTTTGGAGATTTCACATACCTGCCGGAACCGTCCTACTATCAACTCGATTCTCCTCAAATGGCAACTCAACAACTTCAAGCGCCCCGCAAGCGTAAGCTGTCTCCTGAAGCGTCGCCTCGCAATTCTCCGACGAAGAAGCCCTCCATGCAGAACATCGGCCAACCAGCTGGAACAGGGATGACTCCACTCTCGCCCTTCCGTCGCCCAAGCGTCGCGGCCGACGTCTACAATCAAAGCAAACGCATGAGTGGAACTGCGGAGTATCACCAAGGCTACGGCGCCTCTCTTTCGCGCATGTCTTCGCAGCAGTACTACGGACAAACTCAAGCGTCGCATAGTCCTTCCTGGCAATACCAACAAGCTTCGCACCATGTTTCGCGTAGCCCGTCCGCCGCAGGAATGTCAAATGCTAGCAGAAGCTCTCAGTTGCTGCCATCGCCCGCTCCAGGCAGCGCTCCACCGCTGATACGCACCTCGACTCTGCAACAGTCTCCGACAACACCAGGAGCTCGGATGCCGGCTGCGTCGCCATTCAATCCATACACCGTCTACCCCTCCAACGCCAAAGCGATGCTGAAGATTGACGGCGACCTCAATACGATGTCGGACAAGTGGACATCCGACGAGTGGGAGGTTAAGCGTCGTCTGGTGCAGTTCCGCCGTAGCCAAGTTGGGAGCGTCATCACAGCCACGTTCGAGCCTGTCACACCTGAGGACCGAATCCCCAATAGCATCTGCGTCAGTTGCATCTGGTGGGAGGAGAAGCAAGAATGTTACGTTACCTCTGTCGACACCATCTCGCTGCTGGAATCCCTGGTCGCAGTGCGCTTTACGGTCGAGGAGAAGAACCGGATCCGTCGCAATCTGGAAGGCTTCCGGCCTGCGACGGTATCGAAGACGAAGCAGGACAGCGAGGAGTTCTTCAAGCTGATCATGGGTTTCCCCAACCCTAAGCCGCGAAACATCGAAAAGGACGTGAAGGTGTTCCCGTGGCGCATTCTTGGCACCGCTTTGAAGAAGATCATTGGCAAATATGCAAGTCATGCCCACGCCGCATATGCACATGCGCACATCTTTGATATGATTCGTGACGGCTAACCCCTTCTCACAGTCCGCGAGCTACTCGTCCACGGCCGGACTACTGCCCACGCCTGGCGCCTCCAACTACCTTCCTGTCAGTCGCGCATCCGAGGCGATCTTGGACCCGCGTCCGGCAGCCTCGCCACGTTCAACATCCAGCTCGGCGACTTCACACGGCCATGCGTACGCCGCGCAATCGATGCAAGCCAGCATGTACCCGCCTCACGCGGTTGGTGTCGCTGGCCTCGGCATCGGGCCGTCAGCAGGTCACCCGTCCTCGCATCCGGATCTGCGCCTCGCCGTACCTACATCCGCCGGGGCACAGACGACTTCCTGGCATCAGCCATCCTCGCACTATACCTCCGACATGGCGGCCGGGCGCGGATGGGACTTTGGCGGTGGCTACATGGGCGCATCACCGGCGGCGACTGGACTGCCAGGAACGGCGCCGGCGTACCCATATCAGCAACGCATCCCGTCGTTGACTGGACCAGCAGCGATGCCGGCGGAGGCCCGATTTGTGCCCTTGCACGATTACGAGGGCCAGGGTCAGCCGACCTCGACGTCGTAGAGCGGCGACTGCCACGACGAGGGCGACGGCAGGTGGGAGGGTGGTGAGGGTGGAGTCTGGGAGAGGTGGCAGTGACCATTGATGTTGGCGATGGTGGTGTGTGGTCGCGTTTGAGCCGCAGCACTGGGCCAGCTTCGTTGGTCACGCGTCACGCGTCCCGGCCGAGCTCGGATCCCGCCGTCCCGTCCACACCATCACACATCTTCCATCTTGCCTGCTCTTTGTCCAAACACCTCAGATGATCACCGCCCGCCGGCCACAAGATTTCGTCACGGATTCCGACTGGACCCGGTCATCTGCTCCTCTGCATTCCGCCCTCCTGTTTCTATCTCAGCACCCAATCCACGTTCTGCCTTCTTCTGGTCATCGCATCGCTATCGCATCGCATCGCATCGCATCGCATCGCATCGCATCGCATCGCATCGCATCGCATCGCACCGGCGCCGCTTTTTGTTTCATCGATTCATCGCATCATCGCAAGACGGAAGGCGAAGCCACGCAAAGCATTATTAGATACCCACTTAGATTCACCGCCTTCACGGGACACAACGGGCGCACGGCGCTTGCACGAGATACCCATTCTGCTGTTTTTGGATCCTTTTGCGCGCGCGAATTTTTTCTTGGGAGTCGAAGACATGATGCCTACAACTCCCAAACACTACTCTCACAACCACCATCATCGACAGCATCGACAGCATCGAGGCGATCTACTACGCGTTTGTTCTAGGGCCACACGCGCGACACGGGGGGCCATTTCTACCAGATCAGCATCGCACTATCGACAGCATCCAATTATCGCAAGCGCAAACACTAATTTTGACTGCTTCATCACATTGCTGCTGCCTGAGCGACCACACCACCAGATAACATCGAAGGGAAGTCACGCAGTACAGATAGAGAGAGAGAGCGACAAGCGAGATTACTGATTTGATTGATGGATTGATTGATGGATTTGATAGATAGATAATTTGGGAGGTCCAGACGGGGTGTGGCTGTATGATAGATACACGTTGAGATTACAATCACCCACCCTTCAAGACACAATAGATGAACATACTACTACTGCCGCCGTGCTTTTGCGATTCCTTTCTCTCTCTCTCTCTCTCTCTCTCTCTCTCCCTTTCCCTTCCTTCGTGAACCTCGTCTACGTCTATCTCTTGCTGCTATCCGATGACGAGACGAGACGAGGGTGGTCGGCCTATCTCTCCTCCCCTCCCGATAATGGTAATACCCTTGTCATCCATCCCCGCGAAGCGGCTTTCGCTACCTTACCTAGCTAGCTACATGTAATGTATGTAGGTGACTTGTACTGTACTGTACTGTACTGTACTATTCACCACCTTTCGGAAGAGACTTCTTCATTGATATTCTTCCGAGAAGACCGAGCGAGACTTTGTCGCTCGACTTACTCACTCATTCACGCCTTTTCGTTTTCGCTCTGTGTTTTTGAAGAAGAACACG